TCCTTTGGTCTTACAACTTACGAGCACCCTGCAGAAGAACTGCACCCAAGGCGCCCAAAACGCTGGTGACCCCAGCGGTTTGCATATGGGACACGGAGACGGACCAGGGCGGAGCACAAGTTCGTCTGCTCCTCGCTTTAAAGGTTGCGATGACGTCAGAACACCGAGCAAGCCAATCAGAGCTCGGCGTCCTTCTGACGTCACCGCAACTCCTGCGCAAAAAGCAGACGACTTACTCTCCGCAAAACCGTAGTAAACAAAAAGTCAGTTTTTTTCGCGGAACATTGTTACTAATTTCCTTCTTTATGTGGAGCATTTTAGAGTAAGTATCTGTATGTTACTCTATCAAGACGTACGCGTTTCAAACGCCACAAGCATCGTTTCTCCCTCCGACAACCAAATCTTGTAAGAACTACTTCGCACGGCGTAGGAACAAGGAGGAACTCGGCGAGGGACGCTGCAAAACAGCAGACGCGTGCGCTGCGTTCTGTCGTCGCGTTCGTTGCGCCCCTAGGCGGTGGCGTTGCGCGGACACGGGTTGGTGTTTGACGAGAGAGCCACTCGCCAGACGTGCTTGTCAAGAACAGGCGGTTGCGGTCGAGGCGTTTTTTCCCTGTCCGAGTCGATGATATGCACGAACGTGTACGCCTCAAACCGTTTTGCTCGTGCACCTTTTGCGCATCGTGGAAAGCGCGAGGCAGCCGTCCCTCCCGCGTGTCGGCGTGGGACGAGCAAAGTGGGATGTGGGACGGTCGCCGACCTTGCGGCTTTCCTCCCTACTCCGTTTCGTCTTGCGATGGACCACAGCGGGCGCTACGAGCCATCGCGAGCCAATCACGACGTCGGTTGAGTGTCACATGATGTTTGGAAGGAGCGGGAGCAACGCGCGTTGGGGGCGTGCTGACGTCAGGCGTTCGCAACGCCTGATTGGCTGAGGTGGCTCGTAGCGTCCGTTGCGGTCCATCATAAGGTAGTCGTCGATGCCCACGCGGTGCCCGTCTGCCGAACCGTACTCGACTTCGTCGTGGTCTGGCTTGGTGCCACGCTCGCGGTGCTATCGCCACGGGCCCTGCATTGTGTCGCGCGCAGTGGCGTGGGAACTTTCGATATGGAGACGTCTTAGGCCTCGACGTGGGAGTAAATCCGCGGAGCCGGTGTGAGGAAGATGAGAAGCGGAAGTGGCTACGTCATCGCGTGCACGCGGTGGGAGCATTGGGCCCAGAACTTGGCCGTTTGGTGGTACAGGTTTTCGAAGATGCGAGCAGAAATCGATTCGTCTCTTGGAACTGCATCTGGCGAATTAAGGATTTTGTAAAAATTATAAACAATGTGCAATTCTTCCTTTTATTTTTATTTTTTTTTTTTTTTTCAATCAAGTTATTGATTGATAAAAACTTGTCAGGGCTTGTCAAGTGTTTTTGTCTGCATTTAGAAGGCGGAGGTCAGTTTCGAGACTTCCCAGACCTCACAATTGCAACAACAGAAAAATAAAATAAAATATTTTTTACCTTTTTTTTTTAGACGCTTAGATACGGGGATTTGAAAGATTGAAAGTGCTTTCACTGGGAAAGCAGAAGAAAAATAATAAAGTCCATCATAAACGCCTAGATGTTTATCGTCACGTATTTCCCTTTTAGACTTTGTATGGGCTTTACAGATGAGTGACATCCATGCAGGAAAAAAATTAATGCATTCAATATACCCACATAAACACACTTATATCTGAACCGAATGGAAGTTATAGTTATTATGTTGGTTAGAGACGAAGAGGGTAGTGTCCACTGTCTCTCACCCACATATTTACAGTGCCAGAGCTGTTTTTGTGTCTGTCAACCTTGGATCAATATTTTCTCGCACATTATCTTCTTTTTTTTTTAAAAAGGGGGGGGGGGGGGGGGGGGCTAGGGGGCATTCGAATGGAAGGCAGAGGCATACGGTTGCCTGATGTCGCTTCTGCCCCCTACAAAGTTCTTGGCAGGTCAACCAGCCAGCAGTCAAGCAGGCTATAAAAGAGAGAAGAAACTACTTGGGGATCTAGGTCTATTTCTAGAAACAGTTTTTACCCGATACATGTATTTTACACTTTGTCATAATATTTTTTTTTACTCAAAAACGACATCACTCACCACCAAGAATTCCCATTGCTTATCTTGAAATTTTGAAAAGAATTTTGAAAGTTTATTTGTTCTTCAATTTTATTTGGTGAATTCAGAATGCGGTAAGTGGTTTGTGACTTTTCGTGATTAGTTCTAATCACGGGGTTGTGATCTGTGCTACAACTTCATAAGATAAGGAATTGTTGTTCTTTTGTTTTTTTGTATTAGCTGAGGCAGTTTGAAGTAACATATTTTCTTGGCTTTTAATATAGTTTTGAAACAATTGGTTTCTGCGCAAGTCTCGCGGGTGTCTGTGAAAATTTCCTAACATGTGGAGGATTCTTTTTTGAAGAACTATTATTTTATTGTAATTCACTATTGTTGTTCCTCATACTATACAGTGTATGATATAGCATAACGAGTAATACAGCAATTTCTTTAACCACACATTTATCAATTCTGTAAATATAGCCTATTGTTTTCGATCGGACCGTTTTTAGACATCTGTCGTCCAGTTTGATTCTTCATTAAGCCGTATACTCTGGAATTTTTGGTCCTTAACTTGTTCTAAAGGTATTCCATTAAGACTAATTAGTATGGATGTTTTTTCTTGTTTAGTGATAGATCAAAATATTATATATTTTGTGTGCGTAAAGCTGCAGATTGTAGTTTTTCAGCCAATTGTGAGCATTTAGACTGGGCCTTCAAGTAATAAACTCCGAACAGCCTTTTACGGTTGTTATATCATATGCGTAAATAAGATATAATAAAGGACCGAGAATGGTTTTTGACATACTCCAAGTTTTACTTCTAATCTGTCAGAAGCTATTTCATTTCAACAAGTTCTAGAGCCACATCACATATTTCATAATATTGCAGTTTAATTAATAAGATATGCTGTATCATATCAAATGCCTTGGTGAAGTCCAAAGATGGACCTAATCTGCAATAGGTTTGTTCAGTGTTGTCAATTATTCTGTCTTTGGTGTGGACTAAAGCTTGCTGTTTAGAATTGTGCCTTCGAAAGCTATAGCGTGCTCTTCTAATGTTATATTTGCAAAACCAAATCCTCTCATCTTATGTTTATTACCGTTTGAAATATTTTGGAAAAAATAGGCAGAATCGAGATTGGTTATAGTTATACAAACTTTTATTTTTCCACCACCTTTGTGAACTGGACTTACTCTTGTAAGTTTTTGCTCGTTTGAAAATTCCCCGGTTGGTTAGCATAATATTTGCAATATAGGAAAGAATGTGTAATTTTTTTGGAGACGTGTTTCACTGGCGCTGATTTGAATCCATCAATTTTAGCTGCAGTGTTCTTTAAATTTGCAATCAACCCAGGAATTTCAAATGGTGTGGTTGGTTTAAGAATTACTAATTTTTTCAAGGACGCAGTCCCGTCTATGATGTAACCTCCTCTGCCATTCTCCCCATTACTACTTGTACCAACAGTAACAAAATGTGTGTTCATAATACTTGCTAAGTGCTTGCTTTCAATTTTTTTATTTTCAAGAATTATATAGTCTATAGGCGTTTAGAAGTCTTCCTATTGGTTATTTCACTTACTGCATTCCACTCTTTCCTTGGCCTGTTTTTCACGTTGTCAAACGCATCTTGATAATTATCCCGCTTTGCAATTTTTATATTTGCCGCTGGTTTGTTCCTCACCTTCCCAAATCACGTCAAAAGCTGTTGGTCTAGGGGTTTGACGAAGTCATCAAACATCTTATTTTTCATTTATTCTTTTATAAAGACATCCACCTATTTATGGCTTTCTAACTTTTTTTTAAATTTTCTAGGTTGAACATGGTGAAAGCATTGTCATAACATTTCTTAAAGGTCTTCGAAAACTGGCTAAATGCACTGTCAGCATTCTTTTCTTCAGCTCCAGTCAGCTTTGTCAATTATTGCAGAAAAATTAGAGAGGGATTCGTCATTCCTTTTTGATAAGAGTATGTACTGTAATGTTCAGGTCGCCCATTATCAGAAATGTAAGCGTACATGACCCAAGGTAGATAAGTAGTGCTTCCAAAAGATAAAAATATTATGTTTGTCTCCAGTCGGTAGTCCATACAAAATAAGTACAACCTTATCGGTTGTACGAGCTGATAAAAAAAAATTTTTCGACATAAGAAATGTTTTTCTTGATATAAATTGCAACACCACCTCCTTGCTTTTCCATCCTTGACATGCTTTTGCGTTTACAATTTTCGAGATGAGGCACCTGATCATTTTCCGTAAGCCAGGTTTCGGTGAACGCGATTGCATCTCCACCAAACTATTTTGGTACTTTTGTCTATTTGCTTTGCACCTTTGGTCTTCAGCTCACGGCCAGCTGCTCAGGGTTGATGCGTTGATGCGTGGCTTGCACGATTGTAAGAGATTGAGCGTATATTTTAACAGTGCCACACTTACAACATGGGAAAGGGGAAGGCGGGAGAGAAACTTGTAATGGGAAGGTCAAATGTGACTGTTTATCGAAGTTCTATGTTTTGTTGCTCCCTTTTATTGGCTGTTGCTGCTCGGAGCACTCGGAGCCCAAGTATGAGGGTGGTGCAAAAAATGAATAAGAATGATACCTAGTATGCAGGAAACCCTACACAGCAATACAGCTTAAGTTGAAGGGGAGAGAAAAACGAATCAGCAAACAGTCGTTTAAACAATACAATGCACAGGAAACAAGAATTTAACTTGCATGCTACTGCATGATGCAGGTTAAAGACCCTAGGTTGGCAGTTGTATTGCACTGGTTAAATTTCTTGTTTACAGAGAAACTTCCTGCTGTGTAAATTTCCGTAAAACAAATGATTTCCATTCTGTCGGTCGCAAACCCTAAAAGTGTCCAATGAAGATGGCTGCAGGGGCTGAAGCCTAGGTCGGTCTTCCCTCTCCCCCCAGCAGGAGTGCCAAGCAATGGCGGAGCGTCGGGGCCTCAAGGCCCTGGAGCTGTGGTGCCGCCGGGTGACGGAGGGCTACCGGGACGTACGGGTGTGCGACATGAGCGCCTCCTGGCGGGATGGCCTGGCCTTCTGCGCCCTCATCCACCACTTCCGGCCGGACCTGATCGACTTTGACGGGCTGCGCAAGGAAGAGGTGTTGGCCAACAACCGGCTGGCCTTCTCGGTAGCTGAGGCCCAGCTGGGCATCCCGGCCCTGCTGGACGCCGAGGACATGCTGGCACATAGGGACCCTGACCGGCTCAGCGTGGCCACCTACGTGTCCCAGTTCTACCAGTACTTCGAGGGCGGTTAGTTGGCGCACTGGACATGCGTCTGAGCTCTGTGACCCCCTCCGTCGGGTCTGATCCCGAATAGAGTCAAGTGTGCAAAGGCGATTAGTCTCGTGTGAGAATCGTTTGATTTGCCACTGGATTATGGAACTGGTCCTGGATCCAACTGGGTAGTCTTATTTCTAGCTGGGCTGTTTCATTTCCAGCGTGATTGTCTCATTTCCAGCTGGATTGGCTCATTTCCAACGGGATCAAGCTGGATCGACTCATTTCCACTTGTATCCAGCTGGATTGGCTCATTTGCAACTGGATCCAGCTGGGTTGTCTCATTCCCAGCAGGAGTGTCTCATTTCTAGCATGATTCTCTCATTTTCAGCTGGGTTGGCTCATTTCCAACTGGATCAAGCTGGATCGACTCATTTCCACTTGTATCCAGCTGGATTGGCTCATTCCCAACTGGATCCAGCTGGATTGTCTCATATCCAGCAGGAGTGTCTCATTTCTAGCATGATTCTCTCATTTTCAGCTGGGTTGGCTCATTTCCAACTGGATCAAGCTGGATCGACTCATTTCCACTTGTATCCAGCTGGATTGGCTCATTCCCAACTGGATCCAGCTGGATTGTCTCATTTCCAGCAGGAGTGTCTCATTTCTAGCATGATTCTCTCATTTTCAGCTGGATTGGCTCATTTCCAACTGGATCAAGCTGGATCGACTCATTTCCACTTGTATCCAGCTGGATTGGCTCATTCCCAATTGGATCCAGCTGGATTGTCTCATTTCCAGCAGGAGTGTCTCATTTCTAGCATGATTCTCTCATTTTCAGCTGGGTTGGCTCATTTCCAACTGGATCAAGCTGGATTGACTCTTTTCCAGGTGTATCTAGCTGGATTGGCTCATTTCCAACTGGATCCAGCTGCATTGGCTCATTTCCAGCTGGATCCATGTGGGACGAGTTTTATAACCCAGCTGGTAATGGAATGATATTCGCCTGGACATAGTTGGGGATACCGAAGCCCAACCTTTGTTTTGATCCTTCCGACCTCTCACTGTCGAGTAGTGGTGCCTGGAACGTGTCTTCGACTGGTACGTCATCCTCATTCGCAGTTTCTCGATTTTCACCCAATGACGTCACTCAAGTCATGCTGTTGCCTGCCACGATCCTGGCAGTAGCACAGCAGCAGAGGTGTGGGCAGTAGAAGCCTGTTCTGCTTTACAGTACACATAAATCTCAGCAGCCACGAGTTGGGACACAGCAATGACAGCAACACCTTTTGCCGTAACCTCTGTAACCAGCCGCCAGGACCGGTACATCCGACAGCATGACATGCCGACTGCTGTGGCGTAATTTGTCCCCATTTCAGAACACACAGCAAGAAGCCAGTCTACCTTGAGATGGGGCATGCAGCTTTGCTTTAGGGTGTAATTTATGGTTTTGAGTAATGCCTTGTGGCCTTTCCTTAAACTCTTCCTCAAACCCAGTTTGGTTTTGATAAAAGCCGTGTGGCTATAGCCTTATTTATGGTGAAGTCCTTACGGTAATGGCCCAGGGGTAAGTGTTCTGGCTATGGCCTTTTGGTAAAAGCGTTATGGCGTTATGTCTATGACCTTGTAGTGAAGGTCTTGTAGCAACAGCTTTGTGGTAATGTCTTAGGAGCAACAGCCTTCTGGCTATGACCTTGTGGTAACAGCCTTGTGGTAATGGTCAAAGGATAACGGCTTTGTGGTAACGTCCTTGAAATAACATCCTCGTGGTAATGGCCTAGGGGTATCGACCTCGTAACTATGGCCTTGTGATGAAAGCCTTGTGGTGATGCCCTTCTCTCTGCGCAGGCCTGGGCTCCCGGCGGAGAGCTGCGTCAGCGCTGAAGCGTCCTGCGGGTGCCCCGTCTGCAACGTCCCCGGCGCTCAGCGTGGGCCCCCCGACCAAGGTATGAGGCCCGGCTGGGCCTCCCAGCTAAGGATCTCGACGACTGCTCAAGGCGCGTCTCTGGTCACTCCTCCGCCTCCCCGGGAACTCCGAACGACGGCGTCCGGAGCGGACCTGCCGGAGAGCCCGCTTGCCCGCACCTAATCCCTGCGAGCACAACGCTACCCGTTGGCTTCGGCGGCATCGAGGAGGCTTGCACTCATACCAAAGTTTCGTGTGCCGCAGTCTCACATTTTTAATTTCCCAAAAGGGAGCTTGCAAGTACGCTTACGCCTCCTCCAAAGTAGTTTTTCCTGTACATAGTATCTTCCACCAACCATTCCTACTACTCTTTTTTACCGAGCATTTTGGAAGCGGTCACACGAGCACTTTATACATTTTGCTATTACCGTGTCGCCTCGAGTGTTTTGTACTTTTACACGCTGTACACCGAAAGACAATAAAGGTGCTTTCCTTTGGATGGGTGTGCCTGCGTGTGTGTGTGTCTACTAAAATGTGCACAGCAGACTGAGCTCTGGAACATTTATGGTAAGAAATTTGCACAATCTGGTGGTGGGGCTCTCTGCGTTTCTTAAGGGCAGGACGGTTGGAAATGTCGCCAGATGCCCAAATCAGTCGGCACGGTATGTCGAGGGCATGGCCAGTTGGCGAGCTTTGTCCAGCCGATATGCAACTACGGACAAGGTGCTCTGCCACGCAGCAGGTCTCTCTATACTCCATTTCACCTTACAATGGACCGCAGAGGACTCTACGAGTCAATCGAATGTTACGCGAGTGTCGCGTGACCTTTGGGAGGCGGGTAGTGATGTGCGGGGCGTCCAGTTGTGCGACTTGCAACGGCGGATGGCCAGGATGGCTCGTGGCGTCTGCCGCGGTCCGTCGTGCAGTTAAATGGAGTATAATGGCACAGACGTCGGGCTGCATAACATTCGGTGCAGAGGACCGGCAGTTTGATATATATGTGAATGGGAGACGAGTTTCAGTTCTATTTCTAGGTTGACCTTTATTTGTGGACAATCTGTAGGCAAGCGGTACGGTGCAGCTTGTCACAGAGGGTCTCTGCCTGCCCACGGCTGGCTCGGTGCCGACGCCATTCTGCTGTGCACATTTTAAAAGGCGCTCACCCTAAGCACAGTGCACCAGCCTCGACACTCAATAAACTGGGTGGGGTCGGGCCGTAGAAAAATGTGTCTAGAAATACTATACCTAGTTTTCTTAAGACTAAGTCCCAGTGCTGAACTCGCATGCCCCTGGTTAGGGTAAGATTGGAAGGCTGAGCTTGGCTCCTGGTCATTGCTGGGTGTGGGAAGAATTAAGTGGGTCTTTTGGAAGGAATGGGCCCTCTATTGAGTCTGTTTCAAGCTGTTTCAAGACGTTCATGTGCCACACAAGTTCCAAGGAAGGTTGTGGAAGTTCCATCTCTATAATCAAAGTTTGGCCACTGACTTGATGGCGTGGCTCTGATGGCTGCCGTTACGGTCTGCTCTAGCCAGTTGTTGCTTTCCATGAAGGTGCTTTATATACAGGAAGAGGGTATATCTTTTAGGCAGAACAGTGTCTTGGCCTTGAGACATTGCAGGAAATTTGTGTTGCTTAAAGCTTAATTTTTCGAAACAAAGGAAAATATGTGGGTTTTTCTTCTTTGACCCAAGGGTTCTTTTATGCGAATATTGAATCAGTGGCGAAATATTCTCTGTGTGAAGTTTCAGGGCCCACAACTTCGGAGCATGTAGCCAGAATCGCTTAAGCTTCACTTTATTGGAAGGAGAAGACTTTATATTGAATTTTTACGGGACAAGTTGCTCATTTTCCCAAACCTTTACTTTTTTTAGTGAATATTACAGATGTACTGTGACTCGAAGACTGAAGAACCGGAAACCTCTTCCAGCACAAACTAGTTTTTTCTCGCTTTGCATTGCATGAAGCAAAATTTGACTGGATCAATTGGGTTGTTGAGGTACTGTGTCGGTCAGAAACATTGAGAGAATTCGTCTGATGCACCCTAGTGAGAATGGTCCAAGGTAACCTTTACCCTCCAGCGGCACAGCATTCGATAATGTTACCGCTTCACATTGCAAGCAGATGACTTTCTCTACCTGCTTGACGAGGAAGCCGAAGAAAGTCTGTAAGTTCCTTCGTTTGATGGGGCAAGGTATGATTTTCTTCTCGATTAAAGACCTGGGTTGCTTTTGTAAACTTTAGCACAGAGGGTAGACCTGTCTGGGCTCGTAAGCACCCTGCCAGTGATTAAGCAGCAGTCGTACAACAGGCATGAAGCTGCCTGACCTCGGTGAGTTTGCAGTTCGCATCATTCCGAATTGGTGCTGGAGCCCCAGTGAACGCAAAATTGGCACAAAGGTTCGGAAAGCTCTCCATGGGTCTGCAGTTTGGTGACTCTTGGTTTGGGCTATAGAGCACTCGAAGGTGGCCTCTAGAATACCCCACAACGTGGAAGAGATTTCGATCCAATTCTGTTTTGAATCCACTGATAAGCTATACCAAAAAATGTAGCCAAGTTACAGTTACGTAAAGTTAGAACAGCTTGTGAAGATTGTAAGGAATTGCAATTGCTTAAATACTTTGGATTCGCTGCTTTGGAGCTCTGCTGGAAGGGCAGCTGGCTTTTGAGGCAAGGCAGATTTGCGCGTTGAGTCCTATGGCTTCCTTTCCCATGTGCCACTCTGCCACAGAGTTTGTTCCCAGCTGGGCTCGCTTCATGCTCACTTTTGCGAGTGGTTGACAGCTTTACCTCTAAAACCCTTCCTAGTTTAGGGACTGTGCCTACCTTGAACATCTTGCGGTTCCGGGACAGGTTTTCTGTCTGAGGGGTAGCGAACAAAGTAGCAACCAAGCTCAGCGCCTGCTGTCAACGGAGCTGCCGTTGGCGCTTATTATTTTGTCTGGAGCACGCCTTCAACCGGTGTGTCTTAGAGTCCTGTACTGCCAACGCGTCGAAGGTGGTTTCGAAGTGGCAACAAATGACACTGAGGGAGCTGGCTTGTGCCGTCGGATGTTGCTTTCCTGGCAGTCAATCGTCGAAGTTCTGGCAAAAAAGACAAACTCTAGCTTTGCGGTGCTGTTATGACTGCCGAAGCTTCCGTGCATGGCACAACTAACATCATCGGGATGAAATCGGGAAACCATAAATGAGAATGTGGTAAATGGTCGGAGACTCGTTCGAGTCACAGTAGCACTGGCTAACATTTACTATTTTTAATTGACTTGCACCTCCTGCACTAGCTGCGTTCGGTGCACACTACCGATTTGATTTAGGAGTCTTGGCTCTCTTAAAACACATACTGCAACTGCACTTTTCTGCACTGTGTTACATTTGTTTGTAGTTGTGCATGCTGGTGCTGGTAAATCAAGCGAGCCCAGTGCTCATTGACCCGCGCGTATCGAGGTAGTCTCTCGGCCTTTCGTGGCACCAAGGCCGACCCGCCCACCCCCGTTGTTTGCCACCAGGTGCTGGGCGTCGCGGACACCTGCCACGTCTGCCGCAACCGGGTCTTCCTCCTCGAGCGTCTGATGGTGGATGGCCGGCTGTACCACCGCTGCTGCTTCCGCTGTTCCCGCTGCTCTGCAATCCTCAGCCCCGGCGCCTACAACGAGTGCGACGCCAGCCCTGGCAGCTACGAGTGCACGGTGTGCCCCAAGGATGAGGGGCCCGAGTTCGCCCTCGACGAGAATGCCCGTCCCGAGCCAAGCCCCAAGCCAAGCCCCAAGTTGAGCCCCAAGCCGAGCCCCAAGCCAACTCCGTCGCCCGTCTCCAAGCCTGAGGTGCCAGAGAAGAAAACGGAGCTTTCGGAGAGCGTGCGCATGGCTCGCAAGCACTTTCAGAGCACCATGGTGACGAGCGCGACGCCATCTGCCAACGGGACGCCCGAGACTACGCCCATGGCAGCCCGAAAGACCGTCGAGGAGACGGTGCCCTCAAAGAGCGAGTCGGACGTGCCGGTGCGGGAACATGATTCGAGCACAAACGACGTCGCCAAGTGGACGGCAATTCAGAAGCCGGAGTTGCCAGCCTTCCTCAGACGTCACGAAGACGTCAGAAGTTCCACCGTCCAGGAAAACATCAAACGGTTCTCCAGGCTCTCTGCAGACACTAAAGGGTGTCTGACGACGTCGAGAAGCAGTTCGGACCTCGGGACGCCGGAGCAAGTCGTTAAAGACGGCAGACTTTCCTCAATTCATTCTTCCTCCGAACAAGGCTTAGCAAGTGCACCGAAGACACCCGGGGTACCGAGTATGCCACTCTCTTCCCCGCCGCCAACCAGTCCGGAAAACGGGGGTCCCAAGACGACCGGGCTCTCGAAGCGGGGGCTGGACCTGCCGGTCATCAAGTCTGACGTCCCGCCCACGGACCTCCTTCCGAGGCCTGCTCCACGCTACAAGACACTGAAGCTAAGCACGTCGGGTCGTTTGGCAGGCGACGAATCTTCCCTAGAAGACTCAAAACACGCGAGTGCGATGACCAGCACGGAAGAAACTTGTCTGGACGTGCCGCCTCCGCTGCCCCTCGGCCCCCCTCCGGATCTAGGGGGCGGAGAGGAGAACCTGAACGGCCTTCCAACGTCCTTGAGCACGGGTGCACCGATGCAACTGGAGACCCCGAACCGCAAAACCGGCGATCCGACCCGGCTTTCTTCCAGAGAGGAAGCACCAGCAGAGCCCAGTCCCAAGCCAACGAGTCGAACGATTTCGGGGATTTCCAGCTCGACTCCAAAGACCCCAGCCGCAACCGTGTCGCCACAGGGTACCCTGACCAGGTACCCAAAGACCCTGAATCCTTTCGGTGACAGCGACGAAGACGAAGACTACCCCGAGTCGCTGAATCCTTTTGAGGAGGAGGAGGAGGAGGAGTCGACACCGGCGGACAGCGTCTACGACTCCTCGCTGAACCCGTTTTCGGAGGACGATGACGACGAAGCCCCCCGAGCGCCGCCACGATTGACCCCTGTCAGTCAAAGGTCAACGAACCCCAGCCCTCTGCGGCCTTCTCCGCGTGCCCGCAAGAAGCCAGCCCCACCCCCCCCTCCCACTCTGGCGGCCCCCCCGAAGGAGGAACCGAGTAAGGTCGGCCAGAAGGAGGAACCGAGCAAGGTTCTACCGAAGGAGGAGCAGAGCAAAGCCCCCCGGGACACCTTCGGCTACTGGAAGCGCAAGAAGAGGCCCGCCCCCTCGGTGCCCATCCCTGTCAGGCGAGAGGTATGGGGTGTGGTGGTGAGGACTTTTAGAGCGCAGCTCTTAAGCGCCCGTTTCCGGCTTGAGCGATGTTGCCGTCGGCGTAATTGCGCGTTGCATTATGGAACTTTTTCATAATAACGTCACGAAGGTCACGACCTTCACAGTGACCTTCACGAGTGGCGTCACGAGGATCATAAGTGATGTCACAAAGGTCACTCGTAAAGGTCACGACCTTCACAGTGACCTTTACGAGTGACGTCGCGAGGGTCACAAGTGACGTCACGAAGGTCACGACTTTCACGGTGACGTCAGGAGGGAGGATGGGGAGGAAAAGGAGGAGGGGCATACCCTCCTCTTCATATGCTTCCCTCCTCCTCCTCAAGAGCTGCACTCTAATTCGGCATTACAGGGAATTGTAGACATCTATAATTTTTTGTCTTCCTGCCTAAGGCTCGAGCTGTTGTGTTTGCAACTGCCCCACCGTTGCAGCGAGGCACAGATGGTGATCGGGGCGCAGTTGCCGTCATCGAGTTTATGTCGGCGCAGAATGTATTGGGGGGGGGGGGGAGGGGGCTGATTTTGGACTTTTGAGCATCACATTCGTTGCGAAAAAGCACAATCTGCAAAATTTAGTGAGGAAGTTTTTCTGCTAAATTTAGAGGGACAACTTACCATTGTACATGTGCATGTGAATGAGTGTATGGGCAGGTACCCAACGACAAATCTAGCAAGGATGCATGCACACAGACATACAGATTGAGTAAAAAATGAAAGCCGTTTACAACTCCCTGTAATGCCGAATTAGGGCGCAGCTCTTGAGGAGGAGGAGGGGAAGGTACGGAGAGAAGGGTATGCCCCTCCTCCTCATTCGTACCCTCCCCTCCGCCTCTCCTGCTACCCTCCCATTTAAGGGAAAATTTTCCGCTAAATTTAGCGGGGAATCTATCCGCTAAATTTAGCGGGGAATCTATCCGCTAAATTTAGCGGGGAAATTTTCCCGCTAGATTTAGCGGGTAAACTTTTTCCGCTAGATTTAGCGGGGAAATTTTCCCACTAGATTTAGCGGGGAAATTTTTCCGCTAAATTTAGCGGTAAAATTTATCCGCTAAATTTAGCGGGGAAAATTTTCCGCTAAATTTAGCGGGGAAATGTACCCATAATGCACTGCGCAATTACGCCGACGCCGACGGCGACGGCGACGCCGCTCAAGCCGTTAACAGGCCCCTAAGAGCTGCGCTCTAAAACGCAGTGTGCATAGAATCGAGGGTTGACAATTTTTTTTGAAGTACCATAGAGTATCTTTGTTATGGTGCCCTGTACGACAAATGAATCGTGTCGCAAGTAAGACGACTCGCAAGTCACGGTTGACAAGTTTACCGTGACATCCCGAGAGATAGTTCACCTAAAACCGAAAGCAAATCGGGTGAAAAAAAAGCAGTGGGCTAACTTTCAGTGTGCAATAAGAAAAAGTAAAAAAAAAAAAAGGAGCTAGTTTTAGATTTTATGACCTGCAAAACTTGCGACTGCAGGAAGGGACAACTGTCCTTCCCAGTCAGTAGTGTTCGCTTACTCCCGTTATGGATAAGTAACGCCATTTATGCCAAGGTCACCCTTGGCCAGGGTCTTGCAATCGGTTCAAGTCGGCCATCTTGACTGTGTTTTTTTAAAAAATAGCAAATCGTGCCCCTTTCGGGGGTGGGGCATCCGTTGGGGTGTTAAGGCAGGTGAAACCCTTCGCAGAAATCGTTGTACCGCCGTTTTAAATCTTGTTGTAGAGCGAGTGGCCATCCTATCCGGGAGGTAATGACGACGCTTCCGCAGCTACACGTAATTCTAGCTGTGTAAGCACCATTATTACCTACCACCCCAACAGGATGTAGGGCGAAGAAGCAAAAATATAGCTCGTTAAACACGTAACCGAGAGAGCTTGCGCAGTAAACAGACTAGGCAATAAGCTATCTTTCACGGATGCTATGTTTGGGTCACAACGATAATGACAAAGTGTTGACATACTTAGATGCGCCCGAGGTGAAAAGCAGAAGTAGCGAAGGCATTGTTGCCTCCTGGGCTTGGCTTTGCCGATTTTATGTGAAGGCAGCACAAACAGGGATAAGGCAACGACGAGCTATCTCTGGCTGGTTCAGACACTTGCGACTGCCTACGGCCATGTGCCTTAAAACCTTTTAGAATCTCTTCTGGCTAGCGAAGTGCAGTTCCAGGGTGACACTATAGATGGCGCCAGCATTCCAGTGTGTTCTTATGTCGTAGGAGATCGCAGGAGCTCAGTTGTAAGCAAACGCAAGTGTGTGAACGGGCCTTCATGCTCACATTAGACACTAGTAACAAAGAATCAATGTCAGTTATACAGCTTGGCAAAAGCATTGTTGCTCTGGTGTGCAGATCAAGCGCATCCCTCTGAGGGAGATCCAGGCCGAGATGCAGGAAATTGCCCAAAAGCAGGAAGAGCTGGAGCGGCAGGGCCGGGAAATCGAAGTGAACATCCGGGACCGGAACGGCAAGTACCCGGACGCCGGAGAAGGAGCCGCAGGTGTGGGGACGCCGCTTTGCTTGCTTACCGTCGCGGTGCGAGGTACATAGGCGTGGACACTGCGCACGTCGCAGCTGCCAGATAAAGTCCTCTCCTCGTCTTGGTTGCAACCGGCGCCGCCCGATGACCCTTCGATAAGCGGCTAAAGGCTGGTTCAGACAGCCACGTTTTCTTAAGTGACGTAACGTATAAGTCACCGGAACATTTGTGTTTCAAATGCCAGGTTATCTCCTTGAAGTAGTTGCCACGCTCAACATGAAGCACAGATGTCCCGATGACATGTACGTAAGTTTTCGTAACGTAAGGAAACGGGGCAGTGTGAACCAGCCCTTAGTGGTAGCATGTCACGGGCCCGGTTTCCCACGCTTCTTGATGGGAGACGTGCTCCTTTTTAAGTTTTTTCTGGGTCTGCCACGTTGTGTAGAACTTGGCACTTGCGCTATGCGTGTTGCTTAGACACAGCTTCGTCCTTGACCCTAGTTTCGTGCCTCAACGGTGGCGAAGAAAATTTTATGAACGCATCGGAATGGAGAGGTCTCTGGCACAGTGTTCGAGCCAGCGTCCGTCAAGGTTGGAGCAGACGTGCCGAAAGCGCGGGCGCCCAAGTGCCATGGCCACAAGACACTTTTTTAAGTTTTTGCTTGTTTCTCCTCCATTGCGCCGCCTGGCCGGCGGAGACGCTGTCGGCATAGGTTACTTGGGCACGCGCTCCGACAGGACTTTATCTGGTCAGTCGCGTCTATGCCTTTGCAGCGCTGTGTGTCCTCGCCTAAAGAGTACCTTACACCGCGCTCACTGCTCGGATCTCTGGGTTCGGTCGCTGGATACACCCAGGGTGCCCGCACCCCTCAGTCCGCACTCGCCACTCATGGATGGAGCCAGCATATACCTCTTAGAGGACAAGGCCACGGTGCCGGATTTTCTATGTCGCTGATCGGATTCCAGCATGGCACATAGACTGGACATGAGCGATGCATTAGCATTCACTACAAGTAAAGATGATGCAAGTTGGCACAAAGGTGAAGGTGACACTGAAATTGTTGGAACACATCATTTCATGAGGGCAAGAGATGACTAATTGTACTCGTTGACATTTCGACCAAACTCCGCCTGTTTAGGTGAAGTAATAAGACAGGGCACTTTGTAGACTCTAACCAATATCTTCAATGTTCCCGACGTTTCGAAGCCGGCTCGGTTCCTTGATCACGGGTGACTGTATGTGGGCCCAAAGGCTAACCACAATCTGAACCGATCCACCGGAACACTGCCAAGCAGCTATATCCACGGGCTAAGATGTGCCACACTCAAAAACAGAAGAAAACAATGCTGAGAGAGAGAGAAGAAGAAAACAATGACAGATTGCTACCTCTGGGCCCACATACAGTCGCCCGTGATCAAGGAGCCGCGCCGGCTTCGAAACGTCGGGCACATTGAAGATATTGGTTAGAGTCTACAAAGTACCCTGAAAAGTAACAACAAAAGTAATGTTGTTACTCTCGACGTTGCATCAGATAAATGGAACTACAATTAGAAGTTACATTTAGAAAAAGTAACATGTTGCGGTTAAATGTTCTGAAAATGTAACTAAGACTGCTGATGACCTCTGGCAGCAAACGTTGGAAATCCAGGGCACTGTGGCCTCGTCATCCAGGAGGTGTTGAACCAACAAAAACATTAGCACAAAGTTTCATTAAAAGTTACCAAGATGCCCGTCGAGTGCACAAAGTTGACAGCAAAAATGCGAAGCAATGAAACATAGACTAGAATTTGTTTTTTTATGGTAATCTATGAATGAATGGTTCTTGTGCACAAGGCTTTGTGGCTTGGCTAGCCAAACTTGCATTGGTATGGCCACATGTGAACGGAAGGATAGATTTGCGAGGTGCAGGGGGTGAAACCTTGTCACCTCGAGTCAAATATAAATGCTAAATGGACTAACAGATTACCTACGAGTAGCTGGCATAATGCTCAAAAACACTGCTGGCTCAAACTAGATGAATTGTGTGGCACTTAATGTGAACAATGCTGTGCTAGAATAAACAGAAGCGTGGCATACTTTAGCAGTATCCAGCGACTCCGGGAAAATGGTGCTCTTCAGGCATGACTACTTTAGGCTCGTTCGATTCACCGACATCAGCTGCACTTTGCGCACACTGTTGCATTCGATTTACGAGTGCAGCCCTCCTTAAAGCACATAACCGAAGTACGCTACCCTGCGCTCTTCTGCACCGTGCTACACTTTTCTGCAATGGCGTAGGCTGGTGCAGGTAAATCGAACGAGCCCCTTAAACTGCACTCCTAAGGAGGTCATCTTGCGCAACTTGGAGGTTAGTCTAACTGCAAGGTGGTGGATTGCTCGCTGTAACACGCGCTCGCATAACTGCGCCGGTTTTTGCTGAAGCGCTTTGTGCCCACTGACCCCGACCGTGAGCCAGCGGCGCCCGACGTAAAAGTGTGAACAGTATGTCGAGCCTGTCAGGTAAGGCCTTGTGAAATCTGCAGAAATCCACTTTTGGCATCATCTACTCTCGCTACCAAGTTTGTCCAATGGGACAGGCAGTGAGGCACATTCTGTGCTGAACCAGTTTTAACTTGATCACCAGTTTGATCCAGTTTTGTGGACCGGTTCTATCCATCCATTTTGCTCGGTAAACCAGTTTTATCCGATTTCGTAAACCAGTCTTTTCTGTGTCAGTTTTACCCGGCTAACCGATTGAGCAAATGAGTCGTGTCCAGGGCCGTACCCAGAAAAAAATTTCGGGGGGGGTTTTCGAGGACAACGGCGGCCATTTTGTCTTATTTTCGCCTATGAATCATGTGCATCGGTGGCATATAATGGAGAGTTATAGCAAACCGAAGAACCGGTCCCGGTTTGGTACCCGGTAGCCGACCGGTGCCACTGCGCGTGCGCAGAGGTGGAGATTAAAATCGGCTGGCTGCAAGTGCACCGACCAGGGCCGTACCCAGAAAAAAATTTCGGGGGGGGTCAGAACCCCCTATCCCCCCCCCTGGTTACGGCCCTGGTCGTGTCCACCGGTTTTTACCCCTAAACCAGTTTTATTCTCTAGTTTTAACCGGTAAACTATTTTATCTTTTTATCTACGCACTCAAAGGAAAGGAAGAGTGGTGACTGCTCCAGGTTGTTGCTACACACAGGCAGCGTGTTGGTCTATAGGGGTCCCGTGTGTGGGCTCTAAGATGGCCAGCGGGGACCGTTGATGCCTCTGTGAATTGCAGACTCTGAGCCCTCGCTGGAGGAGGAAGAGATGATCATGCATCTGTTTGAGCTGGTCAACGAGAAGAATGCCCTGTTCAGGCGCCAGGCGGAACTCATGTACATGTAAGTGCCTGGGACAGCTTTGCTCTAAGGGCGGTCTGTAACAGCCCCCGTGTATGACGGCCGTTTCAGAAAGCGATCCCAGCGTCTGGAAGAGGAGCAGGTGGAGCTGGAGTACCAGATACGCTGCATCATGACCAAACCCTGTAAGTTACTAACGATGGCGGTCTCCAGGCAGAACGGCGGGTGACATTAACGGGCTAGGGGCATCCTGTGGCGCGGTGGCGCATGTTATGGGGCAGCCATTGTCCCTTTTTGTTTCTGATCGAGCTGAAACTTTTCCCCGAGTCTAATGGAACCTTTGGTAGGGCCCCGCGGGGCGGTAGCTTACGCCTGCCGCGTCCAAGTCTCCGGTGCAACCACCATGCTACCACAGTGCTTCAAGGTACACTACAATTGCAACAGACTTTTTATAGTACCTGGCTAGGGCACATATTTTCATAAATATTGAAATATTTAGGTGTCGATTTTAAAAGGAGCCGTGGATGCAGTGTATGTTCCATCCTTCATTTTTTTCTTTCTTACATGTTTTCTCTGGATGTAGAATGCAGAGCACAGAAATATGGAGGAGAGGTACGCAGTGGGCGTACCTCTCCTCTTCACTTCCTCCAGCCTATGGGAGGCTCTCAAAAACAACTTCTGTTTTGATGTCACTGTGATGTTAGCCTCAATCCAGAAGTCATTCCTGAGCCGGCTTGCATGGGCGCATGAAATTGCTCTGGACGAGAAGGGCAACTTTGCTTAATTCCGAAGATTTCGGGATAATGAGTGATTTCACATTAAAAAGCCCTAGTAAAAGACACTACGTCATTTGCTTCGCGGAAAATGGGATACATATTTTTAAATCTAATTTTAAACACTAGCAGAAATCGAAACCAAAACTTTGACTCCGTCCGGCAACATTGGCCTCAAGTTGTCAAGAATGTGGCTATCACGTGACACGAGATGTCACGTAATCCTCTACGCAACGACGGGCAGGGTTGGAGCGAGCGTGTGCCAGGCGCAAGTGTCGTCTGCACCGCACTCTTTACCACGTTTTGGTGTCTACGACATTCGACGACGTCTGAACAACTGCGGAATAAGTCTGCGCACGTAGTGTCCGTAGTGTGGACGAAACTCTGAAAGACAATAATTACAAATGGTGAGACGACGACGGCGGTTGCAACGCGGGGGATGGCAGTAACGGTGGGACTGCGGTGGGGCAGCCGGACGGCTCCCGAGAAGCACGCGCAGGCGTGCCGAGAGGAAACATTGCTGACGTCACCCGCTACGCTTTCCCGGAGGAGTGAAATTAAGCTAAAAAGGTCAATGGTGATGACGTATAGCTCAATGTCGACTACGCCCATGCCGAAGCCTTGACTGCGCTGTTGGTTGCGCCTCAATTCGTCCGCTCGAGTCAGCCGATTTCGGCAACTTGGCGAGTTGCAAAATTTGCCGGACTGTTTCAGAAACATTTAGATAGAACTGCATCGTAATGTTTGACGTGTGGTTTTCCTGGGTTATACTGAAGAGGGCTGCATGTCACGTACCTATCGTAACCAGGGAGTTAAAATGCATTTTGGGTGTGCATTGCCCCTTTAAGACTCCTAACGAAACTGCTCTCTTCACTTCTTTTGTCAATGGGTATGGCACTAACCTGTGGAGACAGGGCATGTGTGCTCACTGCACGGCCATTGGCCAATCCCGTGCGCAGTGAACCAGAAGTGCGAGGAGGACGCCAGTCGGGAGGAGGAGCTCCTGCAGCGCCTCCTGGAAGTGGTGGAACAGCGTAACGAGATCGTTGACAGCCAGGAAATGGACCGGCGCAGGTAAGCCTGCCTCCCCCGCCATTTCCGCCTCTGGCCTCACTTTCTTCTCTCTCTCTCTCTGCGCAGGGTCATGCAAGAGGACTGGAGTATCCAGGAACAGATGGCGCAAAGGCAAAGTGAGTTGTTCTCTCCGCCATCAAACATCTCCGGAAAACGAAAATAGAGTTTATACTTCGCCCAGTATGACGGGCAAGTCGACTAAAGCGCGCCTCGCCTCTTTCATAGGAGTTTGGGGATTGTGACATGGTCCGGTGAAATTAAACAATGTGCTACTTGAAGGACATTGCAAGAAGCTTTGAATCTTGGATTCACCTCCGTCATGTGAAGAATGCGTGGCAGCGCACATTAGTTGTGCGCTTTGTCAACGGTGGAGCAGGACCACCAGCGTGGACATGCGTTTTGCTGGGAAATTAAAATGCATCCAAATTGAGTGTTTTTTTTTTCATGGCCCTTTAAAATGTTGCGTGTGCTTTATATAATTGTAAACTATGCCAATTTAGTGGTTTTGGTTCTGTTCAAAAAGAATCTAATTATATCATGCCTTTAAATTTACTAATTAAAAATTAATTATATCGAACATTATTAATTTTCCTAAGTAGGCACTTTGGCAGAAACCAATAGGGCATCAAGCTTTTATCTTTGCAGTGCATACTTTTCACAAAAGCAATTTGGCCAGCATTCCTTGAAACACCCTGTATTTGAGCAATAAGTACAGTAGACTCTCATTACTTCAAACCCCAAGAAGGCACAGATTTTGTTTGAATTATAACAAGGTTGAATTATCAGAAATTCATTTAAATATGGTGCAAGACAAAATTATGATTTGCTTAATGAATGGATACAGATAGCAGATATTTGATGATTTCGTCTACACAGGCCTACTACTGTATTTTCCGGTGTATAAGACACGTTTTTTTCCAAAATTTTCGGTGGTGCGTCTTATAGCCTCCCAAAACTAGAGTTCCATAACAAAAAAAGTCAAGAAAACGAAAAGAAAAAAAGAAGACACGTCGCTTTGCGAGTTTTCAAGTCACGGAGGCTGCGCGAGTCTTGGAAGCCGCGTTTCACGACATTTGCGCAACCACACATTATGAAGTTTCTTCGCGGCAAGTGTGTGAATATAGGTGCGTCTTATACGGGGGGGGGGGGTTTGTCTTATACAACGATGCGTCTTATACACCGGAAAATATGGTAATTGGAGACACATATGCCACATATGAAACATTGGTGAAATCTACGAGATAAGTTAATTCATCACTCAAAAATCTTGTTTATCGTGGACTGTTTAGACAGCACATGACACCTCAAAACGAAATTAAGTTTGTTCATTCATCAAAAAAGTTGTCTACTCTAAACTGTTAGCCTTGTTGAGCACCGGTGCGCTGCAGAGAAGCCACACCCATGGAAGTGAGCTCCGCGGTTGTTGCTTCTTTGCAGTGCACCGGTGATTGGAAAGGTGAATTAATACATATGCTACTTCAATTTGATTTTCATTTTGAAACTCACCGGGCTTAAATCAAAGCGCGGGGGAAGTTTGGCACCTTTGCGCAGAGCAAAAGGCTAATAAAAACGAGAAACCTAATGCCGACAACGTGCAATAGTTGTGACAAAGGACAGTAAGCACGATGTACGTGGGAATGCAAAGGAATTTTAATGTAGTTACGCAGGCATGAACCTGGGGGACTAGGAATGGTGCTGCTTGCAAGAAAACCCCATTTCGATGCAGTTTCTCTAGTTCTTTGTGGTACCTTCTTTTGCACATTTAGTGCGAGTCGCGGCGCCATCTTTCTAGGCATGCATATATTTGTGTTGGTAGCTGCGGGTGGGCTCGAAGCGGGCCGCAGGCCGATTGGAAGACTTTTAAAGGCGGGGTTTGGAGACCGCTGAATTTCACGAAAATGCTGTTCGAATTAAGCGGCTTATAAATACATTTAAAACATAGCGGGACAACCAAAATTTTGAAACTCATTTGAATGGACCAGAAGTATTAAATATACGAGTTTGAATTATCGTGAGCTTACTAAATAGTTCAAGCCACCAGAGATCTAAAAATACTTGCAAAGCCTGGAACAGTCACAAGGTCATAAATCGTGCGGCGGACAGATTGAACTGAGTGGTGGTATATTTTATATATGTTATATATAAAATATATAACATAGTTATATATTTTTAACAAACTAAAGTGGGAGCCTTCTCTTGGTACCACTAATTTTAAAAATTTGAATACGTAGATACTGTACAATGCCCTTGAATGTACAGCATCTATGGCAACTTCTACAACCGAAGCGACGCAGTAACGTAGGCTTCGTGCGTTTTGCGGAGGATGTCGCTCCGAGCGAGTTCTGAGTAAACGTCTTTCCCGTGCAGGCGAGATGAAAGAGAAGATGGCCAGCCCCGAAGCCCCCAAGAAGCCCAAGAAGGTCAAGAAGGCCAAGAAGTCCAAGGAGTCCAAGATGGAGGACGAGGACAAGCGCAAGTCCCTGCGCAGGATCTTCAAGGACAAGCTGGTGCTTTCCAAGTGACGCGCTACGCACCCCTCGAGTCCCGGCCACACCAACCCTTGAGGGAGAGAGACATCGTCCCGTCCGCGGCATCGACGGACGTCTTCCAGTCCGAGGAATTCTTCTATTTATTCTCCGTCTCGTTTTACGGGTGGACGAGCTCCAAAAGTTTGTCCGCATCGGCGATGCTTCCGCCCTTGCGAAGTGTAGCAGACGCGAGTCTGCCGTCTCTTTTTTTTTTAAGCCTTTATACAGTCCATTGCAGGTAAACAATAGCGAAAAAAGCTCCTCCCCCAAAACGCCCTCTACCCTTTCCACTTTTGTTGAGCGAATGCTGGAGAGGGCAAGTGAAGAGTAGGAAAGCTCCAGTTGGTAGCGAGCAGAGAGCCTTGTGGGAAGGCTTCTCCCGCTTTTTTTAACCTGCAACGAACTTTTAGTTTCTTTTACACTGGTTTATTTTATCCCAACACAATGCTGTATTGGGGGGGGGGGGGGGGGGGGGGTAATTTTTTTTACCACATTGAAGAAGTGCCAGCTCATTCCATGCTTGCAGCTATTCCAATGTATACACGCGCTTTGCCAGTGATTTGCGGGCGTTTCCGTCATTCGCCCCTCCGCACTTGGCAGCGCCGCTTTTGCGACGCAACGTTTGTCGACCAGACCGAGCTTTTTTTTTTGCTGGGGGATCGAGAATCAATTGTACAGCGCTCTCAAAAGTATTCTGCAGTGGCCGGTTCGTCGGCACTTGCACTAACCGCCGGCTCGATTTCTTTGCAGCAGAAACTTATTGATGAAATTCTCCGTTGTCTTCCCCCACCATGGGGGACGCTCACTTTTGCGCGACTCTCGCTGGAGGAAGTGTCCCAGGCGCAGTGTCACTTCGAGGTCTGCCATAGCCTTGCCAGTGTAGATAGGAATGGATGATAGAGGGCGCAATGTGATAGGCACACCTCCGAATTTGCTCCGGCCTTGTGTACCTTAGAGCAGCCGCCGTACTCCATTTCAGTATATCCTACGGCACTCACGAGCCAGTCGGAGCAACAAAGCAAAGCGCGGGATAGTTCTCGAGGGGGGAGCAGTACTCCGGTGGCGTGTTTTCACGTGCCCGGCTTAGGTGCTCTGAATGGCCCGCTAGTGCTGCAGCCTTTGCAGTCTGCCACGTTGAAACAAACAATGGCGCAGTGGAGACTGGTACTTGTTTTTGTTCGATATCCAAGTAGGGGCCGCGTTTGTTTCTAATTTAGAGGCAGAGTTTGCCCAAAGTTGTTTTCGATGTGCTAGTCGCGACGGTTACGAGCCTACGAGACGGCGTCTATTAGAGAAACGCGGCGTCGGTGCGGCTTCCTAGAATTCGTTCCGTCCGGACAGGTACATGGACGATATAAAGAAGGCCCGCAAATGATGCGACACCTCGTGCAAATGCCTCGCAAGATGTGAAGGATGCCTCGTGCACTTTCCCCGCAAGGTGCGATGCCACTGGGCAGTGCGGAACGGCACGTCGGCTCCATTTTATACAGCAGTATTTTTGTGATAAAAATATTCTGTCTGTGGCAACGCCTCTTGGTCTCATTCGTCACGTTGGGTCAAAAGACGCCTTTGCGAGCGCGTCGGCCAAATGTGACCGAAACGCTCGAATAGCAAATGTGACGTGAAGCGGGCAGAACGGTGCTGCTGCTTCTGTGAGAATTCGTTTTATGGTTGCTTTTCCATTCAAAAGAGTGGCAAGGTGTCTACTATTACGTAGCACCTTTGTGTCAATGACAGCACAATCTCGCAGTTCTGCGACATTCTTTATTTGCATCGAGTCGCCTCTTCCCACCCCATCGCTGCACTGCATACAGTCGGTAGTTTCTGCAAAGTTGACGACAGTGGACGTTGCAAGCCCATCCGAGCCAATCCAGCGCTGTGAGCATATCACGTAATACTCGCACGGTATGCGGAGAGCAAGTCGTCTGCTTCTTTTGCAGGGGTTACGGTGACGTCAGAACGACGCCAAGTTCTGATTGAAGGGTAGTGGGTAGAGATCAAGGCAGCGCTTGTTTTAAGGGCCACCCACAATTCTTCCAACAGAGCCAATGGGAGCTCGGCGTTCAAACATCACCAAAACCCCTGCAAAACAAGCAGACAAACTTGCGCTCCGCTCTGGATTGGCTCCTGTGGCTGATAGCATCCATCGTCATCGCATGCGCGCAACACCTGCTAATCGAGACGCTTGGAAGCGCGTTCAGGTGAGGTGGCCGTACATGTTGTACGCGAAATGTTCCCCCGACTTGTCTAGAGGCCCACGACACCCTTGGTCTTGAACTTGGCCTTAACGCGCTCGAAGCTGTGCACTCTGAAGTGGCTGCCGTAGATGCGGTGGAGCTTGCCGGCGAGCTCGAAGGCAAACTGACTGTGCGCTTTGGGCACGGTCCGCACGCGTCCCTCGGCTGTGAGCAGTCTGAACACGTTCTTGGTTTCTTGGATCACAATGCCCCTAACACCCACGTAAGACGGACACCGAGACGCCGCTACCGTGAGATGACATCCCGTATACTCTGCCTTGAGCAAGCGTTCCTGGGCGCCGCCGAGAGACTCCGCGTACTCGCGCCACATTCGGTGGACGGCAAGGAAGGTGTCGTAAGATGGCGGCGGATCGGGGCCGTGCATGAGCCCAAGTTGTCGCTTCTCTCGCGACGTGAGGAGCTTGCGTTTCTTGGCGTTGCGCGATCTCTTCTTGCGACGGAGAAGTCGTTTCTGGAGCACGGCCGTGTAGCGGGCGAGAAGCTCGGGATGCTGGCCGCCCACGCGGTCTTTGAGGAGCCGCCGTACATAGTTGGTCCCCTGCGCCGGTAGCTCCTCCGCGTAGTGCATATCTTGGGATTGCACATAGATGTCTTCCTCGAGGACGGTCGACTGCGCCATTCTGAGTGTTCTCCGATTTTTAGCTAATAAGACTTGCCGCTTCAGTCAAGCTCACTGCTCAAGTTGATTGCACGGCTGAGCGGCCCTGAGCCAGTTGGTCGCACTTGTTCGCCATTTTTGTAAACGACGACTAGGTGAATATCGTGAATTACTGAGCCAGTTTAATCGGGCGGCAGTTTGCGCCACCTGGCTAGTGTAAAACTCAACTTTCTATCGACCTGGTTGGTCGATGTTTGAAAGACCCTCTTCTTCAAAAGCAGACCATGTGATTATTCGGATCGGTTGGAGACAACGAATCTGAGTTTTAGGAGATCGTTCTGATACCTCTGATAACGGTGCGATGCCGGCGGAGTATCGTGTAGTGTTATCGGAAACTCCATAATAATTGGGGTTGTGGGGATATTTATACAGCGTGTAGTTGGTCTGCCATTAAAGTTGCGACGAGTCACACGCTGTAGATGAGCAATTTAGCTTGTGCAGTACGGTCGCTAGCCTGGGGTCTTTAACGTGCACCACGCAGTAGTGATACACGACCGCACGCCGGTACGATGCTCATCCAGATCGAAACGGGCAGGGGTGGGGCTCGAGCCCAGGATCCCTGGGTTCTGCAGCGCGAGCTTTCGCTCCACGCGCGTCGAGCTGGGTGTGCGCTTCAGCCCACTCGGCCACCGACCCCCTCGGAAACTCCGAAATGAAGTAGGAGTGGCGGAACGCCCTTCCCCCTCTGCCCATAAAACTCCGGACCACCGCGTGAGCCTTCAGAAAGCTCTGTTGTGGACGAGTTTCAAATACACATTGTTTTGTATATTAATTTTTAAAGAAAGGGCCTAATTGATTTAGCTTCTCCCAATGTGCAAAATAGACATAAAGTTACACCTAAGTATGAAACGTCCAGTCGGGAATCCAGTCATTCTATCTATGGAAGGTCCAGTTTTAAATTCTAGGTGACAAATATCTTTACCCCAAACGAAATTACGGTCAGTGCGCGGGCGAGCTTAGAAATTTAAACATGACGATTTTAAAGGAGTCATGAAACGCTTTTTCAACTTTTTTCTGTTTAGCTTTCCTCCTCAACTCATAAATCGCGCATTGTACCAAACAGTTCAAGAAGTCGGAAAGGGGGGAGTCCCCTCTTGCTCGGAATCTGGCTTGTGTAGCCGGACACAGCCATTGTCCCCTAGAAGACTAGCCCGTCGCTCAAAATTCCGACTAGTTGCTTTTCCCACCCAGTTCACCCCGAAGCTGACAGTGCTGTGGAAGCTACGTGCTCGTTGGGCCAGCCACACATTTTCCACGTGATTACGCTCTCTCGCGCATACCGACCCGCAGAGAATGGGGTCAGGTGATGAAAGGGGGGCGGCTGATTGGTCCGGCAAGCGCGTAGCTTCCACTGCAATGTCAGCTTAGGGGTAAAGGGATTAAGTGAGGTCCGGTGTCGTGTGACGTGCGCTTGGGCCCTGGTGACGCGCTGCGGGGGCCCGGTGATGGTGGCTAGCAGCCCGGTGACGCGCTGCGGGGTCCGCGGATGTATCACAGTGAAAAGGCGGAGAGTTTACGAAGGGAAGGAGATACGAAATAGTCCGCTATGTTTTGCAAATTTTCGTAGCGAAAGTCAGGCTTCTGACTTTCTACCTTTGTTCTTTTGGCCCACTGAACGATGTGCTATTAGTAAAATCACAATATAAATTGATTTACTCCACTCCAAAATTCGTTTCATGGGTCCTTTAAGAGTCTGGGGCAGGAGACATTTTTCAAGTTGCAGTCAGGGGTTAAAATCACCATAGTAAACCTCATCTCCCCAGGTCTCGAATAAGGTCCCAGCAGTCAACCAGAGTTCACTCGTAAGACTTTGGAATAAACATCCTTTATTCTGTTTCCAAAGGCTGATAAAAACATAACAAAAAATGGGCAATCTTTCTCTCGCGATAGTAAAACAAATCCCAAGAGACATCCCATGCCCCAACAATGCAATACGGGGCAAATTCAACCGCCACCTCGACAATTTCCAATGGCTCTTTTGCACCCCCGTAAAAACTGCACGGCATCGAAAAAGACCAGACTGCAGCTTCAGAAAAAAAAAAAAAAAAAAAAAAAAAAAAGATGACGCAAACACCCGTCGGTGGCACCCACAAAAAAAAAAAAAGCCCCGTCCTGCATATCGACGGGGCAACAACCACTAAAATGTTCACAAAGAAGAAAAAAAAAAAGCAAGGAGGGAAGGACGAGACCATTCCTAATCCAAGAACAGAAGACACGGGGGGGAAGAAAGAAAGAAAAGAAAGTCTGTACAAAAGGTAAGCAGCCGATGGCGTCCATTCGGACCGGCTAGCAGTCTGCAGACGGCGCAAGAATTGATCCAGGCCCGGGGCGCTCGAGTCGGCGGTTCGGGTGTCACCCGACGCGGCGCTATGGCACCTGAAACGCGTCCCCGACGGGCGTGTTCAGTGTCCTGTCCAGCCCGTACATCAAGAGTGGTCTCGAAGTGGCAGCAGACAACGTCACGGCACTGAATCGAGGGAACCACTCCGTAGGACGGAGAAAACACACCAATCGGGGGCGCGTCCCGGGCGCCACGGCGGCGCCGACGTCTGCCCGGAGTGCGGGGTGGCCGCTAGCGAAGCGCGTCCCGGCCGCCTTTAAATCCGTGTCTCAACCACGGCCGGCGCGCCCCCCCCGTCCCCGTGCCTGGAGCAACCCCGACGCCGGACCCACGTCGGTCATCCGCCGGCGGCGGCGGCGGGCGCGGTTGCCCGCCGCGGTGCCGCGGCCCGTGTGCCGCCTCCGCAGCCCCTCGTGCCGCCGCGGGGCGACGGCTGGCCCCAGGCGTCTGCGGCTGAGTTGGTGGAGGTGGTGGTGGCGGCACTCTCGTCTGCTGTCTGCTGCGAGCTGGGAGGACGGTCCGTTTCTGCTCCCAGTCATTCCACCACCCGCAGCACCTTGCCAATGGCGATGGTGCGGCCTGCAAGCGACGGACGCGTCTCAGCCACGGGGTTGTCGCTTTGATCTCGAGAAATCCCTCTGAATCTCTGCGTCGATGCAGCGAAGCAATACAGACAAGACCCTCTAGTCTGCTTCTTGCACACAGGTCGCGATGATGTCAGAACACCGCTAATTGGTCGATTGAAAACAAAATAACGGTGGGTAGACCTGAGGCATCGAGCATCTAACCCAACCAAAGCTAATCAGAACCTCGTTTCATTCCTACCTCACTGCAACCCCTGCGCAAGCAGACGACTAGCTCTCCGCCTACAAGGCCTGTAGAAGTAGCGTCCTAACTAGTCGATACATGTGGTGCAGTCTAGCTTGCGCCAGTGTTGGGAAGCTCGCGCTGGAGGCGAGACAACTAAAACCCATCCCCATCTTTCTCATCCCGTCAGCGAGCCTGGATTCATGATATCGCGGGTGAGCAGAGTGATTTGGGGGGCACTCACCCTCGTCCCTGAGGGTGAAGCGCCCCATCTGTGGGAACTCCTTGAAAGGCTCCATGCAGACCACCCCCGCACACTCCATGCGCATGATGGCAATCTGGTCCTGCTTCACGAACCGGGGCCGCGTCTTGCTCTTCTCGCCCGTCTTGCGGTCCACCAGGCAGATGATCATCTGCACATCGCAGCGGGCACAAGCTTCAGGCAACAGCGGGGCCACAATCTACCACTCACGGTCGCCCGATGTATGAAATGGAGCTACAAGCACCGCGAGTAGATGCAACCCCGCACATGCAATGCACTATGCGGAGCAAATGTGACATTGGTGCTTTTCAAGTTTCGTTAAGATGCAGTACTGATGAGTACAAAGTATCATAGGTCAGTTGGAACCCCGAACTATCACGCTCCATCACACTAGAATTTTTGCTGATAGCAATCCAATTCTCAAATAATAATTAAAAAAAAAATAATTGCTTGTACAGTTGTGAGCAAGAGGGCAGATATGACTGCACATGCTGAATATGTCGCATTGTAAGGGGGGGCATAGTTTTCGAAGCTCAATGGTGCAATCCTGAAGGCTCAGCAGCTTTTCTTTGAGCAAACGCCGTTTTCACGAAACTGCTGTCACGGTAGCCTCAACTTGCACCAACTCTGTCTACACTGTGCGAGCCCTTGTCACCAAAAAAGCACCGTCAGCTGATCGGACGACCCTGGTAGTCTACAGAAAGGATTGGCCTTCACGCCGCGTACATGCGCGTCTGTGGCTAGGACTCGTGGAATTCTGCTGCGTTTCGGAGCAACTTTGGAAAGGGCGAAAGCTGCTGCACCAGTGAGCCATTCAAAGTGAGGCAAGCTGCAATCTATTGATATACGCTCCCCTCTCCAAACGCTTTCACTGCTCCCCTATATTAACTGGCCCAGGAGGACCTTGTGACTTTCGAAACACTGTTGTTGCACTATTTGCTCAGAGTTGCCAAGTGTTGGCGTGTGCCTACACACAGACATCTTCAGAGCATATAGTTTCCACACAGATGCAGTTTCTTCAAAATAAACCTGAGGTAGTTTTAGTTAAAGTTATCTTGAAACAACCAATGTTTGTAATAAATTTTTTTTTAAAAATTATACTTTTTTTTTTTTTGCATTGCATGTACAGCAGATATTAATCCAAGTAACCTGTGCAGTCTATTCGAGCACATACTATCAAGTGAGAAAACCCTTCTCAGACCTGACAGTTCAATAAATAGTATTTTCCCTCAATCCCACGTGGGGATCAACGAGATTGAGGGGAATTTTAAAATTTTAAGCGGCGATTTTAAAATTTAGTTATTTTAGCAAGTGTAGTTTTGTGGATCAGTATTAGATCAATAATGTAATTTTTTTTTAACATCTGTACAGGCTGAATTTGCATGGAAGTTTATGCTAAAACGGCATTATCTCAAAGCACAAATCTTGGGCTCCTTGCATGTTTGCAAAACGGATGACTCATCAACTAGGGCAGATAGAAACAACTTTTTCCTGCCGTATGTTGATAAATATGCGAGTCATACAATATTATGAGCAGATTTCTTACTATAAGCCTAGGAAATTTTTAAAATGATCCATTATTTTATTACTCAGTTGTCACATACTGGACGCTTACCTTCAATGCATTGTAGAATCAGTAATAATGGTTCAATCTCGAAAGTACTTCCAACATTGTATTTTTTATACTGTGCAGTATCTAGCCACGGATTAAACATAATTTCTTGTTCAGTAAATGTTTCCTTACTCCTGAAAACAAAGGCAGGAGAGTTTTAAGTATCCCGAAGACCGTACTGCTGACCGAAAAACCGACCAGATATTTGCAACCAGAAAAAGAAAAAAATAACAAGCTCTTGCACTTTCCTCGAGTACCACCAAACAATAGGGGCGAAAGCTCCAAGAACGGCGTTTCTCCTTAAGGGGGGGACACTGGCTAGAGGTTGAACTTCTGAACTACCCAAGTGATCGGAATGAAATTTGCAGGGGAGATTTCACTTCAGATGTATGTGTACTGTGCAAACTTTCAGCTCTCTAGGACAACTTTACATACCTGCATAAAAAGATGTGTCACTCTTCATTAAGAAATCTATGATATGCAAATGAAGCTATTAAGTACCATTTTGAGTGCTTGAATATAAAGTGGGGGATGTGGGACTTCGGGCTATCTAGTTTTTATAGCTCAAATGTAAATATTTCGGGAAGAGTGATTACCTCAAAATATGAGATGTATATCTGTCCTATGTCAATTTTTGAAAACATAGTTTTTTCTCAATGAGGACTTCAACTTAAAACAAAATAAAGTAGATAGCCCGATTCCCCAGTAAATTTCAGTTCAGAAACATCTCGATTGTGATATCGGAATATCTTTACCTTCGAACAAAAGATTCCTTCGTATGAAATTTGCAGCAAAAAGCGGAACTGAGAAAAATGCATTCAAACATTGCACTCCTTAACTATGTTACTGCTTTACAACGTGTCGAAAATATTTTATATCAACGTAACTATTTGGTGCATGGTTATGAAATTTAGTGTAAGGGTGTATAATATATTTTGAATACCAAAAACCTCAAAATTGAAAAATGAATTTTTTAAAAAAATTTTTAAACTTACGCCCATGTCCCCCCTTAAATGAAGGCCAAAACCCCGCGACGTCCAGATCCCACCACATACACTAAATCACCCACTCTAAGCAAGGTCTCTCGCGGGCCTGTGCTCCCAGCCACTGCAGGCAGGCGGCCAGGAGACGTGGCCGCCCGCTCGACATGCAGCGAGGGAGGTTTGCTCTCCCAGTGCCATGGAGGAGGTGCAGGCCACGGGGACTGCCTCCAACGAGGCACTGGATCGATCCGCGAAACTTCCCCAAAGGAACGGATTCCTCGTTGCAAGCTAGCCGGAGATCCCTTTCAGACAACTGCGTGCCGCGCCGCACCCCCAAAGCCCCGACGTGCAGCCGAGGCGACGTGCAAAACGGGCCGTCCTCGCCGCGGGCACCCGGTCTACGCATTTTCGGACGTTGCTCGCGCATAGAATGAAAGTTTTCCCAAGAAGTCAAGCCCGTGACAAACGGGAAAGGAGGTCCCCTCCAGGGTGCGCCAAACTCTTTTCCCACTACCCGGACGGGAGATGCTGGCACGAACGTCGTCTCGGACTTCCCCAGACGAAACGCGCTCCGCAAGGGCGTTTGTCGCCGCCGCCCACCTTTACGGAACACTCCTCGATGGCGGCGTGGATGTGTAGCACGGCGCTGTAGCCGGGGCAGATGATGGACTTGTGCTCGAGGATCACCACCTGTGCGTCGAAGATCTTGCCCATCTTGCACGGCTGCACGGTGTCGCACAGCACAAAGCCCGGGGAGACCTCCTGCAAAAGTGCCGCAATGCGCCGTCAGGGGCGGGACTACGGCACCCACACTGCGCCTCCGGCCGGCGCATTCGGCGTACTGCGCCGCCCCTGCATCGAAAGCGGTCTCCGGGTGGCAACAAGCGATGTGGCAGGAGTGTTCCGCCGTCGGATGCGACGATCCTGGCGGTTGGCCGCGGAAGCCACGTTAAGGGGGAACGCCATTCAGAAAAACTTATATCTCTGCAAAAACGGTAGATTTTGAAAAATGCTATTTACATCCACCGGCATCTAGAGAGCATTCCCAGAAAGTTTTATCCGTGTACACTGCATAGTTACATTTTTTATAAACTATTTTCGGTCCACCGTACTAAAGGAAAAGGTAGAGGTTCAAGCGCTCTGAACGCCTACTTCTCCATTCCACTTTGACATAAATTTGGCGTCGGGAAAGCTATTGTTTGGTAACGGGACTTTTCAAAAGAAAGGAAAGGCTCACTCATTGTTTTTCCTAACTAGACTTTAATGGGCAATGCAACTGTGGCATCTTTTTTTTTTTACATTGTGGATGTCTTTTATAAAAAGATGTCTAACTTTACCGACAACATTCGAGTAAAAAAAATTAGTGAAAATTTTCAGCGCAATGTTGACATAAAAAACAACTTTTTGGAAATTTTGTTTTCACAGTTGCACTCTGCAGGCATTCTTCTGTGTATCTAGCAAAGAAAAATGTTGAGTATTACATTAGGTTTCTAAGAATAGTTGTCCTGAACAATGTCAGTGTGTTCCTGATAAAAATTAATTTCTTTAACAATGCATGTACACAGATAAAGCTTTGCACTGCATTCTGCCTCGCAACTGCCACTACTGTCAATTTCATATACCCGAGCCAAAGATTCAGAAGTTTACCCTTTCGAGTAGTGCCCTACCTTAAAAAGGGGGAGCGAACCCACGTGTTGCCATCGTTGTAGCATGCCACCTCGCATCTGCTTAATTTTGCGAGAAATATTGATTTGGAGAGCAACCTGCAGCGAAACGGCCGTCTACCACATCCACCTCTGCTGCCGTGTCACTGCCAAGATTGTTTCAGGCAACACATTACGACGTCGCCGAGCAGAAACCTAGGGTCCACAAACGAGGACACGACGGAGACGGCGGGCGGGGACACGTTCGGGGTACGCTGAGCTTACGGCGACTTGATTCCGGGACTCACCTCCTCCTCAACGCCCTTGAGCTTGACCTTGACGTTCTCTCCCGAGGTGATGAGTGCCGTCTCGTCCTCGTCCGACCAGAGCTGGAGCACCTCCACAGTCTTGCGGTTGGGCATGAGCAGCAGCTGCTGGCCCCGCCGGGCGGAGCCGGACTCCACCTTGCCCAGCACCACCGTGCCCATGTCCTGGGAGAGGGCACGGCCCCAAGTCAGCGTCCCGCGACAACAGTCGCCGCGAGAGCGCGATAAAAGTTGCGTCTCACAAAGCAAGATCTCGTCTGGACCTCGCAAAGTCGGATCTAGTTCAGAGATCACGGAGCAAGAACTAGTTTGGATCTGTGAGCAGCATCTAGTTTGGATACCACAGAGCAACATCTAGTTTGGATACCACAGAGCAACATCTAGTTTGAATATCACCGAGCAACATCCGGCTTTAATTTCACAGAGAAACACTTACTTCGATCTCGCAGAACAATGTCTAGTTTGAAATTCACATAGCAACATCCAGTTTGAATCTTGGAGCGAGATCTAGGCTGGACCTCGCAGAGCGAGATCTAATTTGGACTCCACAGAACGAGATCTACCGAGAGCTCGTGAAAAATCCGAACCCGGGTTTTCGCACCACAAAAATGAACGAGACATTGCGGAGAGCTCAAACTCTGTGAGAACGTAGCCCCAGGCGTTCGAGCAAGATGCCAAAGTTTCAGCACCAACCGTTGTCTAATTTAGAAGTTGTAAGTGATTTTTTGAAATTTTCAATGAGAAAATTGGGGCCCATTTTCACCCATTTTCGGTTTCTTGAGCCAAAGAGCTCCATGTGTTCGAGAGCTCCGTCAGCTGCCATTTTCCCATTGAAATGTTCAGAAAATCGCTCACAACTTTTGAATAAGATAACGGTTAGTGCTGAAACTTTGGCACCTTGCTCAAACGGCTGGGGCTACGCTTTGACGGAGTTCGAGCTCTCCGCAACGTCAGTTTATTTTTGAGGTGCAAAAAGCCAGGTTCAGATTTCTCACAAACACCCAGTAGTGTGGACCTCACAGAGCAACATCTAGATCACAACTCGGGGAGCGATACCTTGGATTCCTGAGCGAGTCGAAACGGGACCTCGCGGAGAAATTCAATCTAAGCAAGCAAAGAACGCTTTGTCTTCTACAAGGCACCATCCACAGACAAAACACTTTTTCACTTCGCAACTTTTTACAAAAAATGAAACTCTGCAATCGGAAACAATTACTCTTCGACAATTATCGCCGAACCAGGATTAATGCAAGGGATGCCGAGGCACCTTTGTTTGTCACCCAACCAAAGAATACAGTAAACGCGCGCCGCGCTAAACTTTCGAATCGACGGTTTCTCTCAAGACTGGGCCCGACGGGCCACGCACCTTGTACTTATCGACGGCGGGCATGCGGAAGGGTCCCTCGGAGCTGCGTCCCAGGGGGGCCAGGCCGTCAATGTACTCGAGGAAGGGTGGCCCCCGGTACCAGGGGCACACCTCGGGGGGTGCCACCTCCAACAGGAAGGCACCCGTGAGCCCCGAACAGGGCATGAACGTCAGCTCCTGCTTGGGGTTGAAGCCGCACTTGCGCAGGTACGGCACCAGCTTCTCCTTGCACTCGTTGTACCTGCACCGGGGGGACGCCCCTTCGGTCACTAAGACACGAGCCTTCGCGGGCCCGCACCGACGCCACCCTTACGCCGCGGTTCACGCTGCAAATGCGTTGTGGTGTAATATCTCGTTAATGCGAACTCGAAGGGGACCAAAAAGTTAGAATAATGCAGAGTTTGAAGTACTGGGAGTTTTCTTCCTAGAGACAGATAGGACGGGACCTGCATGTTAGTTTGTATTATCCGCAAGTCTGAATTAACGAGATTCCACTGTACAAGAGGCGGTCCTCGGAGGCCGTCCCGATTCTAAGGGCTCAGCCCTGTCCATCCATACATGCATCCATCCGTCTATTTACTGCTTGTGCTCCCAGCCACTGAAGACGGGTGGTCAGGAAGTGCGACCACCCGCTCACACACCGTGTGGGAGGTTTGCTCTCCCAGCGCCGTGGAGGAGGTGCAGGCCACGGGGACTGCCTCCAACGAGGCACTGGATCGCGCAGAAGGTAAGGCGGTTGGTTGCCCAAGGAAGTGCTTTCCACATCGCAAGCTAGCCAGAGATCCCTCTTTGACGATTACGGCTCGCTACGCAGCCTGAAACCAACCGTGCAGCCGAGATGACATAAGAAAGAAGCCTCCGACTGCATACTCTAAAATGGGTCATCCTCGTAGCAGTTACCCATTTTAGAGCTACCCATTTTAGAGCACCAAGGGTCTGGTCCGGACGCATTTCGTACAGTGTTCGGTGGATCACCCCACACAAGTTGCATAATGCCTGGCAACTCGGACTGGGTGCAACATGAGGGTAGAAGACTAAAAGCACGCACTGTGTGCGCAGTTATCCACCACCTGGCAGAGATGTGCAACGTACTGGTAAAGGCAAAAGAATGGCGACAAAAACAATCCCGACATTGCAGCCGTCTCTGATCGGACGCGTAAAAGTCCACTTACACATTTCCATTTGCCTAGGACAGAGTTTTTGCAATCTCTTACAACGAGAAAACACACTGGCCTCCCAGCACCGCCAATGACCTGACCCTGGATCTGCATTTCACTAGAGAAAGAATTGTGTCGCTTTTGCGAGATCAAATATATATGCCATCTATGAGAAATGGTAGTCAATAAAATTGTGAGGAGTTTCCCAAGCCAAGACAGGAAGAACGGTACCAAAACTGCGAGAATACAAGAGGCTTTCAAGGGACAATGAAGGCAATTTCGGACATCTTTTTGGCGATTGAACTGGATTCCAGGCACGTCTCGGGCCACGTTGCCCAAATTTCAGCCGAAACCGGCGCTTGCGTACCAAGCAAATCATTCAAACAGTCGCGGTAATATCATACTGGGATCGACTGGGGCGACGCCCCAAGAGTTGCTGGAGAAGCCAGGAGAAGCAAAGCTCGCGCATACCTGCCAACCTAGCAACATAAAAATTAGGGAGACCGCCGCGCGCACAAGGGGGGTGAAACTTTTGCGTTTTTTCTGACAAGAAACCCCGTGAAGAGGCACTCTGCACGAATCACACAGTTTTCGCAGTTGTTTTGGAGTAAACTGCTGGTGGTGCCCTGCCCTTCTACGGCACAAGCATGGTTCTGATGCTTTCGAGAAGCAGTGTGTATCTTGATGCCAAGCTTGCCGCCGTGCGAAACACTCACACATCACAGGCGCACATGGTACAGAATCCATACTCGTCAGCTTTCCACGAAGCGACCAAGCACGGAAACTCAGTCGCATATGAACTCAGAAATACTTGCAAGTACAGTAATACAAGCAAGATCATTCCAACAGATCGGTGGTTCCAACTAAACTCGGAGAAACACAAAGAGTAGTTTGACGTTCCGCACCTCACTAGACGACCTGACAAAGCCAACTGAAGCCTAACGCACCCATGGTCATATTAGCCGTGTTCCAAAATGCGCTCTAACTTCAGGAGTGGTTTCGTACCTTGGCGTTTGAAAATCTACCCTCGCTACTGCTCTCAGTTGTCACGTGGTAACCCGCCAGAGTAACCTAAAGCTACTCTCGAGTAACGTACAACAACACACGCGTCACGATTATAACAATAAAACATCATGAAAAAAAAAAAAAAAAAAAACTACGGCAGATACTTTTTGGGAGATTTGAGGTCGGGTCCGTACAATCGGGAGATGTGATAAAAATTCGGGAGGCTCCCGGACAATTCGGGAGAGTTGGCAGGTATGCTCACGTGACCGATGCGGTGCCGAGAAGCGCAACATCATAAGAGACGCATTGCGATTGGTCGAAACGAGAGACGTACCCTTCGTCACGTTTTGGTTCGCAATTTTTAGGAATACTGTTCTAATTTCCGATTGAATAACCACGAAAAGTATGAATCGGACCAAAAATGATTACTAAACCGTAAATAAAACAGCATAATTGTCTTTCTCTTTGCTACGCTGGACGCAAAACGAACGAGCAACTATGGGCAAACAAAATAAATTAAAAAAAAAAGAACTCTGCGCGGGACACGCTGGAGACGTTTCGTTTTGGTTTCAGAAGTCTGTGTTGTGTTTACCGTATTTTCCAGACTATAGTCCGCACCCGGTGTATAGTCTGCAGAGGCAAATTTGGGGTCAAAAATGAAAGTTTTTGCTTGGATAGTCCGCACCCGCTGCGTAGTCCGCACCCAGTGCATAGTCCGCACCTGGTGCTTAGTCGACACGAAATTGTTTTCATATGCAGCACACCTTGACATATGTATGTTTGCTTAGCTCACAAAAAAAGCCTACAATATACATAAATTATCAATAACATACTCTTTTATTCACAAAATCCGTCCCGTCTCGTCAAAATCAACGATATTGAAAAACATAATTCCTGTATAGTCTGCACGCGTAGATAGTCTGCACAGCCAGAAATTTCAACTTTTAAACATGTATAGTCCGCAGACTATAGCCCGGAAAATATGGTACTTTGGAAACACGGTGCTCGAAGGATTCTGCAAAGTGGTAGTCATGCCAAATTTATGCGCTGTAGATGGCTCTTCACAAGTCGACTGAAGACCAGTATCTGTTCGGGCGACGCTAGTTTTCACGTGTCGGTTGCTGTTCGTGTTCTTTGACGACGAAAGGACGTCCGACGTTGGTGAAAACCAAAAACGGTGCTGTTTATTTTCTCCTTGTTGGGAGAGTCACCCGCGGAAGAACCGGTTCCCGGAACGGCTTGGTCGCTGCCACTTTCCCCTCGGCATCGCCCCCGCGTCCCCGTCCTTTGGCAACGCGCCGCTGTTGTCTCACCCGCGCAAATGTTGCTCACTGCTACAAAGCCTGCGGGCCGCTCGTTGCCGGCTGGGCGGTCTCTGTCGGGTGATGGCGGAGCCCGCCACACACATACCATATTTACTCGATTCTAAACACTCCCTTTTTTTCACACCCGCGATGTTCAAAGGGGGGGGGTGTTTAGATTCGGAATATGCCCCGAAAATACGAAATTTGCACAAGAAATATGAATTTAATATAATCAAAATGAAAGAATAAATTTTCTAAGGGAAATAAATAAAGACTCGAGAGTAGCCCGCTTGCCTTCAGTTTGCACCACCGTTGACTAGTTGCTTTCGCGACTAGTGTTTTGAGGATGATGTAGGGTGGAAGTTTCCGACAGTCAGCTGTGATGCACAGCATTACGGTCACCCTTTGCTTCTCATAGCCAGTCGTACGCACTGCTCGGGCGCCTACTGGGTTCACGGTGCACGTCCTTGGCATGTCTATGTACACAGGGGTCTCATCGGCATTGCCGATCAGCCCGAGTGCGTAGCGAGAATCGCGACGCAGCTTCATCCGGCGCTTGGCGATGCCGGTGTCTCCGATCACAAATTTCTTGTTGGGAGGGGGGTGCTTACTTTCGCATGCAAACTTTTTTTCAGGTGTTTATGTTTGAAATGGGGGGGGGGGGGGGGTGCTTAGAATCGCAAAAATACGGTACTCCCGTTCTGTTGGTGTTAGGTCACTGAACTGAAGCTCGAACTCACTCGCGAGAGCGGCATTGTCATCCATGTGGACAGATTCGATGAAATGACCGCGCCGCTATGACCCACCGCAGTAACCAGAATCTCGATCCCCTAAATACTAGCTATACCGACTATCCACACTTGACGTCACTCCCTACGTCACCTCCGTTTTCGGAGGCCCAGAAATGAGAATGGAGATAGTTCAGCTTCGGTTTCTTCAGTTCTTTCGTAGGCACGGCAATACGCATCACCAATGTCTACAAAAAATTGGGCAGCACGCTAGGTTCCCAAGAAGCCTAAAACACCATTTAAAAAATTAAATAAAATCGTCTTCAAGACTTTAAAAAACACATGCAAAGAAAAAAAAAAATTTTTTTTTTTTTGGAGCATTTTGAATGAGAAAAGGAAGTCCTAAAACTAATTTACAACGAACAAGAAAAGCTTTTTGAGCTGTATTTTTTGGCTTGAAAGGAATTTGTAGTTGGCACCCGCAAAAAAGTGGCCCCTATTTATCACGTGGCATACCTGCCAAGTTCGGAGAAACTAAGTCCGGGAGAATTGGGGTTGGAGAAGGAGGAAAAGGAGGGGGGAACCTTTTTTTTAAAAAAGAAATATTGGCAACCTATTTACATAAAAACAACTTCATTACATTTATATTGCACTGCTCACGCTAGCGGGATACACCTGGGCCTCGCTATCATTGCAGCAGTTTGTTGCAACGACAAAAACTCCTTGTTTAAAGGCCGACGACCAGACTCTAGATTCTGCAAGGCAGAAGATCCTCCTCACCCTGGGGGGAGGAAACAGGCAACGGTGGACAGAGTAGAAAGGGGGAGAGGAGGAAGAGGGAGAAAAGTGGAAAGCGCGAACTGGTCGTCGGTCTTTAAGTGCAGGAAAGGGGGGGGGGGGGGGTAATTGGTGTTTTCCAGATTTTCTTGTCAATCATACAAAATTGGTCAGAATTCGGAAGAATGCCAGGTAACATGGGAGACAAGGCAGGTACGACGGGTGCCTGCGCTCTTTTTGGAAGCTTCCCGTGGTCTCTAAAAGTCACTTACTCATCTTCGCTTGAAGTGCAACAAAACAACTAAGATTACTAGATAAAAACTAAAAAAACTAATCTTTTAGAGCCCAAAGGAAGTTCTTGAGAGGCCAAGCACCACGCGATAGACCTGTGCGCCAGCTCCCGCGGGCACCAACTACAAATTCGTCTCGCGCCGTAAATATAGCTCCAAATTTTTTTTTTTTTTTTTTTTCGTTTTTGTAAATTTATTTTATGACAATCTCTTTCCATCTAAGCTGTTTAAAAAAGATTATTTCCTTTGCATGTGCTTATTAAGGCACGCGGTCTCAAGTGCATAAACGGAATAAAGGTCCCGAGGAAAATAAAACGCGGCCGGCACCCACCTCTCCTCGGACCACTCGACGGTGGGGTCATCCATCTTGTTGACCAGGACGACCAGGTGTCGCACCCCGGCCGTCTTGGCCAGCATGGCGTGCTCCCGCGTCTGGCCGCCCCGCTCGAAGCCCGTCTCAAACTCCCCCTTGCGGGCGGAGATGACCAGCACCGCCAGGTCCGCCTGGCAGGCGCCCCCAATCATGTTGGGCACGAAGGACCGATGGCCCGGGGCGTCCAGCAGCGTGAAGTGTTTGTTCTCCGTCTCAAAGTAGGCCCGGCCCACCTCCACCGTCTTGCCCTTGTCCCGCTCCTCCTGGTTCGTGTCCAGAGCCCAGGACAGGTACCACGACTCTCGGTTCTTCTCCTTCGCCTCGCGCTCGTACTTCTCCAGCGTCCGCTTGTCCACCATGCCCGTCAGGTAGAGCAGCTGGCCCCCGATGGTGGACTTGCCCGCGTCTGCGGATGGGACGTCCGTTAGCCGGCCCTCCCCGAAAGGCACCAAACCGCAAACGCCGGGGACGGCTTTGCCAGAAGCGGCGTTTAAGCAGAGACCGCATAAAAGAAATACTGGGCCGCACGAGCGCAATTGCCACCCAGCTTGTGCACTAGCTTGGGTGGAATTTTGTTTTGCGCACCATTAGCCAAGACGCTACTTCTAGCAAGCTGGCCCAGAGGCAAAGATTTCTTTAGTTTTGAAAGGCAAGATTGAACCACAGAAAAAAAATAGATTGTGGAGACCATGGACAAACTGCTACTTACACTTTAAACTGATCCTTCGCGCAGTCCCATACTCTGTCAGCGTAACCTGGCAGGCAAAAGTTAGGGCCCCTTAAGCCCGTCGGAGAGCAAAGCATGCAACAGCTCTCCACACAAGGAGTGCATTCCCACACTATGGAGTTGCATGCCTCAGTCCTCCTCTCCAAATGGCTCGCCGAGGACCATAGCTTTCGTTCCTTGGCCAGTTGGAACAAGGTACAATCCTGCACAAGAGCCCACCGCCTGCAAGCGATGCATACTCAAGGAACCCCTTCCTGGGGCCCTAATGCGGACACATGGCGAAAAAGATGGCAAGGAATTCGGCGGCAGTGACTGGCTGGTGCTACGCTAGACCTTGGCGCCGACCAATCACGGTAGTCGAATTCTTCGCAAACTTTTTCGTCAAGTGTCCAGACTAAAACCCCCGGTCTTGGCATTGATGCAGTAGAACGGCCGCAGAAGCCTACAATAATGCATATACAAGGGAGTGTCCGACTGCTAATTGTGCATCAACAAGTGGCTCAGGCCCGCTAAAATAGCGAGTGAATCGGAAAAAGACAACTCATTTTGAAGCAAGGAGGTCAAGGACATTTTGAAGCTTCGAGAACAGAAACACGGATTCTCACACTGGGTTCCACAAACCCTCCTCAGAGGATCCTCAAGAGTTTCCCCATTCCCTCGGTCATAAGTAAAGTGTATCGAGTTTAAGCGCTGTTTTAGAAGACCTGGGGCCTTTATTGATGCCAGACCACGGGGCAGACATTTTTTAGTGTGTACATTAATGTTTACAAGACACAAGCTTCAGCACTGCTTCATCTCATAAATGTTGAGACCGATTCTTCAGCCATCCACCCAGAGAGAGAGGCATTCCTGGAGATTACGAAGTTCAAGAACTCGTGCTCAAAAAGACAGCCCTCCACCTTCCGAGACCGGGCATAGCCAAGGACAGGGAGGGGCACGCACCGACATGCCCAATGAAGACGACGTTGATGTGCTCCTTGCGGGGCCCCTGGTCCTCGTCCTTGAGGGGCTTTTTCTTGGGCTTGGAGGAGAGCTCCATGCGCTCCTCCTCATCCCCCGTCGAGGGCGTCTGGTCTCCTGCCGGGCTGTCCTCCAGGGTCACGCACTCCCAGTCTGCACACGTAAAGCGATCAGGGAAGCCGCTTTCCACACTGCTTATGGGACTTCCAGCAATATCACAACGAGGACGTAGCTCTTGCAGTGCGCTGCACAGGTGTTCATGCAGCTTGAAGGACAGCCAAGAGTGATGCAACTGTCTAAAATACATACACCCTCAAGACTCGAGCCAGACAAGCTGCCAGAACCTTCCTCGGCAAAAGGTTACCTCACGAGCCAAAGTAAAGCCGCATCCAGAACACCCCAGATTGACATCTCTGCCAACACCGTCGTGTGTAGGGCAAAGCGGCACACTGGAGCATTGCAACACACTGCACTTTTCATTCCAAGCAAATCAAATAGCTCAAACTGTCTGCACATGTTTTAAGTGTAGGTGCAAGTTGGTGTACTCCATATGTTTGTTGCAAATGAACAAGCCTGTGATGAAAAAGCGAGCTGCCCAGAGAAAAGTGCCTATCTCCTGTACAAGTCCCAAATCTGTCATGTATGCAATGCAGGGCACACAATTTGCATGGCAACCTAGGGTCCAAGAGTCACCCATGCTGATAGTCATGTCTCGATATGGACACCTCCCCCTCCCCCTCCTCCTCCTCCTCCCTCCCTCCCCCCCCCCCCCCCCCCCCCCCAAATCATCTATACCAATGAGGCAAAAATATACGTATTCATACAGTTTGTCCTCGAAACTTTAGTCAATACAGCGGAGTACCCACATTAAAGGTCTGTTCTTGGTCATAACCAATTCTACAAACTCTAAGCATCTTAAAAATTCCAATGATGTAACGCCAATTTCCTCATTATAAATGTGATGAAAGGTTGGGGCACGCCCCTTTCCGAGCGAATTTTTCTACTCGGGAAAGGCGGGGCGTGCCCCAGCAGCTGTGTCAGCACGGTGAAGATGAGCAATCAGCAGTGAATCGCAAGCTGCCTTCCCAAGAGAATAGGCTTGCGATTGGTTGACGAGCGCCCACCGTCACTGCGCTGACACTGCTGCTGCTCCGCCTTTCCCCGAGCAGAAATATCCGCTCCAAAAGTGGTGTCTCCCAACCTTTCATCACGTTTTTAATAAAAAAATCGGCGTCACATGATTGTAATTTTATAATGCTTAGGGCCTGTAGAACCAGTTATGACCAAGCACAGACGATCCCAGAATCCTTTTTAGTGCTTCTTGCATGATTTATGGCAGCAAACAGACACCACATTTGTAGTGGCGTCGGTACGCTTACGAAACGGCAACCACTCTCTGGAACACGCATTAGTGCCACCAACGAAGCTAGAAAGTTGCTCCATCATTCCCCTCTATTCCGTTTGAATTGCCCCGCTAGAGCAAAGAGCTCACTCCCACATGTTCGAGGGATTACACCGTCATTTCTGTGGGGCGGCAGCAAGATTAGAATGTGTCAATGTGACCAGAACATGTCAACGTTCTAAGGGTGCTTGGCACTTCCCTCGTCTTATTTTACTGTCAAGAAGAAACCCACTGTTGTGAATCTGTATCTCATCCAGATGAGGGGAGGCAGACGACATTGGGAGCTGTATGTGTTGTAGGCTCAACCAGCCAGTTATGAAGAAACTGTAGGGGTCTGGTTTGCTCAGTAGCTCCAGCATGCAGCGGTATATCACTGCTGTGTGATGCCCGTTCAAAACCGCAGGCTAGCAGCCGTACTGAGCAAGCTACAAATCTTATCTACACACACGAGATGCCCTTTGGTGCAAACGAACATCCCACTGTCTGAACATACAAACAACACAATCACTCGCCCCCGAGCAAAACGTCCCATAAACTTGGGCCAAGCGCGCGCGCGCGTACGACTGAACGATGTTCAAATTCCTCGGCCCACAAACGGCGCCAGCAGCCGCGGCCTTCACGCAACCCGTGAAGAAAAAGCTGACAAGTGTCCTCACCTGCCGGAGAGTCGTCCATGCTTGCCGAATCTTCCCGGTCGCTGTCTTTTTTGTCTGGAAAACGAGAACAAACGAGCGTTGGACGACAACCACCAGCTGTCTCGGCGACTGCGGTGGCCTTGCGAGGCACGGGGTGGCAATCACGACACGAGGCAAGCGTGGTGTAACCGCGTGACACCCGAAAAACATCCAAAGGGCCACGTTGCCGAGCTAGGGGTGACAACCGCTGCCCGTACCGAGCGTGGTGTCAGTAGTCCGGGCCCGTCGACGCAGTCAGTGGTCGTGGACGGGGCACACAAAGCAAACTACGCACGCGTCTGGTCAAAGACGGAATCTCCCGGCTGCTGCTACGTCAGCACATTGCGACACGTCGGTGGAGGGAAGTATAAAAAAAAGAAGGGCTGGGAAAGGGGGGGGATAAGTAATCTCTCAACGCGGGAAGCAACGCTCCAGACTACAATCCGCAAGGGAAGGGAAGGGGGGAAGGCGGCACAGCCTTTGTCGAACCCACGTGTCAGACTACGCCAGTCACTAACTGCTGCGACGACGACCGTAGTGCGAGGTGAATGACACGTCGGACCGGCGACGTAAGCCTAGCTCCGTCGCGAGCGTCGGGAAAACACGCGGCCTTGTGACGGGCCGCTCTTTGGGGAAGTCTAGCCGGCCACTGCGGGTACGAGCGGGGTACGAGCGCGCGCCGAGCGGACGAGGCGGGGAGCCTCCATCGGAGCGACCGGCCCCTCCGATCCCGTTTTCGAGCGGATCGGACGGCGGAGTAGGGCGGCACGGACTCGGCTTCGGGGGCCGAGGACTTACCGGACGGCGAGTCGTCGCCGTCTTTCTCCTGCGGGTCGAGTTGTGCCATCTGCAAGGTGGCGAAAGAAGGCACAAATGGCGGTGCGTCCACGTTCAACTTTGAGAAGGACTTGGAGATGTCGTCGTCGCCGATCTCCTCGCTGTGTTCCTCCCAATTGTCCGGAGCCACTTGGCCTTCGGGAGACGATGTGTCCATAGCGATCACAATTTTTCCTGGGCCGGGAGGAAGGAAAAAAAACTTGCCCCCCACCAACTCCACCAAGTCAGCGCAGAACACCGCGTGTGCAAAATTAGGCTTCAAAAAAAAAGGGCCACGGAGAAGGGGAAGGGCTGGGGGGAGAGCGCGCTGCGCGCCTGCTCCGCCGCCGCCAGAACGCCGGAGTCGTTGCGGTGCGGCGACTCGGCCTTGAAATGGAGCGCAGAAAAATAATGCCGCATTTTGGCCGCCGCCTGCAAAAATTACGGACGAAGTTCGTCACTGCAAAGAATAGACCGCGCGAGTTTTTATTTATATTTCTTGCCGCTTTATTTAATTTATGACGTCACGGCAATTTTTCTGGTATCCTTCGTGAGTGTCGCGAAGAGTCGTGTGGTACATGTGTTACTAATATATCTATCAGTCGATACGCGTTACCTTGAAGGCCATTTAAAACTTGTATAACTCGATTGATTATTAGTATTTATATATCTTGAATGCTGCGAACAAAACGCTCTGCAAAACTGACATCAGTCACGTGATAACACTGGAGTGAATAAACATACGCACGTGATGTCACGTGACCGTTATCGGCACGCTCAAGAAAACAACGCAACACGGCAAAGCCCGAGCCCGCGCTGCAGGCCCGCACTTATCTGCGGCTTCACGGTCGAAAATGGCGCTCGCTTCGGCCAAACAACTGCTCGATGAGTTGATGGGCAGGGACCGAAATCTCGCGCCCGCAGAGAAAAAGAACACCTGCAACTGGGAAGATCCCGACGTAAGTATCTTTGTCTGTCGGCGATCGAGTCGTGGGAGTCGAGTTGGCGAACGGCGCGAACAAACACCGCCGCTGGCCGTGGGTTGCCCGCGCTGGTAGATTTGAGCGTCGTTCGATTCAGTAGCGCTCGAGGAAAACCCCCTGCCGGCTTTGGCGCGGATGCCGCGAACCCGCCGACCTTATACACTCCTTTGGCACGAACCTACCCGCGCCCGTCATGAGAGAACATGAGCCCACGGCGTGTTGCTGCAATGCCCTCGAGCTAACTAGCCTCTTGTCGTTGCTTGTGCGACCTACTCGCAGAGACTGGTCCGATCTTCTCGAACCGCTCGTTGGAACCGCGCATTTGATCCTTCAGGCACTGTGTGCCTCTCCTTGACGTTGTGACGATCACGGCAATAGCAGTTCTACCCGGTCGCCAAAAAGGAATTCCGTTGGTGGACTTTGCGCAGAACGCTAAAAGGGTGGGGGACGGGAAAGTTTCAGCACAATAAGTTGCCCCGAATCAAGAAGTTAAATGGGATTTTTCTGCTGACTTTTCGACGATGCGCCACCGTCCTTCGTCGGTGCAGACAAGCTAGCTGGCTGCATCGTGCCACCGCTCGTTGATGGCGGTAGTAGTACTTTCGGGCACACACTTGGTAAGAACTTTCCAAAATCAGAGTCGAGCAGTTAGTCGATGTAACAGGCGCGTGTGTACCCTTTGTTTTCATTTCTGATCAAGCGGCCTTTCCTCTCGAAAGCTTTTAAGATGTGCGAGCGGGCCAGACCAGTTTTGGAACTATTCTGATTTGAAAGCCGAAACTCGGGACCACAGGACAGCAAGAAGGAAAACTCGGGGCATTTCGAATGCTCAAAAAAGCTGCCTCCATCACTGAGCCTTGCTGGCGATTCTTTGTGCGAGCTTAACCCGTTGTTGTTTTTTCCGCAGGTGTGCAAACACTTCCTGGCTCAGTTCTGCCCCAACGACCTGTTCGTGAACACCAAGGCAGACCTGGGCCCCTGCAACAAGGTGCACGACGAGCGGCTTAAGAGGGAGTGAGTTTTTTTCTCTGGAAGTCCTGTTTCCCGCACAATGGCGGCACTCCCGTGTGGGTTCACTGCGCCCAGTGGACGTTCGAGCAACTGACGGCTGTGCGCAGTCATCCCGCATGTTTCCATTACCATGCCTAGAACATGTCTTTGGCTGGTGTGTTGTTTATCGTCTTGCACGCCCACACACGGAAGTGGTCACGGGAGTCAGCGGCCCGTTTAGTCACTTGCCACGATCCCTGCTGTAGGTCAGAGCATGCGCAAAAATCGCCGTCGTCGTAACGTCCCAACTTGTGGCTGCCGTAGTTTCCGTCGGCCGTTCGGCTGCAGAAGAGCGCACAGTAGAACTGGTGTCGCCCGCATCCAGCTCTGCCACCGTTCCACCACCAGGGTAGCAGACAACGCTACAGGCTGATGGGTCCAATCAAACAGTGTCAAAAGGCGAATTACTGGGCCTTCCTTCTACACGATGGGTGGCTCGGCAATGACAGGACATGTACAGAAACGCGACGAACACCCCGTCGCTGCACTTTTGATGCTGCCCTTTCAGTCCCATCACCTCGTGGCGTTGACTTCTTCCGGACGTAAGGTGGAACAAAGTATGAATGTGCCGACCGTGACATCGCGAGGCAGAAATCAAGGAGGCTGCGAACAAAGGCTTGATAAATATCCGAGTTGGAGAAGTGTTTTCGGCACCGTAACTTCCATCTCACTGCCTTTTGCCTGGAGCAAGGATCGAAAGGATGTTTTTCCGGGAGGTAGGAGAGCGACCGTAATTTGGGCGAAGCAGACGTGGTGGTAGGGCGTACGGTGTTGCACAGGCACAACGTCGCATCTCTTCCAACTGCCGCAGGTACGAGGAGAGCAGCCGCTACAAACAGGAAGGCTATGAGGAGGGTTTCCTCCAGTTCTGCCAGTCGATGCTGTCGGACGTGGAGAAGCGCATCCGCAGGGCGCGCCAGAGGCTTTCCCTGAGCAACCAGGAGGTGGGTGGGGCTCTGCCCCGATCCGCGGTCGCACCGCGAGGCGGCCCGATTGAAGGGTCGGGGGCGTCTGGCTGCGCTCCGTCGCAGGGTGGCATCAAGCCCAGGGAGCCCTCGGAGCCCACGGACGAGCGGGTGATTGTACTGAACGAGCGGATCCAGGGGCTGCTCCAGCAGGTGGAGCAGCTGGGCTGCGAGGGCAAGGTGGAGGAAGCCCAGGGGGTGATGAAGCTGTGCGACCAGCTCAAAGAGGAGCGCAGGGCCCTGGACAAGGACTCGGACACCGCCCACTGGCTCAAGGTGGGCAGACGGCGCAGGGGCCGGCATTGCAAATTCTAATTAAACTAGTTTCCAGATTAAAAAAAAATTTAAGTGTTTGGGCCTAGGTGGGACACCCGCATTCATAGTAAAATGAACTTTGTCCAAAAAGTATATATATTTTAGTGCAATATTTTTTTGCGAGACTTGTTTTGGCGATTCCGAAAAACATGCTTCTGGTTTGGGGTCGACATCTCAAAATCGGTCCGAACCCAAAATCTGTCTTGCTACGCGAGTGTTGCGCTAAAGAAAAAGTGATTTTTGGAGGGCAGAAGTTAGTTTTTGGGATGCCTATGCAGTCGCACGGCTTGGAAGGACGAGCACGGAGCTCCAAACGCCGTCTTCAACCAGATGGCCTTCACTCTTGCTTCAGTTTGTTTCAATTCGATCCAACCCATCTCGATTCGCCCGTTAGATGTGATTCAGTAGCTGCAACGCAATTATAATGCTTTAGGGGAGCTTGTAACGAAATCGTCAATACTGTCCCATGCCCGTCGGCACTGCAAGATGGTTGCGGACGCAGTTTTCAGTGCCCCCACCTCACAGAGGTACTTTGTGTGTGCTTGCTTTTGACGGTGGTTTGTGTGCATCTGGGGTAACTCCTCTGGTTTCTGGATGAAATGAGTGGGGCAGGGTGTTATGATACTGGCCTTATCATACACTTCAGAAGGATCTTTCCATACCAGTCCTATTCTACACTTTGGCAATATATCTTATCCTACCGTTCTTATACTACACTTCGGCTGGACCTTATCCTAGTCGTGTGCGAAATGTAGATTCCGAGTTTAAAGTGAATAGTGGTTTTGGCCAAATGTTTTCCAATCAAATTTTTTATAGTTTCTCTAAGCCTTTCACTACTGTACCATGCTTACACGAAAACCCAGCTGAACTCGTCAAGGTTGTTCCCAAACCTTTATGAGCTAAATTAATTTCAATCTAATTATATTTACCAACTATAGCCTCAGAAAGTTCAGTGTCTACATTAGGTTGGCAAGTAAATGACGCATTTGACATAAAGTTAAACCTATGAAATGCCCAGCTATACCTAATTGAGGGGATTTATAAATATTTTCGCTATACACAAACACTTTTTCTCCAGTCACGAAATATTATTGCAGGTTGTCAGAGCATCTCTGCCTAACATGCATCCACACATAATACCCAGTTTAATTTTAAAAAATTTTGCTGCAATGTATATGTCAACATTCACAAAGTTTCCATTTCTTAAGTACACCACACAAGCGCGTGCACCGTTCCACTTTCAAAGTGCGCTTTCCTCCTAAGCACACGGCTGCAATATTTGTGCTTTTTGAAGCATTCTCTGCAACGGGATAGCCCCTTAAATTCGAATGTCCGCACACTACCTCATCCTACCGAAGTGTGGGTAGGGTGGCGCGGCCCCTGAAAGGGATGCTTCCCTGGTGCGCAGCAAACGGCGGAGCTGGCTGCGGCCCAGGAGAAGCAGATGGAGGTATGCGACATCTGCGGAGCCTTCCTCATCGTGGGAGATGCCCAGCAGAGAGTGGACGACCACCTTATGGGGAAGCAGCACATGGGCTATGCCAAGCTTAAGGAGGCCGTTGAGGAAATGGTGGTACGTCTTCCAGCCTTCCTGACACGCTTTCCAAAAGGTTTGCCTGCACGAGCGCTCGAGCTGGGAAAGTACAGTGGATCTCAAAGAGGAATGGACATACTAACACATTCTGCCAATATCAGTGACTTAATAATACTAATAATTGCTTATTTTTCATTAACAGTAGGATATATTATCGGTGGAGGAGGTCGAGGAAAAAGAGTTGTTCATAGTCAGCTTGAACAGCCCTCGGCCCCCTTACCAAAGCCGTAAAGAATTAAGTGTTCAAAAAAGTAAAAAAGAGGCATATATTGCAAACAGCATAAACACACTTTGTCTGTCGTATTATAAACACTGAGCGAAAAGCACAAACAGCATAAACACCCTTTCTCATTTTAAAAACATACAACGAAGTTCAGATGAAATTGTTTCTATATTTATTTTTTTCCGATTTAGACAATTAAAAAAAAGGTTAAAAAGCATAAATTTTAGTATTTGATGTCTGTAGTTACTTTAACATCTGGAAACCTTCCGGCGGTCCGCATGACGAGTGGAATGGACAATCATAGAACTTTGTAGGAAGGTTAATTCGGTCAAAAAAGTTGGTTTTCTTATTCGTTCAGATTTAAAACAATCGCTAAGCTTGTAGTTGTTCAATTCTTTGAATATGGAGCACTTGAAGGCGCTGAACGTATCAAGTAGCATCTTTTCTCGAATGAGTCTTTTACTGGTCCAATTAGTGTCGGTGAATTTTACTCAAAGAAGTTTTCTTTGTGCTCGAAGTTGAGACGACTTCGAGTACAAAGAAAATAAGAAATGAAAAACTGCTGTTGTTATTGACGGTAAGCCACAGATACGCTGCGCCAAGCTGAAGCAAGCCGTCGAGGAGAGGGTTGTATATTGCCCTCCTCCTATGAGGTTCCAGTGCACCGAGGGTGCCTAAAGAGTTCCAGTCTCCAAAGGCTTGTTGTAAGTGCGCGCGAGCAAAGAAAGTACAGTGCGTCCCAAAAACAAGTTTCCACGCTAAAGTAAGTATGGAAAACTCAATGACTCGCTGTATTAAGCGGTAATTTTTCTCAAGTCTGTCTTTTACTGGTCTAATGTATGTATGCAAATTTGAAGTTGGTACTTTGAGTGCAACAAAGGTAAGAAACTAAAACAATGGAAGACTTTTACAATTTTCTGCAGTGCCGAATTAGAGCGCAGCTCTTGAGGAGGAGGAGGGGACGGTATGGAGAGGAGGGTATCCTCTCCTTCTCCTCTCCCTCCTTCGTGACGTCGCTCGTGACCTTTGTGATGTCACTTGTGACGTCACAAAGGTCACTGTGAAGGTTGTGACATTCGTCGTGACCTTCGTGACAATTCTTCGGGACCCTTGTGACGTCACGTGTGACGTCATTATGGGAAACGTTCCATAATGCATCGCACGGTTTACGCCAAAGGCGACACCGCTCTAGTAGGAAACGGGCGCCTAGGAGCTGCGCCCTAAAACTGATGATTTCAATGACGGTAAGCAGCACATGGGTCATGCTAAGTTCAAGGAGGCATTGAGTAAATTGTGGTAAGTCACCCACCCATGCTGTGGCATGCTCCAAAGGGTCCCTTTCAGTTGCACTCCCTAAAGTGTTCTCTTGCACAAACGCTCGAGCGAGGAAAGTACAGGGTGCCTCAAAAAATAAAGTTTGCGCACTAAAATGACAGGAAAAATTGGCGACCTAACAAAGCAAGCGGCAAATATTCTCAAATGTGGCTTTTACTGCTCCTTAAGATTTTTGCGAGTGTGAAATCTCTTGTTCTTAGTTTGTGAAGCATCCCGGAATCGGCTGTGCCCCAATGTCTTCTTGCGTCGCAGGGCAAACGCGAAAAGGAACGAGAGGACAAAGAGAAGCAGCGGGAGCGCGAGCGGGAGGAGCGCCGGCGACGCAGAGACGACGACGGCTCCCACTCACGGAGGACAGACGACAAGCGGGACGACCGCAGGGACGACAAGCGGGACGACAAGAGGGACGACCGCCGGGAGGACAGGCGAGAGGACAAGCGGGACGACAAAAAAGACGACAAGCGGCGTCGGCGCAGCCGCTCGCGGCACAGGGACGACGGGGACCGGCGCAGAGAGGACGGCGACCGGCGAAAGGACGACGCCGACCAGCGTAAGCGGGACGAGGATAGGCGTAAGCGGGACGACGACCGGCGCAAAGAGGACGGGGAGCGGCGGCGGAGCAGCCGGCGCTCGGAGGAGCGGAGCCGCTCGCACAGGGACTCCTCGTCTCACCGGTCGTCGGGGCACGACCGGCACCGGCGGTCCGACCGGAGGGAGGACTCTCACCACCGGGACCGCAGCCGGGACCGGGGCGGCGGCTCGTCGTCTTCGAGAGGTACGCTTTTCGTAAACGACTCGTGCCCAAATGATCGTTTACGGGGGCCGTTCACGGTTTTCTCGCACTTGGAGGTACGGTGTACGACTCCGTCGGTTGCGTGACGCAAGTCGTACGATTGGGAGGTTGTCCCGGCTCGCGGAAGTGTTGGCCATCCGCGCCAGGTACGTTGTACGACTATGTCGGTTGCGTGACGCAAGTGGCTTGATTGGGAGAATGTCTCAGCTCGCGGAAGTGTCGGCCATCCGCGCCAGGTACGGTGTACAACTACGACGGTTGCGTGATGCAAGTGGCACGATTGGGAGGGTCTCCCGGCTTGCGAGAGGGTCGGCCATCCGCGCTATTTTCTCGTCAGGGTCGTCGTCATCACGAATGCAAAGGGCAATAGAGAACTCGTTGGGTTCGTTACTGCCGTTTGCAGAGACGGGACGTAACGTGGCATTTGTTGCGATCAAACCATGCCGATTGCCACCGGTTGCATCGGCGACATCAGAATGCCAGGCTGCACTGGGTCTGGTTTTCACTACGTCTCGGCGTAAACAATCCTTAAATGCCGCTGGACATCGTGCCGGTCGGACGAATCACGATTTGTGGGGACGGAATAAGGGAACGCTCCCCTAGACCCAGAAAGCGGGCGTCGAGTGAAGCGCCGCGGTCGGAGCGTCCCGAGGCTGATTCGACGACGCTTTATTCGATGCAGTGACCAATGGAGACGCGAGCCCCAGGCACCGAGATGACAAGTGAGTGCGCGGGACCACAGGTAGGTGTCTCTGCGCTCGCCTCTCTTTCGCTTTGGGGGAGGGGGGGCGGGCTTTCGTGCCTCTCTTCCGGCCGTTGGCCCTCGCTCACGGCGAGACGTGCCCATCAGGCAAGTGCAAAAGAGCGGGGAAACTGTTGGGAGGACTTGCTTCTCTTCTTGCGGGGTCTCTGGTTGGGGGGAGGGGACACCTAAATAGGCTACGCTTCGGAGTCCGATGGTGCTTCGTCGGATTGAATTGGATTCTTTCGGCTAAATCCTTTGCAGCGGTTGGTTGCGGTTTAAAACTGAACCTAGCCATATAAACTCTGTGCCTGATATCATTGTCACCAGTCGTTCGAAGCCTTACCCGAAATCGCAATTAACGGTTTTCCTTCCGCCGGAAGCGTTGTAATGGTCCGCAACAGGGCGAGGCAACTTCGCCCGAGCTTACCGACGCCACGTCTAGGGTCTGAGACGTCGCATTTTCGAAAGCTAGCTATTGCCGATACCGGACCGTTCCGGAAATTTGCGACGCCTGCTCCGTCTTTCCGGCGCATTACGACGATCCGAGGTGCAGAACATGAAATAGTACCGACAAATAGAAGAGTAGTTGCCGTGACGCAAACAATGCAGGGCGATAAGTAGTGTGTATCATACTTGTTTTGCTTCGTTATATACGCAAACAATGCAGGGCGATAAGTAGTGTGTATCATATTTGTTTTGCTTCGTTTTATTTTCCTCGTGTCGTGAACTCGCGCGGATGAGACGGAATGGAATGCGTCGCATCCAAGATATACGAGGTGCTGGGGTCAGCACGTGCGTCGGAACGTGAAAGTCTATCGCACCCAGCGTGCAGCAGGCAACAAAATGGCGGGGCAGTCTCGGGAAACGGAAAGTCGGTACCCCAAGCGTCGCTTACTCTGTGGCTCTAACGGGGGAAGTTCTCGGGCGGAGGGCGGTGGCAGTCTGGTCCGTGGTGTCCCCTCCCCCTACCCGAAGCGGGCTTGACCCTCCCCCTCCGGGCGTGGCCCCGTGGGGACGACAACAGTGCAGACGTCTTCTCAAGCGGCGGGCTCTTACTTTCAGAGGAGGCAGGTTTTGGTGCCCTTGCGAAGGTGGCACCAAACAATTGTGACCCCCCCCAAACATTTTGCCAAACAAACGCCAAGTCTCTGTGTTCACAAGTAAGTTCTGCCGGGGGTGAGGCCTAGCCGCCGCCGGCTTAGGAAGGGGCACATTGCCGGTTTGGGGCAGGATTTTTTATGGTTCGGGGGGTTGTGTGCGCGACTTTGCTTGCTTAGCCTCGGAGAGGGGTGGGCTGGACTCTCATTGTTGGAGGCGTCGGTGGCCGCAGCACGCTTCGGGAGACATCCCTGGCCGTTGCTTCGAACGATGCTAGCCGCGCAAGCGGAATGGGAGACCTGTGCGAGGACAGCACACATGCACGGAGTGTGCTGCAATGCGCCACGTAAACAAGGAAAGGTAGCTCGTGCAAAGAACAATACATGCCACGAAAGATGGCGATACGAAAGTGAATTGAGCAATTTAGACGAAGTGGCGAAACGATCGACGCTGGACAAAAGTTCCGTGAGATTTGCAGAGTTGAGTGGGACGAGCTGTTCGATTTTTTCAAGTTAAAAGTAATCGAGCTGGTCCCAGTCTAGTACTTCAGCATATTCAGTGTGAACCTAACTCGTTGGATTGCTGGCAACTGATAGCATTGGTTTGGTCTACTAGTTAGTGCAGTAGTTAAAGCATTTGGGAGATGTTCCAGGATCAAAACATAAACCAGGTGCATTTATATTTCAGCTGTGCTCCATCTTGGGTGGAAGTGTGTATTTCTTTTTTCAGTTTGTGACCATCTGTCGAATTAAATTTCACAAAATGTTATTCTTTTTTTTCTGGGACAAATGATATAGAACCTTTCACTTGCACCTCTCAACCAAAAATCAACTTGTAGTATTCTGAGCAAATTACTTGCAAAGCAAAGCAAATTACTTGCAAGAAATTGTGAGGCAATGGTGTTGCATAGGTGAAACGTTCTACCATTCAGGTGATAGTTCTAGAAGCACGTCTAGCCTGTTCGGCCAGACACCTACATTCATGGCGCTCTTCATCGGAGGATTTCATGCGTGGCATGCGCACACATGAAATGATAAACCTGGTGATCTTCCAGAACCCTCTAACCCACTCCTCCTCTCCCACCCTGCCTCCCTTCCTCCTCTCCCACTTGTCAACCAATCCGTGGTGATCCTTGCGGCCCAGTTTTTATCCAGGCCTTACTTTTGGGCTTCACGAAATGCCGAACTCCTAGCCAAAGAATGTTTCACGTTAATAATGGGGTAGTACGCGGCTAAAAGCCGGAGTTCGTTGCCTTCTGTAAGTCGGTTGCAATTCGAAGCTGTGGTTTTCTTGTCGTCGACATGAAGATGAATCTGTGTGGAACGCTGGTTGCCGATGGTTCCGCCATTCTGTTATCTTTGTAGACTGATTAATTTTAGTCGGTCTTTGGGTGTTTCTATAGTTTGCTGCAACATGCAGTGTAATTCAGATAAGCGTGGTCAAAACCACTAGGTTAAGGCAAAACTGGGCACATGTTAGTGCTGATCCTGGGATCCTCCGCCATAGATGCGTAGATATCTTGCGAGCGTGCTGCGGCTACCAACTCCTCGGATTGGCATAAATTGTTCCCGGGGGTAGTCTACGAACGAGCTAAAATTAACCGCATATACTGAGCTTCGTGTCGTTGATTCAGGATGCACCTCAACTATCTTCTAGGTTCCACAGAGTGCAGCCGGGAATGGGGGGGAATGCTTGCGTCTTGTGGGGTGCTTGCATTGTGGGGATGCTTTCTTTTAGCTCTCTTTTTTTCTTCATCACTTCTTTTTTGTTTTCCTGTGACGCCTGTGCTCTCATTTCTAGCAGTCGAATGTCGCTTTGAGAGGTTTGATAACAAGCAGACGAGGTGTGAGTGTGTAAACGGCCGCGCAAACGCAGCCCTGCCATGACGGCCTCCCCCGCCATCGACGTCTCGACACAGGTGGGCTGCAGCCGCTCCCTCCTCGCCACTCTCTCACTCTCTCTTCTTTTTTGGGGGGCCGCACGGTGCTCTCTGCCCTCGGCACTGTGCGCCACGGCAGTAGCGCCCTCTGGACACGAGAGAGGGAACCGACGTGTTCTGCCTCAGGTTTCAGTTGCACGACGTGGGCGCCAGACGTCGTTCAAGCACACCACCGACGTTACACTTCGTTTCGGCTTAAGTCCGGGCGCATTCGACACTACGAGGTAATGGAACCAATAAAGCAGCGGCGGGAGCGCAGGTCACAAGAGCTCTTCTGTTTATGATTTGTTCAGAGATGATGGAACACGTACGGAAACATGATGAACACCATGATTGCGCGCTTTTGACGCTGTCCGACCGGTCTCGTCGGCTCGTAACGTCCGCTGCATCTGGACTCGGGGTGGAACGAAGTGTGGCGTCGGACCGCGAGGATTTTGGAAGTGTCCGCGAAATGGGCGGGCGAAACCGAAGCGAGAGGGCGACAGAAGACTGGAAGACGAAGGGTTTGGTGCACTCGTTTTGCCGCAACGCTCCCTTACGAAATGAAGTCAAGAAAGACAGGATACTGACTTTGCAAGTTATATTTTGCCGCTTTTTCGTGTTTACGAAAGGTTCGCCAGCGATAATGGTACTACCGACGTCTGCTCACATGCCCCGCCATTGTGACGCCTTGCCATTTTGACGCGGCCGAAATGCACGGGGAGAATGGCGAACCTTTCTCTCCAGAGTGATTGTTACATATCCTATGGGCGAAGGGGGAGCCGTTCCGCAGGCGCACCCGTAAGAAGCGACGCATGTAATGCCTGCATCGAGCATGAAGCAGCGCTGCAGCGTCTGTCTGCATGAGGTAACGGAGCGTCTGAAAGAAGTAAAAGAGTTTAAACGGGAAAAATTTAGCTTGTGGTTTCAGTGTCTTGTCAAAGTGCTTGGTAGCTTTCTTTTTAATTATTATTCTCTTTTACAAATTTATATCTACCATCAGTCGGCCGATAAATATTTGACTTTGCTACGGCCCTATAGACCGGGGTCTCCAAACCTTGGTCCGCTTCCAGCAGGCGCCCTGCTACCAGCACAACAATAAGTGCACGTACTGAACAGCACCACAGTGCGCACCAAGTGCGTAAACAAAGATACCAGAAAAAGATGAGAGAAATGTAGAGCATATCCTCAGTCCTTTCTTTCATAGCAGCGTAACTATGTATGTTAAAATTCCAATGCATTTACATGTATGTTGTGCTTAGTATAGTTCTATCATTCTCGTTAGTCTTCTGCCCTGTGTGAACATGCCAAAGTTCCTACGCATTTTGATGTATGCCTCGCACGTTTTTTGGTTCTCAATTATGTAATGTCATAATTAGCTAAATATTGAGTTTCAAAATGAATGGTATGTATTCAACCACCTCAATGTTTAGTCTTACTTTCAATTTTGTATTTAGTCATTTGTCTAGGATTATTTATTTGGTTTTTCCACATTCACATTTACTCAAATTGTTTTCCGGCCCTTGGGACAGCGATGGATCCTCGCTCCGAGGCCTTAGCCAAAAATGTCTCAGAGACCCCCACTATAGACCAACGTGCGGCCCCGATGCACGTGCAGACGCGTCTCCAAAACTTGGTTTCTGCGCAAGCGCAATGCTCGTGCCCAGCGTGGGCAAACATTGGCTTGTTCGTAAACAGCGTGCGCCGCGAAAGCTTGCCTCGCATCAAGACAGCATTCCCCGCCGGTTCTGGGCGGGTGGCGCACGGTACCGAGGGCAGATGGCCGAGTCGGCACCCGCCGGTTTGCCTCTTTGGGCGCGGGTGGCGCTTTGGCCAGTGCCCTTCCAAAGCAGCGCCTTGCCTTACCTCGCAGCAGAAGAGGAGGCGCCGGGCGAGGGACGTCGGCCGGGACTGCCCGGGGGGACGAGCGGACCGGCCAAAGAAGGTGCCTGTTTGCATTCTGTCCTCTCTGGAGAAAGCCTCTCCTCCCTTTCAGAGATTGCTCGTCGTGGTCCCCGCTCCGGCGAGCGGACGACAAACTCGTAGCTAACCCCACGCGGAGCAAGTTTCGCCGAGAGGGGCGGGAGGCCACATTAAAAACTGGTACTGTAGCCACCCGTTGTGTCTTATTTGCGGCTTCGGCCTCTTCGGCGCACGCCGATCTTGCAGCCGCCAAGATGGTTGTCGGGCAACGGCACTAATTTTTAAGGCTTTTCGGTTTCTAAACTAGGTGGCGCCAGCTACCGCCCGTTATAAAGGGTACGGCCGTTGGCGTCCATTCATCCTGTTTCAAACAGGCACAACTGTTTACAACCGTGTGCCTTAATACTTTAAAATCTCTTACAACGAGAGCGCCATCTGTCGGGTGGCCGTAGGACACCTGGAATTTCCGCACATTTTCTATGTTGTTTGCGCATCATTGTATCTTAGCTTAGGAAACTTTTTACAATGCTATAAGCAATCCATTTCTCATAGATGGTACATACATTCAGTATTGCAAATGCTGCAAAACCTACTATACTCTAGTGAAATGCAGTTTCAGGGTCAGCTTATAGGTGGTGCCGGTCGTAAGGAAACGTAAATGTGGGAACGGGCCTTTAAGCAGCCGTGCGACGTATTGGTATGGTGGTCATCGCAACACCAGCAACGACCGACTGGCGTGCTTAGCATCCCTTGCAGTGGAACTTCTCGGACATGACGACGAAGTGCGTCGCAGGAGCCGCTGTACGTGGAACGAACCTGCGTAGCACTGTGGCGGTAACCCTTGTCGTGGGTTGTGAATCACGACCAGACATGACCAGGTCGGGTGTCACACCTAGCAGTTGGGTGATTTCTAGAGACTCGCGTGGATAATAGTTTTATCATTCACATCCGCATGCGCAGACTTTGTATCCGCTCCTGAACCGCATCTGCAACTTTCTTAATCGTTGCATCCGATCTACGTCTGCAAAATTCAGAACTGCGTCCGACCTGCGATTCACGCATTCTTCTTAAATCAAAATCGAGCGTGATTGAAAATTTGAAGAAAAAAAATGTAGAATCCACAGGAGTGGTTATTTATGAATGCAGTACCATTTATTGTTGCACACACGGGCAGGTTAGGGGGAACCTGAATTGGTGCATAGGTCACAAGAAGGAAGTTTTCCGCTAAATTTAGCAGACAGCCTGAAAACACGGCCAGAAAATGATACCCTTATAGGTGAAAACCTGGTTTAGTAGCTTAATAATGCTATTGTGTTAAAATTGCTGGATGGTACCTTAAAGGGGCAATGCAATGATTTTTGTGCTTTGCGCAAATACCGCTTAGTAGGCATCCCCGACGTTAATGACCTGTGAAATGCCCGTTCGTTCTTCACCACACGCAATCGAAGTCACAGAAAAATATAAAGAAAAACAAGCAGCGTTCATCCCCTCAACTCACAGCCAGAACAAGCGGCCACGTGATCTGGAGCCGATTGTATGCCGCCAATGTTGATCATAGCCGCACGCTGGGGTTGGCAAGGCACAGGACACGTGCAGAGTTTTAGACATTGTTATGGTTTGGCTATTGTCACCATTGCAGCGCTTGGACACGGGCAACTCCCTGAATGCTTCTCGAGATATCGATTATCACAAGCCCAGATCACTGGGTGGTACTGCGACCGCCCGGCCGTCATCAAGTTTTGCGAAGCAGAGATTGAATGAAAACGCTCGCTTTTGTCCTCTATATTACACCGCAACAAAGGAGCGAGTCCCACTACTGCCGGTAAGCTCGTGTAAAGTGAAAAACATTCTAATTGAACATTGTTGCACCGCCACTTTAACTCTTATAACCTGTTGGCTTATCTTTGTACAAAGAACTCGAAGTCGAAATACTGTGGAAGTCATCTTTTCATGTTCTTTCGTATTTATATTACATGCGATCATCCTTCCAGAGGCACTTTGCGCCGCTAGAAAGGTGACTGCATTTATGAGGTCATCCTGGGTGTCTGTGACAGTCTGCCCAGAAGATGCGCTCGAAAGGAAGGAATTTTTTTTAATACTTTTTGCTTTGTGGCGTCCACTTCAAGCCGATGTGTGTTAATAAACAAAAAAGTTGGGGCGCAAATTAGCCGCTGAATATTAGACATAACACAACCCGGAGACTGCAGGTAGGTAAGAGACGACATACGCAAAAAATCTCTAACAAAGATGAAACCGTATTTTCTAAACATAAAAATGAATAAAGGACACACTAACAACATTGTGTTATTTTATTTAGGTCAAACAATAAAATAAGAGAGAAAAGGCATCATTGCAGTGAAGTAGTCGTATATACGTGGTAAGATGCGAGTACACCACTAAGAAAATATCGCAATATTTAATAATGGCAACACCACCTACTCGTTTCAGTTTTAAACATGAACCCCCAACCGCTTGCTCCAAGCCGCATACTTCGCAACTTGCAGTCACTAAAAAAAAAAACTAAAAAAAAAACGCTCTTTTGTCATGTTTGTCAATGAGCCTGCTTCTTTCATGTGGCTCTTACGTTTTGCGGTTTCTTTGCCCTACGAATGTTTTGCGCTCCATCACTGCCAAACGAGAACACACTTTCCCGAGATGATTGATGCCCCTGCATTCTTTCCTTTTTCTAGGGACAGTATCTTTGGTGAGATGGAACGTTCGATCTTCGGTGAAAATAAGACGCTTATCGGTCGCCTCAACAAAAATGTGGATCCAGACCCATGGACATCCGCGTCCGATCCTCCAAATTTCATTCATTGTTACCCGCATCTGCCAGTCGACTGCGGATGTGCAGGGCTCGCGATTTCACAAGACATACTTTTGGCTTAGAATCTCGCCGGACGCCATGTTGACGAACTTTCGCGACGCGTCCTACGAGCAGAGGTGGTGCAAGATCTTTACGTCGCGGTAGACTTCGTTTGCCAAAGTAGTCGGTGATACAGTAGAGCATCGTCTAGTGCTTATTGTTTTATACATGACAGTCTTTATTCGGATTTAAGATGAGCCAGGAACTCTGAAGAGAAACGAGTCGAGAAAAATCTTGGATATCTGTGGCCCAGATACTTTCCCGGTCATACTTACCGACTTCTGTTGGTGGCGGAGCCACTCTCCAACGCTTTGGTGTTTCAACGACGCCGATAACCGAGTGTTAGTGCGTAAACAAGTAGCGGGCACCGGCCCAGCAGAACGCAGCTTACCGCAAGGGAAAAGGCTTTCGCAGAGCTGCCCTACGTTGCGACGTCCGGCCCTCATGCAGCACGAAAATGGCAGTCGAAATTGAGTGCCTCTCGCCCGTGCTCCATAATCGGTACGTTTCTACAGCGTCGTACAAAGTCCATACTTGACTAGAGCGATCGGCCTAAAGAGGCCACTAGCCGCCCACACTGCAGTTGCACAGCAGGTTTCGAGTACAGAATGGAGGTGACGTTGGGCGTTTGGGAATCTTAGCTTGACAGCTGAGGCTACCACTTACGGTGCCTCTATGCTTAATAATTAGGGTGTATCACTTTTCCTGGAGACCTACAAAAACCGGCATCCACACAAGCCCGCCGTTGCGCTGCCTCGGCGTGGAACGTCGGCACGCACCAACTTGGCTGCCCGGAAGTAATGACAAACCAGCGAGGTCCCGCAACAATTTATTCTGGCGAGAGGAAAATCTGTCGAACGCTACCCTGGAACCGTGCATCCAAGTTCAGAGTCCGCACCTCTAGGCACGTAAATAGCGCTAACACGACGTCGGCTGGCACTTGTAAATATCACAGCATTTTCCCAGTCGCTGAAACTGGGAATAGAACCGACGCCACCCAGATAAGAAAACCGTAGTGTTGAATTTTTGATGTCGCCTTGCCGAGGTTGGCGTGGGGCACCGACCGGACAAGAGTGCTGCATCGGCAATTAGCTGGGACTCGAGTTCGTTCTGCGAGGACGAGCGTTTGCCGAACACCGGGGTAGCACTCGTACCTGATCCATGCCCTGCACTGGTACCTCCTAGGAGACTCGACAAATCCAGCACCATGGCCTTCATCTATTAGGAGTCGATAGACCTCGTATGGCAGAGACATTGGTGTTTACCTCGCTAAATAAATATTTACACTCAATGTAGCGCACACTCCCAAATTTTTTTTTTTTTCTTCAGAAGTGCACTGTACCCTGTTCACCCTTATGCCGAGACTGCGGCCAAAGCTAAGAGCGCAAGCTAGCTCCGCGCTCTTTTGAGACGCGCATTTCTAGCGCGATCGCTTGTTCTGCTGAAGAAAGCTTAGATGCAACAACCGTGTGGCAATGGCTGCGGTCTCGGCTTAAGGGTGAACGGAGTATAGAGAGCTCGTTGTAGAAATAAGTTATGTCGTGTGGTGTATTTGTTAATGAGTGCAGAACTCTGTCGGTACTAGATGCACCAAGTCCCTTCAACGTATCTGAGCAAAAGTAGTCCTCAACCGTCTGAGCTAGTTCGGCTCAAAAAGAAGTCCTTGAAAAATCCGCCTTGGCCAGTCTAGCTTGGAGCCAGTCCAGCTTGGAGGCAGTCCAGTTCATAGTCAGTCCGACTCTTGGTCCGAAAGTCCGAGTAGCCTCTCGTCGTCGTCTGCTGCTGCTATCAGGTCCTGCCCTCCGTTCCTCCGGGACGCTTCCACTAGGGCAAGAAATTGGCCCCCCGGACGCTTGAGGAGCTCCGCCGGACTCCCCGACTCCACGATCCTTCCATGGGACATCACCAACACCTGGTCGCAGTCCAGCACAGTTTGCACCCTGGATGGGAGTGAAGGCACGCGTCATTCTTCGGGCAGTTGCCAGGTATACCGGCTATGAACGCAATGGATACAACCATACCGGCTACAATTATACCCGCTACGAACATACGGGCTACGACTGTTACTGACAAGGCTCTTAAGAACCACTCGCCTAGGTGTCCCCCCAAACGCTTGCGTTGCTCATCTGGTATATGCTCATTTGCTTACCTATGAGCGATGAGCAGAATGGTGGTGTTGCCAAAGATGCTCCTGATGGTCTGCTGGATGGCACGGTCAGTATCTGCATCCACCGCAGCAGTGGCTTCGTCCAGGCAGAGGACCTTCGAGGTAATAAAGCACAGTCAAGGACGGCTCCATTCGGAGAATGACCCAAAGGGACAACAACGCAAAAAGACCAGGGGCTCCGAGTTCCAAGCTGGACACTCGGGGAGGAAGTTCCTCTCCTTCGCTTTTCCTCTACGTTCAGCTTTGTTCAAGGAAGGAAGTTTTGTTTTTATTGGAATGCAAGTGCCGGTGACAGCGGCTAGCTTTTGATAAGAATAGTAACTAAAAAATGAATAAAATAGCTTGTAAAAAGTAAAACAAAAATTTAACAATTACATAATAAAAAAATTGCATGAGAACACTTAAGACTGCTTACATGTAGGAAGGCAAAGCATTATACCGTAAAATACTGAGCATCCGCCCACCCCCAAATTTCCCAACATCTGGAAAAATATGCACAGTACATATAGGTCGAATTAATGACCTAACAAGTGCCCATTCCCCACTGTTTATTATTTTCTCCATATTTTGAGTGGGTGCTTGCTCGGCATTTTACGGTAGTCCCGCGGGAGAAACGTTTTCGAGTAATACTTCTACACGTATTATAGTTTAGGACTACGTCGAGGACGACTTCCTGGAGGTCGACTCCAAGGACGGCGTCTAGGACGACTTCAAAAACGACTTCTAGGAGGCCTTCTAGAACGACACCTAGAAGAGGACACTTAAGGAAGCCGTGGCGTATTTGCGTGGGCAGCCACGTTTGCATTCGGAAGCCACCGGGAGGATGGTGCAAAAAGGCAGACACGGGTGTCTCGGTGTCGCCGCGTGCTGTGTGACGCGCTTGCAGCGAGACGTTTGAAGACGCGCCAGCAGCGACACCGATGCGTCTCGCCGTTCGTCGAGGAGAGAACTGCGAGGTGCACGCTTGTCGGAACTCCGCCGTCGAGACCCCACGGTGCGCGAGTGCGACGCCGACGCCCGATGACTCCGCCGCAACACATTGCAGTCATTGCTTCGTTTTTAGAGCGCAGCTCTTAGGCGCCCGTTTCCAGCTTGAGCTTCGTCGTAGTCGTGGGCGTAACCGCACATTGCATTATGGGACACTTCCCATAATGTTTTCACGAGTGACATTATGTGGGTCGCTAGTGACATCATGAAGGTCACGACCTTCACGAGTGACGTCGCAAGGGTTACAAGTGACATCACGAGGGAGGAGGAGAGGGCATACCCTCCTTCCTGTACGTCCCCTCCTCCTCAAGAGCTGCACTCTAATTTGGCATTAGAGGGAATTGTAAATGTCTCACTTTTTACTGGTGCGTCTAGCACCCTATACCACCCGTGCAATGAAACCGGTTCCTAAGTGGCAACGTATTACGTTATGGGAGCTGGCCCGTCGTGCAGTCGGATGTCGCCATGCCGGTGCCCATACCCGTGTCTTGTAGAGCAATGCCCGGGCAAGGCAGAGCAGCTGTCGCTGCCCCACGCTCAGGCGGCACCCCCGGCGACCCAGGGTCATCCCAAGGTCGCCCCCGAGTGCCCTCAGTGCGCCCCCGAGCTGGCACTTGTCCAGGGCGTGCCAGAGCTGGGTGTCCGAGTGCAGTCCCCTCGGGTCGACATTGTCCCGCACCGACCCCGAGAAAATGAACGGCTCCTGCGGGATGGCTGCCAGCCGCTGCCTGCGGAGGGTGCGTTGGGATGGCCCAGATGTGAGAGAGGGAACGGACCGTGGACAGCACTTGCAATTTAATAGCAGTTGCGTCCTGGAAAGGCCGTTTAGACGTGCACGTGCGTGCATTGTTCTGTGGCCAGGAGGACGGCGGGCAAAGGAGCAGTATAAAGTTTCGACCATGCTTTCGCCACTCCCTCGCTCCTCGTAGTACGTCAAACGCAGGCCGCAAGTCACGTGACCCAGACAAGCAGTTCGAACAACTCTCAAATCTAGGCACTACAGGGGTGGTGGGCAATTTAAAAGTGGTTACAAAGTGTTAGAGAGGTTAGAAAGTCGATCAGCAAGTTGAAGTTCAAACAAAAGCTGGAGAGAATGTAGAATACACAAGGGGTGAGGAAAGTATATAAGCATCTACATAGATATGAAAACTCTGGACACTAAACAAACCAAACCTGAAAACTTAAAATACCAACAGTCAAGTGCTGGGGCAGAGCACACTACCTCTGTAAAAAAGGGAGTAAGAGAAGCTGAGAGAAAAATGTGGGAGGAGAGAATGCAGTGCTTCCCTCCCCCCTAGTTTAACCTTCCACGGACAAAGCCACAGGTGGAGTTGGTGTCGCAAGCTAAGCAACCTCCCCTTTCACACTAAAATGTATAGTATACATTTTACGTTGTGTCCCAACTTAACCCTTCTGCCTTCTTATTTTGGCTGTAGTCCTCCATTTTGTCTTAATCTGTCAGTGCAATAAACTCTTGTTCACTATCCAAGTGCATTTATTGCCCAGTATTATCAGTTAGCAACAAAAGGGGGAGGAAAGGTTTCTTGGGAAATTTTAGGCTTGCTGGGGTTCCCTAGGATGAAGAAGTTTGAGGGCCCCTGGACTAGGACATGTAGGACAAACTATGAGGAAATAAATATGTGATGTTCCGTATGCTGCGGGGAAGACGAGACAATACATGTGGTGTTGAGGTGCACAGGGCTTGCTCCCACCTTCCCCGCGGGGGCGATGGATTTAGCCGGAGCGCTCGAGTTTGCAGACGAGAATGGAAGAATGGATGATAAGTGCATTTTAATATCGAAAAGGAGATTAGGAATCTGGTGAAAATGATCTAGGGAGAATAAAATGACATACAGAGGAGAAATAGGACTCCCTCGTGCGTGGCTCCGGCCCAAAGTCTCAATTCCGCCTCCCAGCGAGCCCAGTGCTGGGGTAATCCCGAGCAGATTTGACTAGAGAAAAATTGGCGACTCCCTCGCCGGGGAAAAGAGGAGTGGGTGATGTTTTTAGTTTTTTTGCTCGATCCCCCAGCCTGGCGATAGTTAAAAAAAATTGCAGAGGGGAAGCAAACTGGCTTAGAAGAGCAAAGGGAGGAGTCGTATTTTTGGAGTTTTTTTTTTTCTTTTCTTTTTTTTAAGCAAGGCGGTGCAAGCTACCGCCCGACATAGGGTACAGTCGTTAGCATCCATCCATCCAACAACAAATTACATCAAGGGGAGCCGGCATGCCCTCAGATGTCGAAATCCTGGCGGTTGGTCGTAGGAGTGCTGGCAAAAAGATTACAGGACAGCAAATCGATGGTTGAGGCGAATTTGTAGAAATCACAGGGGTGATTCCCTATGAACACAATAGCATTTACAATTGCACACCACCGAATTTAGCGGGGAAGCCGAATCAATGCATGGGTCGTGACAAATTTTTCCACTAAATTTAGCGGGGAAACTCCGCTAAATTTTTGTCGTCCTCTACGACAATGTTAATTCCTTGTCGTTGAGATCACCCTAGAGGTTATCCTTGAAGTCGTCCTAGATGTCATTCTAAACTTCATCCTTGACATTGTCTAGACTGACGTCAGAGACATCTAGAACAACCTCAAGGACGACGTCCAGGACGTCAACGACGTCGCCTAGGAGAACCTCTAGGGTGATCTCAAGAACGACCGCTAGGACAACATCAAGGTCATCAGGTTCTTCGAAGAGGGAGCGAATGTGAAGGAGTGCGTACGTATGGCGCATTAGGGGGCCAGAATATACATGGCTGAAAATCATGAGTAGAAGCTTAAAATCATGAGCCATTTCACTCTGTGAAGGTAGACGATCAGCAAAGCTGTTTGGCACACGACACAGACCTAGCTGCCTCGAGGAGCCGAAGGAAACTAGACATGCGCCACGGGACCGCCACCCCGGGAGAGTGGAAGTCAACTAGAAATACAAGCGCTTGGAACGACAACAAAAAGAGGGCGCTGCGAGCGTAGACATGACCGACGGGGGTCGCACAGCGGCAAATCTTCGAGAAACCTTTATTATCTAACTGAGAGTCTACTGATCTTGAAAATGGTGCCTCTTGATAACTGATCTACTGAATAGACCTATTGCTAAATTACCCAAGCATCAAAAAGAATGCAGTGAATGGTGTTCCATGCACTGCACGTTCCGGCACCTGCAGCAGTAACTGCTCTAAAGCAAAAGCCTAAAACAAATGGCATCTTGCATGCGCGTTCGTCAACACTTTATTTTGGTTATTTACTTAATCAAATCTTTTATACGGGGAAGGCGTGCGCGTGCGGCGGTGCAAGCGTAGAGTTTTTAATCGCTGCACACCAAAAATCCTAGCCATAAACAGCTTCGTTGTAATAATGCTTTCGCATTAAAAGGCGAGCAGACACAACGGTCGCTATCGTAGCAGCGTCCCGTCTCGTGCACGCGTCGGTTTCTGCCGACTGTCTGACTGGAGTGCCACCTATGGCAGAAAAGGCATCCACTGCATCCATCTCGCGTCATCAAGTGGAAACTGAGAGACGTGCACTCTTGAGGGAGTGACACACACTTCAGTCGGAGACGAGCTGGAGGCACCGTTCGGATGGAGAGCCTCACCTGACCTCCCGGGGTCCGACTTTGGTGACGTCCACGCCGTCGATGAAGATGTGGCCGCTCTCGACGGGCACCAGGCGGAAGAGGGCCTGGAGCAGGCTGGACTTGCCGGCCCCCGTGCGGCCCACCACCCCCACCTTGGCCCCCATGGGGGCCTCGAAGGAGACGTCCCTCAGGGCGGCCGGGTGGCCCTCCCGGTAGCGTAGAGTCACCTTGCTGAACTCCAGCACCCCACAGAAGGGCCAGCCGAACGGAGGCTGCGAATGGGACGAAGCTTTTTGCCACAATTCAATAGAGGAGCTCTACATTGGCCAACATAGAGACATTAAATCAAAAGCTTCCTTCCTTCCCCAGCCACCAGAAAGCTACTGTCGGTATGACGCAGACACCATACTTGAACGACAATAGTGATCAATGAACAATGGTGCTGGCAAGATGAAAACGGCGAGGCATCCTGAATGCCTGGCCCCCACCACGAGCTCGTCGCTTTTCACCGTGCGATCGCTGCACGTGCACGCTTGAGGCTCGTGAGCCATTGAAGAGCTATCGAAGGCAGAAAGCTAGCGCTGGAGGTAGGAAAACTAATAGCTTCATCCCCTGTCAAATAGCGAGCGCTCACAGATTTGGGACTCGGAGCATCTAGTCTTGGTGGTGGAACGGCTGAGCAAAGGCTCTTGAATGCACGCAATGCAGCAGATGGTAAAGCTGCTCCATTCGCTAACATTTTTGCTGTGCGGCCGCCACCACTGCTGCTAGGGCGTTGTTCCGGCCGTTCTTTCCACCACCGCCACCCCCCAATGTCTCACCAGCCCGGCGTACAGCAGGAAAGCCGTCGAGCGTGGCTCGCATCTACAATCGACATACATTTCTCACTGAACAATAAGTATAACCCAAAATAAGAGTGACTTTTTACGCATCTTGATCGCAACTTTGGATGTTTGGCGTGAACGTCGGCACCTCAAGACCATGTCCCACACGTGGCTTTTGTCCCCCTAGAAGATTAGCCCATCACTCAAAATTCATACAACAACGGCTTCCTTCGCTCCCGCCCATGGCTTCGACGGCACTACGCGCAATTCGTAAAACGGAATATCGTCACAAAACAAATTAGACGCTTGTGTTGAGACAGAGCAAGACTGGTCTGCCTTTAAAGAATGGCAGCAAAATGTGCATGTTATGGCAATGCCCGTTTATGCTGTAAATGAAGAAATGAGATGTTTGAAAATCTCTGCAAAAGCTCTTGAGGAAGAGGAGGGGAGGGTATGCCCCCCCTTTTCTTCCATACCCTCTCCTCGTCTGTTCCTCCTGTGCCTTTCCCCATCCTCGTCTGTTCCTCCTGTGCCTTTCCCCATCTTCCTCTCCTCCTCCTCCCTCCTCTGTACCCTCCCCTCCTCCTCCTGCATACACTCCCATCCTCCTCTGTATCCTCCCCTCCTCCCACAGTTTCCCCGCTAAATTTAGCAGGAAAATTGATGCCACGTGACCTCAACACCAATTCAGCTTCCCCGCTAATTTTAGCGAGGAAAATGACGTCACATGACTTTGCGTCACGTCATCCATGAACAAAGTCAGTTTCTCCGCTAGATTCGGCAGGAAAATTGACGTCACGTGACCTCAACACCAATTCAATTTCCCGCTAAATTTAGAGGGGCGGCTACGCCGACGGCAATGCCGCTATACGCGGAAACGGCTGCCTAAGAGCTGCGCTCTAAAATTTAATTAGACAGTGCAGTACCATTGCTAGCCTGGGGTCTTTAACGTGCATCACGCGGTAGTGATACACGACCGCACGCCGGTACGATGCTCCTCCAGAGCGAGGCGGGCGGGGGTGGGGATTGAACCCAAACACCTGCAGCAGCATGAGCCTTCGCTCCATGTGCTCTGAGCTGCAGAGCACCAACGCACTCGGCCACCGATCCCCTGGTATAGTCGTGCAACTCCCTCTGAAGTGCCGATCGGCTAACTTGGCAGACGGCCTTCACAGTCTGCCAAGTTATGGCGAGACCGAGTAAAGACGGAACTTGGGGAAAGATCTATGCCGACGACGGTAGGCGGCGGACGGCGAACAGGACGGGGTGGCCACCCACCAGCAGCGTGCCCTCCAGGGGCTCCTCCTCCAGGTCCCTGAGGTACTGGCCGGCCCTCTCGACGCTCACCAACTCCTTCTCAGTGTCCGTGAATGAGGTCACCAGGCTGCCCAGCAGGGAGGTCACCGACAAAGCGTACGACAGGGCCAGCCCCACAAAACCTGCGGGAGGAGGAAGGACCCGTTGGCGACGACGTAAATGCGTGGGTCTCAACTTCTGGCCGGCTTCGTCCGTTCCCTGGCTCAACAAGTTGTGGCCGAACCTCGTGGCAACGAGCAGCACTGTGACGTGCCTCTGCACCCGCTTGATTTTGCTACTACAGTCGGTGGCGAGGTGAGAGCGGCAAGAAATAGCTTCGGTCGCTCCGCCTCCGGCACAAACTCCCACCTTTGAAAACGCTCCAATGTCTCGTGCACCTCAAGCGCTTGCTGGAGTGGTTAGGCCAGGCACACGTTCTGACGTTCTCACTCTGCCAGTGACTACACTAGATTTCGCAACTAATACGTGTATCCTAGCCTAATATGCAACCTCTCTTCCTACGCATGAGGGAGGAGACTGTTAAAACAATGCTCACTAGTGTTGTCCCTTGTCCCTCTTGTTCCCCTTCTCCAGGGTTTATTTTCTTCATTTTCCTCACTTCCCCCTCGCTTTGCTATGCCATTGGTCGCACATGCTACGACGTCGGACCAACAGCTGCACTCCATTGCCGACACACTCTTCTACGGTCTCGCTGCGGCGCGACCAACACGAGCAAGCGAAGTTCATACAGGCTTCATAAGCAAGGCTATCGCTTTAAGAAATCTATCATCCCTCGGGCATGTTCTAAACGTGTTCTAAGCGCATAGCATTCGGAACGCCAGGTCTGCCCGAAACCACAGCCCGTCGCACATGTTACACACCGCACTCAACGGATCGTCCGTGAACTGGTGACGAAACTTCCGGTCCGCCGCCGCCGCGTAATTACAGCGCCAGGAAGAACGCAAGAAAATAGAGCACTGTTTTCTTGCATTTTTCTATGTCATGTACAAGTCACCGAACCAATCGTGTCTCGAATGTCGCCTGCCAGGCTATCTCCTTGTACTGGTAGCCACGCTTAATATGAAGCATACACGTCCCGGTGACTTGTGCGTAAGCTTCTATAACGTAACATAAGAAAACGGGGCTGTGTGAACCAGCCTTAATGCCAACTGACTTCCTGTTGCGGCTGTTCCGGGCACTCTCATTTTTGTAGCCGCATCCATTGTTCCTCCCGCTTCGCATTGCTGCGTTCGCCGTCGTCACTTCCGCTCCGCATTCGTGGTACGCAAAATCCCCCAAGCAAGAGCCTTCATAGTATGTGTAGTGCAGCGAGCTCACGCAGAGGAAAGTCCCCGCCTTGAGAGTAGTTGCCAAATGTCTGCGGAGGGCATGCTTGGCGACTGCACGCTCCATGCCACGCGCTCCGTCGAGGCTATATCGCAGGTGCGGGCAGGAGCGAGCTAAAGGTCCGCTTACATACTTCCGTCTGCTTACGACCAAGTTCTTATAGCCTCTTGCACTGGAAAAAACGCTGGCACCCTCTATGAGGTGACCCTGGAACTGCATTTCTCTAGAGTGAAGGTTTTGCAGTATCTGTAAGATCAAATGTGCGTACCCCCATGAGAAATGGTTGCCTATAGTATTGTCAAGTTTTTCAAGCCAAGAAAGAAAGAACGACGCGCAAAATTAATAGGAAATATACGGAAATGCCAAGTGTACCACGGCTACACGATAGGTGGCGCCAGTGTGAACTCTTGTCATATTAAGAGGTCTTGAAGGTAGGCAGTCGTAGGCAGTGGAAAGTGTGTGAAACGAGCCTTCAGAGTTGGCCTTAGAGGCAGTGTGTTTCAAATCTTTCGGGGGGAGGGGGAGTCGGTCCCCGGGGGATCGGGGGTCTCACCGGCGCTGACCCCCCGCACCTGGTGCTGAACGACGGCCAGGAGGGCCACGCAGGAGGTGAGCAGCACCCCGAGGAGCTGCAGGCGTAGGTTGAGCCACTGGCTGGCCGCCAGGGCTGCAAACACCGCCTGCTGGTTCAGGGCCACCTTGTGTAAGTTCTCCTGGCAGAACCTGCATGCCCCGTCAGTCAGAAAAGGCCTCCCCTCTCGCCCTTGTAGCCAAACAGCACGGGGCAACGAAGTGAGAGCACAACTGAGCTTGAAGGGAATGTCGAAAGAGACGTAAATAAAAATGACCGCATCTCCACGTGGTGAATGATGTTGATTGGGGCGAAGCTCTGGTGGTGCTGATGATACTGATTTTATTGTTCATAGGTAGTCCTGATGGTGCTGATATTTTTTTATTGCTCATAGGTAGTGCTGAGTTCCGGGTTGCGTTTCGATTTCATTATTACAGCTTTATGGTCGGTGAAATGCAGAACCAGTGGTTCTTCTAGTGGATCAGCTTGGATCCGCTAGAAGCCGTGGGAACGCATCTCCACCGCTTAGGTCAACGGTCCATGTCAGAAAGGGAATGTGTGGTATGGAACGTGGTTATATATGCATTTGAGCATTGACCGCAGCGCCCTCTTGTCTATAAACGTTGAGACAATGCATGCAAAGTTTAACAAGATTGTATACACACTTGACTGCAGTGCCCTCTCCTGTATAGACGTTGAGTGGCTACATGCAACGTTTCATCCATGACAGAAACCCCAGCTCTTGAGTTACTACCACATCTCAGAGCCCCCTACTCCTCCCGCAGTCGTGGCCGAGTGGTTAAAGGGAAACTCCGCTTCATTCTCGGTTGTTAGCAAACACTGCGACTCTCTTTAGTGTCATCTAGAGAGACCGAATGTCAAATATTATAACGTAATACCGCCTAAAAGATCACTAAACCGGCCGACAAAAACTGAGACGCGCGAAGTCACCAAAATCCGCTAATTTAGCGGGCGACGTGCGGCGCAGCCAACTTTGTATTTCCGTTGTGGCTGACGTCTGTTGCATACGCAGTTTTTTTCTTGGTATTTTCTTTTCCAGGGAGAGCTTACCGGGCGGCGCTACGGACGCGCTCCACGTTTGACTTTGAATAAGCAAAGAGGCGAGCCTACTACAATAGAGATCAGTGGGCGAGACAGACCAAAAAAAAAAATGAATGAGAACAAGAGAAACAAAAAGAGGAAGAGAGAATTGTACGGGATGAGTTTCGCTGACATGCGTGCCAACCGGTGCCAACAGACTAGCCGCCTGGGTTGCCGCCTACATAGCCTGCTTCGTTGCTGCTTGCGTTGCCTGTTCGCCGCCGCGGCTAGGCCCGCCCTCCATCCTCCCTCCTCGCCCTTCCCCTCGCATCCGCGTCTTTCTTGGGTTGCCGCTAGAAGATCACGTGACCCCTTGTATTCCACGTGGGTGTGTATGCAACTGACGTTGAGAGTACAATGTTGCCCGGCTGTGCCGAAGTTTCAGTTTCGGTTTGCGATTGTGGTAAATAACAAGATCGCACGAAAAATATTTTGCTTTTAATGAGACAAACGGTCTAGGGTTGTTTTGAAGTACTTTTCACGTTTATATCACCCACTATCTCAAAATTTCTGAAATCAAGCGGAGTTGCCCTTTAAGGCGATGGACTAGAAATCCACTGGGGTCTCCCCACACAGGTTCAAATCCTGTCGACTGCGCAAACATTTTTTCTTTATAGGTGAGCACGGACGCCGGACGGACAGACCGACGGACAAGGCTACACCCTAAAGAGCTTCGCCCCTAAAATTGAGCGGTCCCGTGTTAGTCCACGACACGGCCACGGCGTCGCACTCGCAGACCGGGGGTGCGTGAACCACTTTTGGAACCAGACATCTGACCATTTTTTTCCTAACACTTTTGTTGTTTTTTTGTTCTGGAGCACGTGAAAGTGCATCTCTTGACACAAGCTCTTGGCGATGACAGTGCTACAACGGCACTTTGCTATAGGCGATAACAAAGTGCCGTTGTATATAGCAGGTTATTATACGCTGTGGCATAGCTCTGTGGCAACGCCTCCGCTTCACATGTGGCCAGACCTAGGTTCATTTCCCGCGGGTGGCAGACAATCTTTTTTGGGGGTTTGGCAACCTCGACGACACACACCCTACTATGCCAACTACAACAACAACAACTAACATGGTGGTTCTAAGCCGGTCGCTTATGTTTTAGGACCCTCTTTGGATTGGCAGAAGGTATGGGGGACCCCATCCACCAGTGGGGAGGGGGAATATTGGACAAGTACAATTGCAAAGGGGTAAACGGAAAAAAATCTAAATGTGTGCAAACAACACTGAAGTTCTAAAACGGAGAATATAGTCAGCCCTACTAACTTGGCACACATGGTTTGGTCTGTTTAGCTTCGTGGAACAGCCCGCATCAAGAAAACAAAATGTTTAATCGTTCAACTCGACTAACAGTTGAGGGCCTTGGGGACCCCAAGAAGGCCTTCAGGACCCCTAACGGTCTGCAAGCCCCCATTTGTGAACCACTGAACTACAACATCGACAACATAAAAACAAGGGACGTCATTTCCAGCCGTGCTAAGAGCCTATAACAGCTCTTGCTGTAAAAAGACTGAACCGTTTAAACTGATATTCGACAGGCAGGACACACTCTCAATGTCAGGGGAGCCTCCCACCTGCGCTTTGATTAAAGCTCGGTTTCACCTTGCATTGGCACAAGGGCAATGGCCAAACTTTGGCCGGAGTGACAGTTACCTGGAAACAGATCCCAGGCTGCGTATGACCGGGATCCCAGCCAGGGTCTCGCTCAGATGGGAGTAGACGGGCGACAGGGTGACGCTGCTCAGACGCTTGAGCTCTCGGGAGGTCCACCGGTAGTATTGCTGCGCACACATCGCACACACATTGCATGCCCATTGCACACAGATCTCCACCAAACAAGGATCGAACATCGGGACAAAGCGAACCAGCCGCTACATACTCGTTACTTCTGGAGCGGCAGCTTAAACCGAACCCAAGTTCCCACTCTGCTCACCCCGTGCAAACCACGAAATGCATCGGCAATGGGCGATCGACTGCTCAACTTCCGACAGGGCATTCTGGAAACTTTGACGTCCGGAGGCGGCACGACTATCGGCTGAATCAAATACGCCGAAACACTCCTGCACTGATGCAACGAACCTGCCCTAGTGGGCTTCTTAAGGGAAAAATACATAGAATGGGACCGAGGACCTTTGGCGTGACGCCGAATCGTTCTGAGAATCTGTAAGGCACATTTTCCGAGGCTTAGTTCCAAGACGAAAGACAAGGTTCCTCTTCCCGGCAGTAACGTACAGATAAAGTGAGCAACACCTTGGACCGCAGTTATGATGCCCAAGATGCGTCTTTGGCTGGTGTTTCTAACGTCCTGCCCCACCCATACGTCAAAAGTGGTCCCTAAGTCGCAACAAATGACGTCCCAAATCACAAATGACGCCATGCTCTTGCGTGTCCCCGGCAGCTTGTGCAAAGCCACCGGCGAGCTCACCTGCAGGGAGTTGTAGCCAAAGCCCAGGGGGAGCAGCACGAGGGTGATCCAGGGCAATCCGTAGGCGGTGACCACCAGGGTGCCTGCCAGTGCTGCCCCCTGGGCCAGCAGGATGTTGAGCACGAAGGGCAGCGTGTCGTCTATGGACCACACGTCCGTGGAGAAGCGGTTCAGCACGCGCCCCGCAGGACACGACTCCACAAACCACAGGGGCGCCTGGGGAAAAGAAAGAACAGCCACTGTGTAACGTCAAAACAAGCTAGCCAAGTCACACCATCCGGTTCATTATTCTGAACGAACAAAGCTCTCGCAGCTTTTTTTTTTTTCTACACAAAGAAAAATTTTAAAAATGACTGCATCTCCACGTGGTGAGTGATGTTGATTGGGGCGAAGCTCTGGTGATGCTGATGATACTGATTTTAGGGAACGTGGTTATATACGCATTTGACCGTAGCGCCCTCTCATCTATAAACGTTGAGCCAATGCATGCAAAGTTTAACGCGATTATATACGCATTTGACCGCAGCGCCCTCTCCTGTGTAGACGTTGAGCGGCTACGTGCAACGTTTCATCCATGACATCCCGAGCTCTTGAGTTACTACCACATCCCAGAGCCCCCAACTCGTCCCGCAGTCGTGGCCCAGTGGTTAAGGCGATGGACTAGAAATCGATAGGGGTCTCCCTGCACAGGTTCGAATCCTGACGACTGCGCAAGCATTTTTTCTTTTTTTAAGAAGACAGATGGGATGGCAGTCGATGTGAGCACGAACGCCGGATGGACAAGGCTAGACCCTAAGGAGCTTCGCCCCTAAAAGGCCAGCGGAGACAAAAATGCGTCACCCTCGTCCGCCCTTTTTCCTTTACCTCCTTATTCTTTGTTTAGAAAAATCACACTAACCGGTACAAGGCTTGGCAGAAATAAATATTGGCTCGTTGCCATCGTCTCACTTACAGGATTCCTGGGATAACTTAGTTTTGGTAAACCCACCTGACGCCTGAAATGCATTCGGCTCTGGGAACAAATTATTTACGCAAAGGTTGTATCCGTGAAACCCGCAGCTTGGCACTTCCGCGCGTGTGTAAACGATGCCCAAATAGAGCTCGATTGGTGTCTGCTTTAGGAGATGATGTTGCTCCTGCTGTTGCGTCTACGTATATCGCATGCAGACGAACAGAAACTCGCGAACTGAAAGAAAATAAGTCACGAGTGCCATACAGTGCACAGCTACAATGAAATATATTGTTTGGAAGATGAGGGCGACGATCCCTCAGTTGCGGAAGGAGGGTAAACAGCTCAAATGCAAGGCGGTTGCCTTTAGACGGTCCGTCATAGTGGCCGCTTCTGAACCCCACTTTCACCGTTAAATCGTCCCCCATTTAACACCCTTACAATAGGTTAGCTATATATTTACCCTATGCCCGGAGCTAACAAGCAAGTTAACGTCGGGGAGTTGTTGCGATCCCTTTACCTTGAGAACTTTGTCCAGAAGAAGGTCATGAATCTTGACTGCAGCGGCAATTCCTCCGTAGGCGAAGAGGAACGCTCGTGCCAGGGTCAGGAAGCCATTTGCCACAGCCAGACCCCCGTAGACGGGCAAAAACACGCTCAGCACGTCGCCTCCTCCCGCGCTCCTGGTGGAGGCGAGATGGAGGCACTGATGAATGCATGATATTGGTCGTATTCTTTGTATTGGGTGGTAGTTTGCGCCACCTAGCCAGATGCATTTACACTTCTCTTCTTTGAATATTGACACTGACCCCCTCGACACTTTTCCTTGGCTGCTGTTGCAACAAAAGCGAACATGGCTGACAAGTACTAGAGAAACGGTATATGTTTCACTTGTGGAGCAGAGCGATATACTAACAGTCTCTCATTTTAATCCTCCAAGTGGGTCGGGAAGCGCCTGTCGCTCTTGCAGGAGGCGTTGCGAAGTGCGACCGTTGCCCAACGTTCCTAGTGTGCCGAAGATAACCCTTTCTCCCTGAAGCGCATGCATGCGTGGTATATTTAGAATGGTGCTCACATTATAAAAAAAAAAAGCAATTACACACTATCTCACAAGCACATGGTAACGTTCAAAGGTCCCAGATATGCTTTCTGCTCATTAGACTTCAGTATACGATCTACATTTAAAAAATGTCTTTGCGTTTTAAATAGAGCCTGCTAATAGGCTCCGTCCAAAATGAAATGAACTGCTACTTCACTTCCTCGTAGCACTTCGGAGTGTTTTTGAGCATGTGACCCCTTCTCAGCCGTTAAGGAGCTGGCTGCGAAAGGAAAAGGGACGGGACACCCTGGCTCCATCATTTAATTACTCTAGCAAGTACTACCCCAATTTTTTACTCCACAGCTTGTGAATTCAGCAGAGCGAAAACAACTGTGGCCCCCAAAGAGTGCGAGTTTTAGATCCTTTCAGTGCTATGCCACCGGCAAAGTTCTTGCGTGTCCTCAGAATTCAATCTCTGATGATCAGCACAAAAAAAAGTGGAACTCAGAATCCTTGAGAACTTTCCGAAGAGAAAAGACCAGATGCGCGATGCCTGCACGTCGGTGAAACGGACGATGTTGTAACAGCACCATGTGGTAAACTCTCATAATTTCAAATTCCAGGAAGCCACAAATTTTGTTTGAATTATCAAAAGCTTTTTACCAGAAATTCATCTAAATATAATGCAAGATAAAATTATGATCTCCAATATGAATGGCTACACATTAGCAGAAGATATTTGATGATTTCTTCTACACGGGCCTACTAACCGTAAGCAGGTATGCCACACATAAAACCTTGTTGAAATCATTTATCATGGCACTTCAAAACAAATGATTAAGTTTGTTGATCCAGCAAAAAGTTGTCTATTGTGGATTATTAAACAGGGGACACAAGAGCGATAAAAAGGGGCGCAGCACGGCACTTTCCACAGCAACTTGCACGAGTGCTGTGACGTGGACCTGTGCTATGCCTCCGCATCAGGGTGTCCGTGCAAGTTTCCATGGAAATCGCTTAGCGGCACCCATTTTCATTGCTCACGTGTCCCCTGCTTTAGCCCTGTTGAGCGCGCTTCTTACCGAGCAGCAGTGCACTGCAGAGAAGCAACATTCACAAAGCTCGCTCCCACGGGTGTTGCTTCTCCGCAACAAGCGCGCTCACCGGGATCGCGAGAACAAAAAGTATGAATTACCAGAAAACGTTGTTCGAATTAAGTGACCTATAAATACATTGAAAACAGCGGGACAACCCAAATTATGAAATCTGTTTGAATTAAATAGAAGTGTGATATAGCCGAGCTTGAATTATTGCATGCCTACTGTAGGGAGGTTACCGAGGGGCGGGACTCACCTCAAGGAGGCCATGAAACGAGGAACGCCGACGGCAGACGAATTGGACCACGACACCCAGGCGGCCAGCCACCAGTCCGTCGAGGTGCGAGACACTGTCGCAGGAAAGCAAACCTCAAACACTCTCCTAAAGGAGACAAGATTGGTCTGTCCGTTATGCACCCGTCACTTAAAACTGCTTGGAACAATTTCATTTTGGAACACAAATGGGCCGAAACGAAAAGCTAGAGATGGATTTGAGCGTGATCCCCAGCTTGTTCTCACCGCCCCCTAAAGCGACTTCGTCCACGAGAGGGCGCTGCTACAGTGCGACGCATCTTCTACTGGTGTGTTTGCCGCCTTATTCCGCCCGTGTGTCTTAAGTTTTTCCGAAGTGGCAATGAATTGCATCGCCAGAGTCGTCGTGTCGTGCTGTCGGGCGTCGCAATTCTGATGGCTGGTCGTAGGAGTTCTGGCAACAAACATGAACAAATGCCGGTGTCGCGGTCGTCACGACCTCCAAACTCCCTGCTAACGAAACTTCCGTGAACTGTGAGGCTGGACAGCGACCATCAGCAGAACAGGCGCCTGCCGCATCTGCCTCTGCTGCTATGCCACCGCCACCATCGTGGCAAGCAACAGCGTGCCACCTCTACGACATCATCATTCAATGATGATGTTTACCCCATTCGAGCACGCGGTAAAAAACTTTCAGCCTTTCCACTCTGGTGAACAAGGAAGACCAGCAAAGCTGTACTATGATAGGACGACCTCAAGGACGACGCCTAGAGGACGACGTCTAGGACGACCTAAAGGACGATGTCTAGGACAACATCAAGGACGACTTATAGGAGGACCTCGAGGACGTCTGGGACGACCTCAAGGACAACGCCTAGGACGACCTCAGGGATGACGTCTAGGATGACCTCAAGGATGACTTCTAGGACGACCTCGAGGACGTCTAGGATGACCTCTAGGATGACTTTGAGGATGACCTTGAGAACAACCTCTCGAACAACGTCTAGGACGACCCAAGGACGACTTCTAGGATGACCTCAAGGATGCCTTCTAGGACGACCGCAAGAACGACTTCTAGGACGACGCCTAGAGAAATTCAGTTTTTCCAATTTGGTGAAAATCGGCGTGGAAAGGCTGGAAAGGTTGCCGCCGTTATGAGCGAGGCCGGCAAGCCGGTTGTTTGGTTGCCGCTGTTGCTCATAAATGGTGGTAGCTGTCAAGAGTTTTGTGTCGACATTTGTTTGGCACCGGACACGATCCTCGGGAACCTAGCCCTTAACAGCTCCGCTGTAAAAGTACCAATCGGAGACGTGCTGCAGGCACCACGACGTCACCACTCACCCTGCATGAGCAGCACGAACAGGATCACCACGAGCGCCAGCCAAGCTCCGACCGCATCCCAGTACGACCGCACTGTGCTCAGACGAACGGCGCCGATCTCTCGGGCCTCCGGCTCCAGGGGCACCTCGGTGGGTCCTTCACCGCCGTCCCCTTCGGCACGGGCTGCACGGGGGGACGCCTGCGTGGGACCCTCGCCCACTGCATCCCCCACGGAACGCCCGAGCACCACTGAGGGGGGTCCTGTGGGTTGGGCCGTAGAAAAAGTGTGCGTTAGGAAACCGATTGTTTTGGTTCTCACATTTCAGCGACACGACTGGCTTTGTGACCTTGCAATGTCGCATCGACGCTGCGGCGTTGCGTTGATTCAAAGGGTTTTCTAGTTTGTTTTTTCTGTACTTGTCGGCTTCTCGAGTAATCATACTCTGCCAGTTATCTCCCCGCTTTCTCTGACTTCCCTTTACTAAACGTGGGCTTAGTATGTTAATTTCATGCTTCCATTCTCACGATGTCTCCAAGAATGTGTGCTTGTTCGAGTAACAAACTGATGAGGCCGATAAACTCAACTTCACTGGTCCGGGGCTGTTCTGGCCACCGAAGCACCATAAATGCGTCCCCCGTCCTTTCTCAGAATGAAAGTGGGCCAAACACATGGGCCTCGAAGATCCTCTCCGCAGTACACTTCCCCCGAGGCTACAGGTTCCTCGTTCGAGCTAGGGCCGTAGGCTGGCCGCCGAGCTACTGCCACGATGCCCCCACTCTGCAAGCTCAAATCAAACAGAAGAGCCGGAAGTTGCACCAGCTGATATTCATTCACAATTCTTATAAAAGTGCAGGGAAAACAAGGGTAGAGAGATTGATTGACTGAAAACGTGTATTTTTGCACGAAAAGGACGCTCATCTACGAGTTGTGCGCCCTGAAATGGGGGGAGGGGTGTGCGGGGTTGTGAGGTGGGGTGGATGACTACGGTAATATTACCATGAATGGATCCCGGACTTCCTGATGAGCTCCATCAGGGAATCCAGGGTCATCTTTCAGCGCTGTTGTTTGCCCCTTGGGAACAGCTCATGCCTTTGCTGCCCATCTTCTCATCCACCTCATAATTAGCACACTTTTTCAAAATCGCAAATCGAACTGAGCACACGCTTCCGACACACAAAGGCGGGAACCCCACAAATGACCAGCAGGCGGCCAGACGACTCACCAGAGGCCACGATGGCCCCGTCCCTGAGGGCCACCACATGGTCAGCGCTGCTGAGGAAGCCCACTTGGTGTGTGACCAGGATACGGGCCTTGCCCTTCATCGCCCCTAGCACGCACTGGTTGAACACATGCTCTGCCACGTGCGCGTCCAGGGCAGACAGCGGATCGTCCAGCAAGTACACGTCGCAGTCCTGGGCCAGAGACGTCCCAAAGCTATGGTGCCCGGTGGTGTGTTTGGCGTCCTATTTTGCCCATACACATCGAAATGTCCCGAAGTGGCAACAAACGACGTCGCATAAGCGAGAGTGTCACGCTGCCGGACGTCATGATTTTGGCAGTTGGGCGTAGAGGTTTAGACAAAAAGCACGGGTGAACGCGAGCATCTGGAGAGCGGCCTGCAGCATGACAGGCATCTGCCACACCCACCACTGGTGCTGTGACACTCCTAGGATCCTGACCGGCGACAGCGTGACACGTCTCCACGACGTCGCCCGGCAGAAATCGAGGGACCACTTTTTTGGATGCGGTAAACACACCGGCCGGAGGCACGTTCCGGGTGCCGTATCCCAACCCCCCCCCTTTAACTGCACGTTCAATGTCTCCCAACTAGTGTTGCACAAATATCTGAATTTTCAAATAGTAGATTCGAATAATACGCTATCCGATATTCGCTTCAAGATGAACTGCGATATTCAGGCTTTTCGAAGTGTTGATTGCGGCGAGTCAGCCCCGTTGAGTGAGCTTCTCACAGAGCGTCTGCACAGTACCAGGACACAGTATACTGCAAAGAAAGCGGGCTCCGCAGCTATTGCATCTCCGCAGTGCACAGGTGTTTGGTGTGAAGCGCACCTAACGGGGCTTACTTGCCGCGATTATGTGAGTATGCAGCGATGTCTTGACAACCCACGTGTATCATTCGTTTTTTGTTGTTTTTTTAATCAAATTAGAAATTGAGGAATTGAAGTTCCATACCTGGTAGAGCGCCCTTGCCAGCGCCACCCTACGCTTCTGGCCTCCACTCAGGGCCTGACCGTCCTCGCCAACTTGCGTCAGGTCACCGGCCGGCAGAGACTGAAACGGGCAACACCCAGAGGTCGGCATTTCAGGTTGAACTCGCTCAATTGCAACAGGCTCACAATAAAAAGCAGCCATTCCCTCACCCTCAAACAAGTGACTAGAAACAAACTTTAAAACTCGCTCACCCTCACCTTCAATTCCTCACTCACAAACTCACAAAGGTACCGAAATTATGAACTCACCAAACGCATGAACTCGCCAAACTCATGAATTTGCCAAACTCATATAAACTTACAAATATCAGAACTTATCTAACTCGTGAACTCACCAAACTCGCACACCTCATCAACCTCGTTCCCCTTATTCAAACTCGTAACTCACCGCCATCTGTAACGTAAGGGTGTGCACTCGTGAGTGAGCTCTGCCAAGTGCGACACACTCAGCTGCAGCTGCACACAGTACTCGAAGAGGCATCGCCCACCCTTTCTGGGCCAACACTTACTATAGTCAAATGCAACACAAGAAAGGCACTGCAAGGGGGAAAAGAACAGAAACTAGGAAAGCTGAAGTGGAAAGGAGCGACCTCCTTTCCACAACGGCCTTTCTTGTGCATGCCCTTTTCCCCCTTGCACTAGAAAGGAAACCAGACGTTTTCAAACCAGCTTGGTTTCTTCTTCAAGGGTGACTGAAAGCATGCAGAGCAGCAGCAGCTGCTAACCTCTTCAACTTCAAAATAAAAAACAAAAAAATGAAATATCGTCAAAATTGAAAAATTATGTTTTTAGTTACGGAGACAATCAACTCTTCAGCTTTCTCCTGAGGTCACGGAGGCCAGGTGCGTCCAAAGAGGGCAAGGCGCCCAGGGGCCCGTTTAGGTTTCCTGGCGTATGCTGGAATGGCCACGACTCCAAAAAAAAGCTTTCTTCGGATATTTGGCTCTGTGTCAATCACGTACGCGTTCACAAAGTCAATGCGATGGTTTATTAGAATATTGCAATGTTCGGCGATGGTGCTGCGCCCATTGTCTAACTTCCGCACGTCGTTCCTGCATTGGTGGATTCACTCGGAAAAGTTCTTCACCTCGCTGACGTAGTTTGCAGGGCGTCGCTACATGATTCCATGCGCATCCTGTGCATGGAATTGTGTAAATTACGCCCTGTGCTCTTTCTTTTGGTAGACAATCTTTTCGTCTTGGCATGAGCCTTCTCAGCGTGGAGAAGGGCTTGCAGGCCGCCAGAATTCCTTCTTTTCCCAGTACTTGCGCCAGCACTTCCCTGGTCCCCTTTACGTAGAGGACGCTGATGCGTGCGACTCAATGGGGCTGCTTTTTGTCTAGCGGAGCTACGTTTTAGAGCGCAGCTCTTAGGCGCCCGTTTCCGGCTTGAGCGGCATCGGCGTAACCACACGGTGCATTATGGGAAACATCCCATAATGCATCGCGGTGACGTTCCAGCACGGTGCCAAAACGTCACCGCGGTGCATTACGGGACGTTTCCCATAGTGCACCGCGCGGATATTTCGGCAGGGTGCTGAAACATCCCCACGCCAAAATGTTACCGCGGTGCATTATGGGACGTTTTCCATAATACACCGCGTAGATGTTTCGGCACGGTGCCGAAACATCGCCATGCCGAAACCTCACCACGGTGCATTATGGGACATTTCCCATAATGTACTGTGGTGACGTTTCGTCACGCTGACGTTTCGGCACCACTCTGAAACGTCACATGACATCGCGCGTGAAAGAAGGATGAGGGGAGGAGAAAGTATAGATGAAGAGGAGGGGCATACCCTCCCCTCAGTACCCTCGCCTCCTCATCCTCAAGAGCTGGGCTCTAAATCGGCGTTACAGAAAGTTGTAAGCATCTTTCATTTTTTCGGACTTAAATTCTCACCCTACAAGGCAGATTTCTGCCAAATATGTTTATTTTCAAGCCTTTCTTATGTTGCATCTGACTATAAAAAGGTCGCCAAAAATTCCATTCTTCGACGAGCCCCAGTCGCAAATCCTTAGGCCTTATTTAACAAGGTACAACCATCTGGCTTCTTCTATGAAGTCGATCGGCAGTGGAAAAACGCAGAAACTCTGGTGCATTGCTCCCGCAGCCACCATATAGGCATCTCTATGGTGGAAGGTAAAAAATGGCGACAAAATTCAAGGCACACTGTTTATGGTAACAGCTTCATCGATGGTGTACAGTTGCTACAACTTAAAGTGGTGTAGACATACCCGAACATTCAGGCATGACCTATATGTAAAGGGGTAAAGTTTAGTAACACTAACGACGTGACGAGCATACCGTAATATCCAAGTCATCGCCCACATACCCCAACAATGACTCCGCGATTTGCAAACATTCGTCCTACCCAAACTATGCGGCCGCGGACCTTACAGTTGGAGGACGTCAGTGACAAAGTAAAGCGAAGGAGAGGAAGACACTTCTCTTTATTTACGCATTTCCTCCGCGAGCGACCTTGAAGTCATGGTGTATTCCTACAAAAAGAAAATGATGGAGATAACAGAATAAAAAAAGTCGGAAAGATAACACAGCAGTAACCTATTCAGGGATCGCGAGGTAAGTGAATCCTGGAATAAAACCGCGGAGTGTAAGGTCATAGTCTGCCTCCGCCGAAGTAAGGTCGCCGCAAGCCCGCTTCTCTTTCCGGCACGTCGCGACGGTGGTTTTGCAATGTTTAAGACAAAGCCAATGGGTAAATACAGTAAATCTTTGCTGGAACAACACACAGAGGCGTTTGTAGAGCGTCCAATTTCGAGCTCCGTGTCCGTGGTGCCGTCCATGCCACGCAGCAACGCCACTTTAACCCGCGTTGGTAGCACACCATGCCCGGACGCACACAGGTATGCACCAAAGGAGAAAGTTGCATAAGAGCTTGCGATTCAAAACGTCAAAGTATTAGCCAACATGATCGCCGACTTTTCCACTTTCCCAGCATCGCTCCTCATCACTTCTTTGGGCCACTCACTCGCTCGTTGCGCCTAATTGATTTTCCTATTTTCTGGTAGAATTTTTTTTTTTTTTTTAGACTAAATAGAAGAACACAGTGGTGTAACGTGATTTCACGGAACAAACGTTTGCGCTGTATGCCGATCGGCGGTGTTCATGGCATGTATGCAAGCAACGGACTTTGCGATAGTAAAACACTCTTTCAAGAGCATTTTTTGTATAAAACAATAAAAATGATTCTAGTTTTGGGTTCAATTTATCTCTTCTGCAGCTGTGCAAGATACACACAAATGAGCGTTTTTCCCCAATCCTTTTTTACATTTTGTGCTTACCCACCAAGCCCACCCCACTTTTTTATGAATTTCAGGTGACAGGGGGGTGGGCGATGACCCGGGATATTACGGTAATTACTGCATCAGGAACAGCTTTCAAAGAAGATTCGAGTTGAGATAGAAAGTGACATGCGTTTGCACACCACAAGCAACACAAAACGGAGGCCAAACGACTCGAGAGAGAGAAAGCGAGGATATGTACCCTGAGGTCGTCCAGCAGGGCGCAGCACTGCAGGACCTGGTGGTAGCGGGTGGCGTCGAAGGGTTTCCCGAACAGGACGTTGGCCCGGAGGGTGCCCCTCTGCAGCCAGGGCTCCTGGGGCACCAGGCCCAGGGGGCGCCCGGGGTGGGCCAGAGACACCGAGCCCTGCACCCGCGACACCTCCCCGGAGATGGCCGCCAGCAGGGTGCTCTTGCCGCTGCCCACGGGACCCACCACCCCCAGCAGCTGGCCCTGCTCGGAGACAACCCCGATCTCAGGTCCCTCGAAAAGGGGGGGACAAGGAATGCCCGTCATGTCTGCCTCCTCCTTGCATGGAAGTAGGGGCCCGTTCACACACTTCCATTCGCTTAGGACCGAGTTCTTGCGATCTCTTACGACGAGGGGACACACTGGGGCGCTGGCACCGTCTACGAGGTGACCCCGGAACTGCATTTCATCGCAGCGAGAGTTCTGTGACATTTGCGAGATAAAATAATATTTATGAAAAATGGCTGTTTAAAACACTGTCAAACGTTTTTCAAGCCGGGGAAAAAAGAGTGGCATGAAAAAAAACAGGAAATCTGCAGAAATTGCTAGTGTTCCAAGACCACTCACCAGATGAAACCAGTGTCTTTTCTCGTTGCAAGAAATTTCAAGAGGTTTTAAGGCAGACGGTTGTAAGCAGTCGCAAATGTGTGAACCAACCTGGCAGGTATAATTGATTTGTGCGTCCGTTTAGACAGCAAAATGCAAGTCTAGCCTCTGGCGTCTCCACTGTGCTCGAGTAATTTAGCCAGTGCAGTATGACCACTAGCCTGGGGTCTCTAAAGTATGTCCCGCAGTAGTGATGCACGACCGCACAACGGTACGACACTCATCCAGATTAAAACGACAGGGGTGGGGATTGAACTTTGGATCCCTGGGTTCTGCAGCATGAGCTGTTGCTCCACGTGCTTTGAGCAGCAGCACATTAAAGGGGCGGTGCAACGGTATTCAATTAGAATGTTTTTAACTTTACTCAAACTTACGGGCACTAATGGGACTCAAGGATACTCGCACGCAACGCCACTAGGCAAGAAACCCATTTGTTTCAGAGTAATTTCAAGGAGAAAAGCGACTGTTTTCGTCCAATGTCTCCTTCGCAAAACCTGATGACGTAGCTGGGGGTACCACCCAGTGACGATATTTGAATGCAGCTCATAGACTGGACCCCAACATTATGCGAGCACTCGATTTGGGCTCGTGATAATCAATAGCTCGACAAGCATTCGGGTAGTGGCCCGTGTCCAATCGTTGCAATGACGACAATAGCCGAACCATAACAATGTCTGGAACAGGGTGTAAGATAGACAGGTGGGGAAACGAGAACCAAATGAGCGACCGGATTATGTCCCCCTCGGTTTTCTCTTTTTCTGTGGCGCCATCTATGTGGAGCACCGCGAACTCTCACTCCGGGTGGGTGACCGGTGGCGACCGGTTAAACTGACAGAGATGGTTTCTCGTGGATTTTTAATGGAGGACTGTCCTGCTTTTGGTTGTTTTTGCGCACTCCCCCATACAGTTCAATGCTTATCCGATTCCTACTTTTTTTCTTCTCGCCGCAGCGCCATCTGTCGCAAATCGGGGGTACCCGCAAGCAGACAAGGACAGAATCCGGTCACGGCGCTGCGGTAGGCTTCTATGGGCCGTTTCCCCACCTGTCTATCTTACACCCTGGTCTGGAACTCAGTGCATGTTCTGTGCTTTGCCAACTCCAGCGCGTGGCTATGATCAACACTGACAGCATATAATCGGCTCCAGATCACAAGGCCGCTTGTTCTGGCTGCGAGTTGAGGGGGTGAGCGCTGCTTGTTTTTTTTTAATTTCTTCTGCGACTTCTATTGCAAGTTGTAAAAAACGAACGCATGTTTCCTAGGTCATTAACATCAGAGATTCCTCCTAAGCAATATTTGCGCAGAGTACAAAAATTTTTGCATTGCTTCCTTTAAACTGCAAACACTCTTTGGGGTTTGACTTGCTCCACCTGTCAAATCTAGGCCCCATCACACAATATGAGATGCAGACCATCTGACCAATTCAAGCGAGGTAGTTGATTCCACCGGCACTGCAGACATTTCTGCCGGATGCACAGGGATGGCAGGGCATGCCACGGCCTGCCCTTACCTGTTCCAGGCAGAGGCTGATGGGTCCCAAGCAGAAGCCCCGCGACGAAGCCCCCGAGATGCTTCTCGGCAGGGTGAGATCCCCCTGGGCCGTGCCCCAGTGGAATATGCCCGCCGTGATGCGCACCACCTCCCGACCTGGAACAATGCAACGAACACCCGTTTGTCCTCCCCTGTCCAATCGCACGGCCCAGTATCCGGTTTGGCTTGGGACCTCCGACACGTGGGCGCTTCTTACAACAAGAACATCCCCTTTCTGCCAACCATACTAGATAAACTCAGTTGTGAAACTCCTGCAAAGGGGGATATTTCCTCCCCTCAAGTCCATCACCCGTCGCTTGAAACGCCATCCAGCGACTGCGTTTCAAAACTGGTTGTTCCGTCCGATACAGTGAAGCGACATCCGGACGCTGCGTTTTAAAACCCGTGTATTCCGTAGAGCAGGGGTCGGCAACCTTTTACTGCAGCAGGAAAAATCGCCGCAAGGAGGAGACGGAGCGGGCTTGACGAAAAAAATCATGAGTCATTCTACTCTGTGACGGTGGACGACCAGCGAAGCTGTTTAGCACACGACACAGAACCGCCCAACAACGGGACCGCCACCCGGCGGAAAGTAGACACGCGCGACAGGTCCACCACCCTGGGAGAGAGAAGAAAAGAAAACTAGGCATGCGAGCGCTTGGAACAACGACAAAGAGAGGGTGGTGTGAGCGTGGACATGGCCGACGCGGGTCTTCACAGCGGCAAATCTTTGAGAAACCTTTACTATGTGCCCGAGAGTCTACTGATCTTGAAAATGGTGCCTATTGATAACTAATCTACTGAAGAGACCTATTGCTAAATTACCCAAGCATCAAGGAGAATGCAGGGAATGGTGTTCCATGCGCTGCACGTGCCGGCGTCTGCAGCAGTAACTGTTCTAAAGCAAAAGGGTGAAACAAATGGCACCTTTTATGCGCGTTCATCAACGCTTTTTTTGGTTATTTACTTCGAATCTTTTATACGGGCAAGGCTTGTTCGTGCGGCGGTGTGAGCGTAGAGTTTTTAGTCACTGCACACGAAAAATCCACGGAACCCTAGCCATAAGCACCTTCGCTGTAAAACCATGGAGGAAGAAGTGGGCAGGAAGCAGCACAGTCAACCGTTATGCCCAGTGTTGCAGGCTGTGGTTTGCTTGGTTCTTGAAGTCCAGGTTCTACCTCCATCGTTCTCGTGGGGTCACACAGCTCTGATTCCAAAGTACAATGACCAAGACAAATTAACCGAAAATAATTAAAGGTTACTCTTTAATCCCTTTGTAATGTGGATTACAAGATTTTTGTTAAAATTCTGATTGGTCGCTTGGTTGGAATCCCCAAAACAAACAAACTGTTAAAAATGGCAATGGCATGAACCATGATTCCAAACTAAAATTATGCTAAATACAATGACGAATTTGATTCCCAATTTGCATCACTTTGATGCACAACAATTACTGATGGATGGGCTGCTCACAAAAGCAATGTCTACAGTTCCAGAACTGCGCTGATCTAGTATAATGTTGCTTCCGCAATGCCTCGCTGCCTCATGATGAAACAACGTTACTGAAAAGGCCCTCATTCAGTGAGTATTACCGGCACATGTGCGGTGCATGTTAAGCAGAGTTCTTCCTTCAAATAAACTGCACATATTAATCCTATGACGGTAAGGATTTTTTCCCCAAGGATGTTCCAGCGGTCGGGTTTTGATTCCAAAGTGATAGCATAAAGAAAAGGATGCCCAAGTCGTTTCATAATTATCTAGTGGGAGCGAATACTGTACTTGCAGGCTGTTTAGGTTTAGAAGTATTAAATGGAAATATTGAAGGTAAAAAGCTGGCCCCTTTCTTCCATTCAGTTTCATTTTGGCGCATCCACTTCTGCGACATTCCAAGAATTTCAGATTCTGAACCAGAGGTACTTTGCAGAATTCCTCCACCGAATGGTAAGCTCTCATCCTCTAAATTCAATTTTTTGTTTGCATCGGAAAAGCCAGCACTCTAATTGCTACCGCCAGAGCAGCCGACATGTGAAGCGACCATCTCGCATGTTCGTCTACTGTTGAAACTATAAATATCCTCAGCAAAGCGGAACACCGTGCAAATATAACGTTCATAGTTCGCCGAAGATGTATAACAAATAGCAAAACCTCCTGCGTTGCGCACAATATCACGTCTAGGTGGGCACTTTCAAAAGTGTAATCAGTGACGTACATGCTTGACGACGACCATAAATCGGTTAATGATCATGATTAAGCTTTTTAACGGCGCAAAAAGCAACACAGGCCATGCTGTGCCAAAGACCTAATTAAAAGAGTCTATAGTAAAATGTGCTAATGAACAAATGGGGGCAAAACGCTGCTAGCATGCAGAGTCCGACTCACCCTGCACCGCCTGGGAGTAGTATGTGGCCGGCTCAAAGTCCGGGAGGCTGAGGAAGCGCTGGGTACGTCCCAGGGACACCCACGCCTCCATGAGGCCGTTGAGGACCCAGGGAAAGGCGTTCAGGGGCACCTTGAGCAGGTTGAACAGTGCTAGGCACGTGAACACCTGCGGGGACATGCAACGAGGACATGCAACATTTTCGCGCCACACTCGTGGTACAAAAATCAGGTTTGCACATTTCATGAGTGGCATGTAAGGTTACTGTTGAGGAATATTAAGGAACATTTAAGAAAAGAAACCTAGGACAGCCTAGAGATGCATTTGCCAAATTGATTCATATGCGGAGCGCAAGAATTTGCCTGCTTCTTGAGTGGGGGTTGCGGTGGTGTCGGAACGCCGACCTCTGACTGTATAGAGGGTAGACCTCAGGGCAGCTAGCATTGTGGTCTACCCACTATCCCTGCATCAGAGTCAGGATTTGGTGTTCCGACGTCGATGCAATCCTTGCGCAAGAAGCAGACGAAACTGCGCTCCACATAAAACTACTGCATATTGCAAAATGAAGATGTGCCTGTGCTCGTGGTCATCCCTCTCTAAAAGTTTTATTTTCTCCTTGTAGTCACTGACTAGCAGGGTGGAAAATAAAAATCAAGATGATTTAAATCGTGAATAAAATGAGACCAGTTTTTGCTATGGTGATTTAAATCAAACCTTACCTGCAAAAATAACCCAAAAAATAGCTTATATTTACAGTTTGTCTACCATTTCATGTTTTGTATGTGTTATCTGTATTGTACTAAAACCAAAATATCGTCAAGCAAGAAGGATTTCTATCAGAACACGAGCAAAAAGCAGCGCTCTTCCGAGTAAATCGGAGCATTCAGTTTTCACTCTACCTTCCACTTTGTTCGGCAAATGCGCAACGTCCTATTGCAAGCAAATCAGAATGCGAAAGACAAAGCAAACAAAGCTTTTCAGCTAACTAAAAGAATTAAGCTGGTTTTGTTCTTGTTTCTGTTATCTCATTTGATAATGTATAATTTTCTGTATGATTTTCTTTTTTCTCATTGCACGAAAACTGTTTGTTCACTGGCTGCCGATGGGGCTGAGGGCCAGTCAAGCTTCTTGTTGAAGCTTTTTCCCTTTCGCTCCACCATTTCTTTAAATGGAAATAAAGATTATTATTATTAGTAGTAGTAGTAGTAGTAGTAGTACACCAATAAAAAGTTGTTCATTAAACTGCATTTTAAAGTTACAATAATTCTTTCTTCCACATTGTTTCCATTCAGTGATGAAGAACTTTATATAAATCAATCTGCTATGTTTAAAAATGCATGTAGTGATAAAGAGTCATTATTTTCTAGCTGCAAAATTAACCTGATTCAAATAAAATAAATCCGATTTTAAAGTGCCATGAAACAAATTTTGGGCTGGGATATATGAATTTAGATTTGCATTTTACTAATAGCATATCATTCAGTGGACCAAAAGAAAGAAGGTAGAAAGTCAAAAGCCTGATTTTTGGTACGAAAATTTGAAAACACAGCGGACTATTTCAAACCTCCTTCCCTTCGAAAGCTCACTGCCTTTTCACTGCGATACATCCGCAGTACCCAAAGTGTGTCACCGGGCCCAAACGCACCTCACACGGCACATTCATTACACGGTACGTACATCACTAAGCTGACAGTGCGGTGGAAGCCATGCGCTCGCCGGACCAATCAGCCGCCTCCCTTTCATCACCTCACCTCATTCTCTGCACCAAGGCATGCACGAGGAAGCACAATCACGTGGAAAAAAAAGTGGCTGGCCCAACAAGGTCGTAGCTTTCACAGCACTGTCAGCTTAGGGGTGAACAGGGTGGGGAAAGCAAAATACAAAATGCAAAACTCTGACTGTTGTCAGAGTTTTGAGCGACGGGCTAATCTTGCGGGGGACAATGGCAAACGAGGCTCCGAGCAAGAGGGGAGTCCCTGCTTTCAGTCTTCTTGAACTGTTTGGTACAATGCGCGATTTCTGAGTTGAGGAGGAAAGCTAAGAAAGAAAAAGTTGAAAAATCGTTTTATGACCCCTTTAAATCAAACAAATCTAATTTATTTAACTTTTTTTCTTAAAAAACACGATTTTTTTTTATTTTGCTGACAAGGTAAGAACAGCAGTGCGATCTGACATTCTTATGTACCACGAGTGCACGTGCGCAGCCAAAGCACGGCGAAAGGCAGCGCGTGCGTGGTGGAGGCCGGGCACTTGTTCCCACCTTGTCAGCGACTATTGCAAGGCATGCGGTATCGGCTCTGTGGGTGCCGCCTCTCTGCAGTGCACTCGTGCTCGGGGAGAAGCACACTTGAGCCGACCCGACATTTCGACAAGTATGAACAAAACAGTTCATCTCGAAGAGAAATATTGAATGGCATATTATACAAATATTTAAAAATTTTAATATTCGCACAACCTTAACGAGGGTGGCCAATGTTTCATCTATTAGTAACCATGTACAGCCACACAAAATGTAATTTGTTCATTTTGCACACCAGAGTTATTGATTACCGACGTCTTACCGCTGATTCACACTGGAAGCGGATCCGCGTTCGCAAAGCGGTTGCGAACGCGGATATGCTTTTAGTGTGAATCAGCGGTTAGGGTATGCCCCATGTTCTCCGTTGGCCCGACACGAAAACCCACGTCTATCGTCGAAGTTGGTGCGATTACTGCACCAGCGACATACATATCCAAGCGAAATTGTAGCTTGCAATGTCCAGCTGCCAATGCCACTTCACACTGTCTTCTTTCAGATGTGTCAATCAATCAAGTTTGGGCATTTTACGTGCCAAACCAACGAAGAGCATCTGGCACGCCCCAGCGGAGGACTGGGGATTAATTTGGACCACCTGGGGATCTTTTGACGCGCAACCGAAAGTTTGATTACACGGCGCCTTCTCGGCAATGTGCCTCAGTCATACTGCGGGCACCTCGGTCGGGATTCGAACCCGCCACCTGGAGATCCGTAGGGCGGCGCTTTGCCCCGGAGCTTTTCAGATGTGTGGCATATATGCAATAGGCATACCGACATTCAAGCTAAATTAGGAGACATATACAACTCTCCACAGCTTCCTGCCTCTCATTACAATACTCAATCTCTTTCGGTATGTTCGAAACAGGCATTGAGTTTCAGGAAAGCACCAAGTCACAATGTGCAAAGACATGTACCTGGCGAATCAAATTTTTTAGAGCGCAGCTCTTAGGCACCCGTTTCCGGCTTGAGCGGCGTCGCTGTAGCCGTCGGTGTAATTGCACGGTGCATTATGGGTAAATTTCCCCGCTAAATCTAGCGGAAAATTTTCCCTGCTAAATCTAGCGGAAAAACTTCCCCGCTAAATCTAGCGGAAAAATTTTCCCGCTAAGTCTAGCGGAAAAATTTCCCCGCTAAATCTACCGGAAAAATTTCGCTGGGGGTCACGTGACACCCCCAGGTCATGTGACCCCCGAGGTCACGTGACACCCGCAGGTCACGTGACCCCCCCCCCCCCCCCCGTGATTTTGTGGAGGGGGTCACATGACCCCACCAAGGTCACGTGACCTCAGGAGGGGGGTCTCGTGACCTTTGTGGCCTTGGTTCCTCCTCCTCAAGAGCTGCGCTCTAATTCGGCGTTACAGGGAGATAGATGTAAACGGCTTTCATTTTTTTTTAAAAGAATCAGTGAGTAGATTTACGATGGATGGACGCCAAAGAAAATCACAAGTCATGGATCTGTGCTCCTTTCACGCGAGATTGAGGGATGCCCTCTTGACAGAACGCCAACAACCTGACCGGCCAAAATTCCGCTGGTACACACCAACGAGCTGCTTGAGTATCATGTAAATATCTGTAAATAGTGTGCTCCATACTCTTAAAAGTGTCAATCAATGTATCCTCTTGTCCTGCAAAAACTCCAAAGGCAGTCGCGAAGCAAGTCGGGAGCTGACCTTGGCAGCGGTGAGGGAGTGTCCCAGCAGCACGTAGGTGACGAAGGTGAGCACCGAGACGAGCACGGGAGTGGTGGCCCAGAAAAAGACGCACAGCGCGTCCAGGTACTTCCGCTTCCGCAGAAAACCCAGCTCGGCGTCTCTGATCAGCGACACCCTGGCCTGAAACAGGGGCTCCCAGGCGTGCATCTTGATCATGCGCATGCCCCACAGCACCTCGGACATGAGCTGAAAAAGCACCTTTCATGATTAGACATGTTGCGTGCAGAGGCGAATGCACAATCCTACTGTTGAGTAGCAAGTGCTTCTGACACGCTACTGCAAAGGAGCCATGGTAATCATTCTTTGAAATCCGCTGTTATGAATACCTTACTGGTGGTGAGCACGCAAAATTGTGAAGCATTTTCTGAGCGCATCTTTAGCATAAATGCCAGCTTAAGTCGCTCAGTGCAAAAGGCCTGACATGACCAAACCAGCGGTTACGTGCAAGGGTGTCCCTAGCAAGCTCGCTTCTCTCAAATGTGTTTTCAATCAATCAATCACCATTATCCTTTTATTTAGAAAAGGACAAAACCTCTCCATCCCTAGATCATTGCTCCTGCACTCAAAGAGCAACTGTGCAAGTTCTCGAGCAAAGTACCAGTTGTCTGCCACAAATCTCTGCCATCGACCACACTCCCGGCTCCTACACTTCCCTGCAGTGCACTGGAGCACAGAGGAAGAACAGCTCCCACAGGCTGGAACTTTTATTTAGAATAAACGCAATATTACACAAAAAGATGGCCCTACTTCTGAACTACCTCCACCCAATGTGCGGACAGAGTTGCTCTTGTCAAGCAGGACAGCTTTTACGCGACCGACGAAGGTCTCAGCTGGAGACATAGCTTAAGAGGTTGTCTGCAAAAAGCAGTCTACTCACCCTGATGCGCGCATCCTTCTTGCCCATCATGTCCTTGCTCAGGCTGACAATCTTCAGTGCCAACGCATGGTTGACCGGAACCAGGAGAACCGCCAGAAGCACACCGGCCGCAAAGGATGGCCCCACCTGACCCCAGAGCAGGTACAACGTTACGGAGACCTGCAGCGGCAGGCTCCAGGCTTCGTGCAGACTTGGGAACACGTTCACCACTCTATCCACGTCCGTAGTCACCAGGTTGATGGCTTCTGCTGTGCCCTCGTGCAGCCTTGCCAAGTCCACAGAAAGCGTCTTCTGGTAGACCATCGCTACGACCACCACGCGCGCCTTCAGCCCAACGCGGGACACCAGGTATGCGTAGTGCGTGGACAGGAGCGCACCGAAAAGACACGCGAACACGAGCCCAGAGGCGTATGCGTACCCAGACCACCAGGGGCCGTCCCCTGGACCGTCTTCGAGGAACACGACTAGTCCGTTGAGGAGGACGGGGCTTGCAAACGCAAGCGCATCCACAGCAAGCTTTAGCAGTCCGACGGAGTAGTACTCCAGCCCGAAGCATCGGTGGAAGAGGCCCAACAGGGAGACGCCGTCCCGCGACATCCTCCGCCGTAGGCGGGACACCACCTCTTCCGGCCGGAGGGCCACCGGAAGCTCGTGCAGATCATCCGTGTCATGAATGCGGCCGCGGTAGCCGCGGCGCATCAGCCGGCCTGCCCACCAGAACGTGAGCAGGGAGATCCAGTTGGTGTCTTCCGCGGTCCCCAGTTGACCAGCGTCGTCATCTGTGTCCGCGAGTCGCACGTAACTCTGCGCGGACGGAGACTCCCTGCCACTCCGCGGCGGCGGCGTCACCCCAGCCGTGCTGGAGAAGCGGACGGCGGAGACGAGGTAGAAGGTGCACGACAGCGCGCTCGCTATGTTTGCGTACAGCTCCACCTGGTGAGACAACAAGGGTCCAAGCTCCTTCCGTGGAAGAGACAGCAGCGCCGAGATGCGAAACGTGGTGCAGATGCCGCAGAGCGCGACGGCGGTCGACACGGGGATTTCGCCCGTGTAGCGCCGGCTTCGAGGCAGTGGGTTGGAGAGGGTGCTGAGGTAGGCAAAGTGCACCGTCCAGGACAGCAAGATGGCAGCCACCAGGATAGCCGAAGACGCTGCGATGGGTTCGCTCAGGATGAGCTGAGAAACCACAAGCTTCACGGCCGGTGCGAGCAGCAGCATGCAACAGCATGCCTTGCGGAGGTGAGCACGCCACGTTTTCGGCAGTAGGAGCAGGAGCTGGTGGTCCCTGCGGAGGGGCATGCGGCGCAGGCCGGCGTAGAAGACGCTCAGCACGGCCAGGATGGCATGGGCGGAGGTCAGCAGCAGGTCCAGGAAGCAGTGGCCCAGCCGGTTGCCCTCCCAAATCACCAGGCCTTTGGCAGGGCAGAAGACGTTCCAGAAGGTCATCGTCAGGCCTTTGGGAGCAGACCTGCAGTATAATGGACTCCATTATAATCTTATTAGCACAAGAAGTGGGAACAGTACAGGAGGCATCGGTGGTCGGCAGAAAGATCACAACACATGCGCATCTTCGGTCTTTCAGCTGTCACCGGCAAATAAGTATTACCACTTGTCCTCCCATAATATGTTTTTTACACGAATGTGATCTTAGTTGCGTCCGACAAATTTTTTAGGCAAGTTTTACGGTTCACATGCAACAACACAATCGTAACCGAAAAACGGGGATCTGGAATATGCATGCGCATAAAAACTTTATGGTGCGAATTGCATTCGCAGTGCAGGGTAAACCACGGCATATACCGGTTCTCTTCAAACAGTGATAAAGCAAGGGGTGACAATGCACTATTTGATCCCAAGCAATATTCCCACACCGCTAATAAACTTTGTATGGGTCATGTTACTCTAAAATAAAGCAGCGTTCCGCGCGCTTGTAATCGCGTTTGAGACACGCCGACAGGCGTTTTCACTGTGGGAGAGTTGCGGTATACGTCCGGTGCGCACGCAACGTTTACGTAATGTGCTGCGTCGACCTTTGCGTGTCTTCGAGATGGACCTCGCAGTGGCACCAGGCATCCCAGAAGATGAGAATTCCTCCTCCGTTCCCCCGACGCAGCCGAGCCTCCCAAACCGAAACTGCAAACGTGTCGGCTACTCCACGCCACGCGTGGGCGGATTCTGTCTCCCCGTGACCTGCACCTGCCTATGGAAATGTGTTCCGATTCAGCAGAGGCGTGACTCACCGATACCCGATGATAGACAGCAGGCAAGAAACGTCAGAATGCCCCCGTTGATCGCATTGCGCGTAGAGCGTCGCCAAGAAGCTCCATCAACTCGTGCCTGTGGTTTGATTCATTGAATCGCAAAGAGCAGGGATCCATTATCACGTGACAACAGCATTGTCACGTGATCTACTCGAGTAGGATTTATTTCCGGCACTAACATTAAACAACGTCCGACCAATAGAAAGCATATACCTCATGAAGATTTAAACATATTATTTTATGGTGCCTCGAGGGCGTCTCCGGTTGGTGTGTTTAGCGTTCTACGCCGCCCGTCCATATATCAAGGCCGTGTTCCAAAATTTACTCCATCTCACTCTTGGCGTTCGAATATTTATTCGCGTCCAGCGCGTCCAGCGTTGCTCTATGTCTTGTTACGTCACATGATCTGCCAGAGTAAGTCGGATCCTTTCGAGTAAGATTTGGGAGTTGTTACACAGCCCAAAAGGCAACAAATGGCGTCACAAATGCTGACTGCCCTCGCGATCCTGGTGGTTGGCGGTAGAAATGCTGGCAAAAAGCACAAGCGAACGTGAGTGTCGCTGTCGTCGTAGCGTTCCAACCTCTGCCTTCCGAAGCTTCCGTGTACTGCCACTCTGGAGAATGCGATCTGTCTGCACTCTACAGCAGAACAGCAGGCGCCGGACTCACCACTACTGCAACACCGTCAGGATCGCGACCGGCGACAACATTACACTTCATGACGTCATCAGGCGGAAACCGAGGGACTGCTTGCATCTTCTTTTTCGCTAGTTAAAGCGCCATTTTCAAAGTTCGTTCGTGCAAGTGAAACTCATTATAGATGAAGAAAAAGAATGTTGGCCTTAAACAGTCGCTATTTCTGCGGTGTGTACGCCTTTTCTATCTCTCTCTAATCCTGCAATGAACCAAATAGCTCAGCTTCAAACCGTCACGCGATTTGCTAGGCTTCCCAAAATCACGAAATGGCACGTGCTGGGCCATGGAGATCGCACTCTGGGCTGAGGAAATTGTAAGAATTGAAAAAGTATTATTAAGCTTGACCATACTTTATTTTACGCATGTTAGTCGTGTTAGCTGTCAAGAAGAGACAACTTACCACGGCTCAATTCCTAAAACTGATTTTTTTTTTCTACGCGCTGGGGTAAATCGATAAATACAAAGTAAACTATTATTGATTTTTTTCATATATCAAATACATATTGTGTTTTATCTGCCTGACGTGCGTCAGACAGATAAACTTTTAACCTTGTTACGAATGTTCGAAGTGTTAGCCGAGAGGAAAAGGAGAAAGAGATTGCTTTTGGCAGACTGGGTACAACGACAGCGGCGACTTCAGATGGGCAGGGTGAGTTATTTTCAGTATCAGATATAGTCAAGTGCGGAAATCGGCGCCGACACATGAATTGCGTCAAAGGCAGCGTTCGTGTTACACTGATCACATTATCATCCTCATTGGGAGCTGTGCCACAGCTAGGACGCAGGGGGAACAGCGCACCCGCAAAGCAGTCGCTCAAGACCAGACACACAAAAGAAAGAGAAACTCGTATTCTTTTTGTATTTTGGACTAGGGCCAGAGTTGGGCCAGAGAGATTAATTGGCGTTTTTTTTTCTTTTTCAATGAGAAGCTAAACCGTAAACTAACTAAAATTGAAATTAATGCAAGGCTAGGTAGTCTAGTTCTTTTTGAAGAACTAGATTGAAGAAAAAAAAAGACCAATTATTCTCCCTTGCCCTAATCCATAATACAAAAAAAAAAAAAAAAAAAGACGAGGGAAAATTTGTGATAATACCAGAGAGTTGTTAGTCAGCGCTGCGTAAGTGTCTCTTTCTTTTGTGCGTGTGGACTTGAGTGACATGCTTTGCGGGTGCGCTGTTCCCCCGTACATCATGCGCAACCAACTCGCCCGAACCTCCGTGTTAACACAGCTAGGACTTTTGGTACGGGCTGTGGAAACCGCAAAAACGATACACACTTAGGATTGTGTGCCCGTGATGTTGTTTTCAAAGAGGTTTCTTGTTAACGCCGCTGTTTCGCCGTGTTATTCTGCTACGTTTGCAGCTGTCCCAACGGACGATTTCTGTCTGTTATGTTATGTCTATACTCCGTTTCACCTTATGTTGTACCGCAGCGAAGGCTAGAAGCGCGAGCTCATAGCGTTGGCAGCTGCCCTTGGTGCACGAGAGCTTGTGCCGCCGAGTTGTGCCCTGGAGCAAGGAGCTCAAGCTTGTAGCCTTTACTGCGGTACAACACAAGGTGAAACAGAGTATAGCTTAGCAACCGTAGTTTGTAAGTGCTCTTCGGCAATCGCTCACGAAGATTATGCGCCGAGAAACTGAGGGAGAGGAGGAAACGAGGACGCACGGTGTCGTCCGAACACTGAGCTCTGGTTAGTATGAGTAGTGGGTAGACCTAAAGCTATATCTGCCTTTCTCTCTACTGCACACGTCGAACGAGTTGGAATGCGAGAGCCACGTCGGACGCCGGCGTTCCGCGTTCTATACGTGTTTGACGACTGCAGTGAAGAAAAAGACATCTAGATTTAGGTCAACCTGGGTGCCTTCATGTGCGCTTTGCTTAGGGTGATGACATTTGTTCATTTTGATCCGAACGCTTATTTATATTTATTTCTCTGAAGCGTCTGAAAGAGCCTGTTCCTGCACGCGCTCGTAGCGCTGACGGCGACATCCTGTTCTTCACGATTCTTCACTGTGAGCGTGTGCTGTCGGCATCGGGCACTGCAAACGATGGCATCACCCTAAACAGAAGGACATCGAGGCACCGTATCTTCCTAAAGTCACTGGATCTTGGGAAAAGCGCCATTGCCTTCCCTGCCTGCTAGCCGAACAGAAACAAATACTAACATACAGACGACCAAAACCTCCCAAGGCGATTGGCTAATCGGTCTCCGTTGTTATGGCAATTGTGATTTCAACCCCTTCGAATCTTCGACTTCGAGAGGGTCGTGATAATCCAGTCGCACCAAGATCACCATGGAGTCTCATCGTACTGAAGGCGTTCCTGGCCAATATAAGCGGCACTCTGTAAGCAATCAATTCATCAATCATGCCCATATTTCGGCGGATGTCTTATTGTTCTTGCGTATTTCAAAACGGGAAAATTATTTTTAAAGCCTCCAAGCACAGACATCGCATGTGGTGGTGGTACGAAGATGTACGCTTGTTTCGCCAATGTGTGGAGGGCAAATTCTCCGTGTATACAAGAAACGTCTCCATAAAGCTACCCGTCACCAGCAAATTTAGAACGGCTCATTTTAGAATTGCTCATTTCATGAGCCAAAATAGCGGCCATTAGGGAAGCATGGCGCTACTTTCTGACGATCCAGTTATACTTTAGGTCTACCCACTTCTCATTCCAGCTGGAGCTCAGCGTTCTGACCTCCTCTCTTTCTCTCAGTTTCTCGGCACATTACTCCCTGTTCACTCAAGCGCGTCGTGGTACCGAAGGTGGCATTCACTGGCGGCCATATAGTTTCGTTCGTTCATGCGCAACGACAGCTTACGATTAGCTTTGCAAAGTGCATGATCGCACACCGCATAGATCGCAGTTCTTCTCAGAAAATAAGCGGGGACTCGTTCTGAGCCTCCGTTCATCGTGGTAAACTTGTTCTTCGGCCCGCAACTTACGAATATGTATTAATATCTGCTACAGATGTTCGAAGCAAAGCAGTCCGTTCACACTCTTGCAACCGAGTAAAGACCGAGAGAGACCAGACCGGTTTTTAACCCTTTTGCGACTTCTTAGGACCGGATGCGCTGCAGCGGAGCTGGTCCTAAGAGATCGCAAGAGGCTTTAAACCGGTCTGGTCTCTCGGTCTTACTCGGTCGCAAGAGTGTGAACGGGCCTTAAACAGCCGTAGCATGTTATCTCACTGACCGTATCTGCTCTTGCGACCATAGGCGTAGAGTACGGGCAGTACGGGTACGGGAGGGAGGGGGGGGGGGGGTGGGGGGGGGGTGAGCGCATCGGGGCTCGTGCCCCCCCCCCCTTGGTGAGATCCGGAAGAGGGAGTACCGAGGACGCTGTTTACATGCCATGTAACGAGCTTCTAGTAGTGGCATGTAAACAAAATAACGCACACAGCGGACACATGGCGTAGGCTTGTACAAGATACTCACTAAAGTATTTAAGTTGAATTACTGAGTACCACGAAAAATTAGTAACTGAGTAGAGCACTAAATACTCAAAGTTATGAAGTAACTGAGTAAAGTACAAAACACTCCACAAAATTAACTCGTTACTTTCAAGATACTCTCAAGATACAATTTTCCCTGCAATTCATTGTCAAGCACAACCGGTCAGAAAAAATTCTTCCTCCCAGCTACTATCGAATCTCCTGGAAATCTCTTAGCTATACTTTGGCCGCCACTCAGGCTTCTATGAGGTCCCAAGTAACTACGAATGAAACAAAATAAAAACGTCATACAATCAACCTTTATCCACTTGTGAAAATGAAAATCAAAACGCCATTACCAAAAAGCTTTGTTCCCTTGGAGAAACAGCTGCTTTTCGAAATTCGTGTCCGATGGTCTGCCCCTGTTTTTGTTTAGCCGTTCGGCGGTCATTCGTGCTACCGAAGACAATGCTGCGTACGCCGCGAGCGATGGGCCGCCGGATTGGAGCCGTGTAGTTGCGTGTTACGAGTAGTAGTAGTAGATTGGGGTTTTGTGGCGCAAAAGCATTGCGTCTTACGGACTCACGAATCTTGTGTGCGAAGAAAGCCCAGTAGAACGAACGAGCGGTCTTTGCGACTGCGTGCGGATGCAAAGGCATTTCTGAAGCTGGGAGGCTTTCTTTAATATGATTACACACCATAACATAAGGAAAATAAACTCCGGTTTACTGTCGACTCTTAGCAGACACTTGTAGAACCCACTCCCTCTCTCCGACACAATTAAGCGCCCTCCCTCTGCTTGTAGCCTTGTGCAGAATCTTATGCTTTGCACCCGCATGCTCCTTCTGCTTTCGGAATCTCTGTTGCTCTTGGACTTGGCCACAAACAAATTGCGGTTTTGCCCAGTTAGAAGACACGACACGCGTCCCGCTCGGCTTGAGGCTGCGACACCTGCTTCTCCGTGCCACCTCTTTCAGCAGACGCACGGAAGTGCACTGTATTACGTGGCACGAAATATATCTGCAATGGCAGGGCGCCTAGCCAAAAATAACTGGAGTTCAATATTTCCAAGCTTCCCGCCTCTAAAGAGAATAAAAAATAGAAAGTAACTCAAAAGTAACTTTAAAATGAGTACAAGTTACTTGAAAAAAAGTATTTAAGTTAGAGTACTAACTACTGACGTTCGAAAGTATTTGCAAGATACCAAGTACTCACAAATGTATCTAAGATACAGTAAC